GGTGTTATGTCTGAATTAGGGAGATTTACTATGTTTTCACATTTTATTGGCTAGTATGTTAAAATATGCTCAAAGGTTAGAGAACACAAAGAATGGTTTATTATATGACGCATATATTTGTAATAAAGAGTTACATCGAAACAATGTAACAACGTGGTTTTCAAGTATTAACTTTTTAATGAAAGAAGTAGACTTAAATTTAAGTGTTGGCCGAGTATGTAATATAGTTACGAATAATTTATGTGTAAAAATTTTCTGAATTATTGAAAAGATTTTCGAGAAAATACTCTTAAAGCGGTTAAAGGTAAAATCTTGACTTATTGCTCAATTAAATTGGTGTTTTTCACAGAGAAAATATTTTGAATTAAGTGAATTTAAAGATAGGCAGATCTATGCAAGGTCAGAATAAGTGCAACACCCCTAAACATAGAGACTGATTGATATGCAAAAAACTATATAGATAAATCACAAAGTTTATGTAAAAAATGCATGTTGGATAAAGTTAAAGACAAAACACAGTTCATATATGAATGTCCCTTTTTATAATCTTAATTATTCATGACATTAAAAAAAAAAAAACAACTAAATAATCATAATCGTATTGATTGTATAAAAACTTTCAACTTAATCATGAAATGTCATTTTATTGAGGATATCTAGCTAGATTTGGACAAAGAGAGACAACTCCATCATTCTCTTATTTTAGAAATGTGTTTGATCTAGTAATGAATCACGATTTTCTGTTAGTTCCGATATCATGTTTCATGTAAGCTTGATAGTACAATTGAGAGAATAGATTTTATCAGCGACATAAATTGTTCACACTTATGATTTACGTTCGCTTTGAATTAAATACGTAAATTGTTTGCCTAACAAGCAAATTAATTGATTTTTGTTTAACACCCAGTGGCAAATATTTCATGCTAGTTCTAGGATATAGGTTTTATAAGACGATGTACTGTTCAAAGTATAGTATCTAGCGTAGTTTGGATCATTTCAATTTTTTTTTCGACAGCAAACATATTGTTAAATATTGAAAGGAAAAACAATACTTGTTTTTTTAAATCTCATTCATAACTATTTAACAGAAATTAATTAATCTACTTAGGATAATCCAGATTTCTAGCAGCTTGACTCTTTAGTGTTTTAACTACTTGTAATTCGAGTGTGGTTATCCTTATCTGCTATAACGGTCTGAATATAATTTTGCCAAATACTTTGATGTTATGTCTGAATTAGGGAGATTTACTATATTTTCAAATTTTATTGGCTAGTATGTTAAAATATGCTCACAGGTTAGAGAACACAAAGGATGGTTTATTATATGACGCATATATTTGTAAGAAAGAGTTACAGCAAAATAATATAACAACGTGTTTTTCAAGTATTAACTTTTTGATGAAAGAACTAGAATTATATGTAAGTGTTGGCCGAGTGTGTAATATAGTTACAGATAGTTTATGTAAACATTTTCTAAATTATTGAAAAGATTTTAGCGAAAATACTCTTAAAGGTTAAAGGTAAACTCCTGACTTATTATTCAATTTAATTGTTTTTGTACAGAAAAAAATATTTAGAATCAAGAGAATTTAAAGATAGGCAGCACTATGCAAGATCAGAAAAGGTGCAACACCCCTAAAAATAGAAACCGATTGATATGCAAAAAAATATATAGATAAATCACAAAGGTTATGTAAAAAATGCATGTTGGATAAAGTTGAAGACGAAAAACAGTTCATATGTGAATGTCCCTTTTATAATCTTTTGAGAAAAGAGTTCTATGATCAAAAGTTCGAAGTGTTAAACACAAGTGCAAAGTTAGATTCAAGAAGACCTAGAGGTATTGGAAATTATTGGATTTTTGTTAATCAATGTTTTGAACTAAAAAAACTATTAATATAAAACAGATATGTTTAAATGTAACCCATTAAGAGTATTTGCCAGTTAATATTTTATAAAATCTGTTTTATTACTGCATTTTATTTTTATTTTTGTGTCTCTTAATCATAAAAAAGCATTGAAATAAATTACTTTGCTCATCGTTGGCACTTTAATTGGAATAAAACTATTTTTGTATTAACTTATCTTTAATATTTAATTTTCTTTTTGTATTTTCTTGGGGTTTTTTCTATGGATATTACCCAAAGTATGGATGTGTTATAGATATGTGATCACATGACATTACATAGAGGGAGATAACTGGAACTTATAAACAACACAAAGATTTGTGACTGTTTTCGTCTTTTTTTAATTTGGAGTAATTGCAAAAAAAAAAAAAAAAAAAAAAGATATTTAATTTAATTAACAGGAAGTTCTTTCTTTCCAGTATTGCAAGTATTGGTATGAATTTATCACTGTTTGAAATTAGATGAATAAAATATCACAATTGTTGTTTTTTTTTTTTATGGAATTGAATATGATATTACTTCTTATCAAATGGGTATTAGTTCATAATTCTTTTAAATCAAATGACCTGCTGGATTTTTTTTCTTTGACTCAATACAAAATAATGTATGTATAGTATGACACTAAATAGACTGGTTCATATTTACGAAAGCAAGTGTTGCGGCTGCTAGGATAGGGATCAAGTGTACATGCTATTTGGTTGGAGATCCCGTTCAATGCAGGATAGTTTACCACATTGTGTTACTATATTGTCACATGATCTAGTGTTGGTCACATGTGATCGAATAGTTCCAACATGCAGACCAGCTTCTTAATTCACTTTTTTTTTAAATATCCTTTCACTCAAATAGGTAGACAAACAAATAAACCTGGTCAACTCAATGGGGCGACCGATATGACATATTGCCGCTGAACAAGTGGATTGGGGATTATTGTCGCATATAGATGACATATTGCCGCTGAACAAGTGGATTGGGGATTCTTGTCGCATATAGATGACAGATTGCCGCTGAACAAGTGGATTGGGGATTCTTGTCGCATATAGATGACAGGTTGCCGCTAAACAAGTGGATTGGGGATTCTTGTCGCATATAGATGACAGATTGCCGCTGAACAAGTGGATTGGGGATTCTTATCGCATATAGATGACATATTGCCGCTGAACAAGTGGATAAGGATTCTTGTCACATATATTTATCTTACGCTGTTTAGTAGGACTTATCATTTAACAATATATTGTTTTTCAAATAAATAAAAAAGGGAAAATACATAATCAGAAATTATACAGATCAGACGACTGTTCGGCTCTCTAAAGTTCTAGGACTGCGATAACATTTTTCCTAAATAGATTTTACTATAAATATGTGTTTAAAGACATAAACAAAATTGTAAAGGCCTCACTGCGACTTTGATGCCTCGTTCACACGTACATTTAATTCGAATTGAATTCGAATCGAATGCGAATCGAATTCGCTAATCGCGTTCACACACTCTTCTTTTTTAATTCGAATTGATTCGAATTGGCTAAATCGCATTATCCAATTCGGATTAGAAATGCGTTTTTGTTAATACGAATTAAAAGTTAACGTCGTTCGGACAGTAAAGCAAATTTGACGCGCATTCAATTCGAATTAGAATTTACGTTTGGACGTAAAACGTTTCGAATGCGAATTAAACTATAATTCGAATTAGTTAATGCGAATCGAATTCGAATTACGTGTGAACGCAGCATGAGATGGAAGAAGAGCAATAAAAGACACTCCCTTTGCATTTTTTGCATTTTTTTTTTGTCATGTGTGTGTAGTGATTTTGTGTCATGAATTGCTACACGATATCCTTTCATTTTCTTTATACAAGATAGTGTAAGCAGTTTTTATTGTAGATGTGGCATGTATATGATTTTAAAGTCAAGTACATGCATATGAAAAATAAAAGATAACTGTTTCGAATAAAAGTTACAAAAGGAAGTCTTTCTTTGGTTTTAAAAACATTTCCTCGGTGCTCACACTTTTGTTGAATATATCCTTTAAATGACATCTAAAGGATCAGTGTTTGATGTACACACGTTAAACGCATACTTTTTGTACTTAAGGATCTTCGTTACTCTGCTTCAAAATGACAGGACTTTTATAAATTAATAGTTTATAGATAACGGAACTAATAAAGCAGAAAATAATGAAGGGTCCGTGTCCTTGTTTTCGAGATATAAGCCATTGAAAATTAAGCGGGACATGATTCTCTTTAGATTTTCATACATTGAACATTGGCACCTATTTTCTTTTAAAAACTATAATAACAAAATAACAAGGATTTTATATAAGATTTTCAAATGTGGCTTTTTAAACTATTTGTAATAAAATGAAGAAAAGAAAAGTAGGGTTTAGCGAGCAAAATTTGTACTTGCACTACATGAATTAAACCAGAGGATTCCGAATATCTGACACAAAGTCAAAAACAAGAGGAGCAAACATCCTTGGTATTAGTGTTGGTACTGTATCTGTCATGATACGACCGTCCAGTCTAGGAAATACAGATATACATGTATGCTTGTACTGTATCTGTCATGATACGACCGTCCAGTCTAGGAAATACAGATATACATTTATGCTTGTACTGTATCTGTCATGATACGACCGTCCAGTCTAGGAAATACAGATATACATGTATGCGTGAACTGTATCTGTTATGATACGACCGTCCAGTCTAGGAAATACAGATATACATGTATGCTTGTACTGTATACGTATCTGTCAAGATACGACCGTCCAGTCTAGGAAATACAGATATACATGTATGCTTGTACTGTATCTGTCATGATACGACCGTCCAGTCTAGGAAATACAGATAAATGCTTATGCATTTCATTTTGCTTTTTGAATATTTGTGACTGTAAGCCAATAAAGCTTATTACGTTAATATTTTCATTGAATTATTAAAGAACTTCTTACAAAATGTGCTATAATTTATTTAACACATTCAATCATGCTACAAAATATTAGAAGATACATAATATTGTTTTACATAACAACGACTTAAAGTATCACAATGTATTTATAATGTTTGAATCAAAGAATGAAAAATAACATGCCAGTGTATAGGAATATTATAAATTTTATTTTGTAACTGTTTTACATAATAAGAAGAGCAATTATTGTTGACAGTATTGCGACCAGTTTCCAGAGTCCAAAAACAGAGACGTACAATCGCTGTTATAATCTAAAAAAGTAGAAAAAAATATATATTTTCCTCAAAACCTGACATGGAGCTATATTATCAAGATAACTTCGTATAATTTACACATGCAGTCAGTACTACTATATGATATTTTTATCTGGACCCAGACAGATTAAGAAATTACATTTATACTATTGGAAGATAATGAGTACATGTAGTATGATGAAAGGAGATAACTATCCACCAGATACCAAATGGCTTAGATGCAAGGAACTATACTTATATAAATAATGATTAAAATTCATACCATATACTAAGCCATAAAAGGTCCCAACATGACAAAATATAAACCAGTTCATACGAAAAAACTAACGGCATGTACAATACAATAAAACAAAAACAAAATATGAAAGCTACTACCACTGAATTACGGACTTCTGACTTTGGACATTCATAAACGGAATGTGGCGATGTTAAACATGTAACTTCACTTGTTAGATCAGGCCTTGCGGTCATAAAACTTTCGAGCACGATTATCTTACTCAGACTCAGAAATCAACTAATCAAAGTACTGGATTTGATGTTTCGAGCACAAATTTTGTACTCCCGAGTACTGAGTAAAGTTTTATGACCGAAGGACCAGAGCTTAAGACGATGATTCAGTGATATTTTCAACTAATTTACCAAAAATCTATATTATCAATTAAAGATATATTGAAAGTAAAAACAAGAATGTCATCAATTTTCTAGAATTTTTTTCTCATAAATTGGGCGTATCACACAATGAAACGCTACCAACGTCAGTTATGCAGATGGATACATCTATATCTATGAAAAACCTCTGAACACTATTATAACTGCCGTGAGAATTCCAATAAGACTCCAGTTGAGGCGCATTTGAGTGTAACCACTTCCCATGCCTAAAATGATATATAAAAAAATAACTAAACAGGGTTCATACTGAGAACAAATGACTATTGGTTGATAAGACGTGAAAGATTTGCAAATCGGGTCTATCAAATTGTATCAAGTTTCATGTATATTAAGATTTTTTCAAAGACATTAAGCAAATTTAGAAAAATAAACAATTTCAGTCTTTAAAACTAGAATAACCAATGCTATCAAATTGTCGCGGTGAAATTTCTGCTCATTTATAACATTTGAGGGGCATCGGTGGCCAAGTGATCTTAGTAGTCCAACTACTGTATTACTATAGCTACCCTGTAATCACTGAGGATATAAGCTCGATTCCCGCATGTGGCAGGTTCGTTTGACTCCAATCTTAATTGACTAGGTATGTCAGATCCCTGCCGAAGGTCGATGGTTCTCTCCGTGCACTCCAGCTTCCTCCACCAATAAAAACTGACCACAAAGAAATAGCAAATAGTGATGAAAGTGGCGTTAAAAACCAACCATAAATCAATCAATTATGATTTTGAATGAATATGTGTGAATATTGTGCCTACCATTCAGTTCATGCGAAACAGTTGTAAAAAGGCTGTGCACTGAATGATTCTTCTATCCCTGATGCATGTTATTGTTGTAAGTGAATATCGTTTTGTTAATTCTTAGATGTGGTCGTTTAATATGTGCCTGTCCCAAGTCAGGAACCTTTGATTCTGTGGTTGTTTCTCATATTTTATTTAGTGAATTGTTATTTCATAAATCAGGTCGTTGTTTTTCCTTAAAAAAAGACAAAAAGACATACAGTTATTCAGAAAATATTTCAAATATAACAAAAAAAAAAAGGCATGTGTAAGTCAACAACCTACACCCGGCAAGTCCAAAGAATAATGACACGGAACTGATTTTAGTTATTTTTAAGACACTTTTTTTTTTCCTTCTCATCATTTTAATGATATTTTTACACAGACCGAAGCAAGTGGGATACACAGCCATTCTGTAATTAACATTTTCACATCTTTTTTGACACTATGTCATAATTTCTATGTTTAATTTTGGCATCACTTGCTAATGTTATTTATTGTTATAACCTATATGAACTGATTTTGTATAAGTTTCATTCGAATTCTTAATACTGTCGTTTTTTTGCATTGATGGTCTATTTTTATTATGTGTTGCTGTGTCTCAGTCTTATAAATGATAACATGAATATAACACATATCAATTTTAATACAACTTGTCATTTTCAAAACAGATTCCATCAGTTAGTTTGGTTTTCTTAACATTTTTTGTCTGTTTCAACAAGTTTTGTGGTTTTAAGTTCTTCAGTAATCGATAAGAACTATAATCCCGAAAAAAAAATGTCGGCTGATGTTTGTGGTTTGTTCTTTTGTTGTGCTGTGACCACTGTCCCAGGTTGGGTAGGGTTGACTGCTTACGTACATGTTTGGCCCCGCTACATTCTTTGTGAGCATGTCCCAGGTCAATAGCCTGTGGTTCAGTGATTGTCATGTTTGTTTTTCGTAGATTGGTTTGTTTTGAATTAGGCCGTTTGTTTTCTCAGTTGAATTGTTTCCTGTTTTTCATGGTAGGGCCTTTGGTAGCCGACTGTGCGGTATGGGTTCTTCTCATTGTTGAAGGTCGTGTCGTTGTCTATGGTTGCTTACATCCACTTTGTTTGAACTTTGGTGAATGGTTGTCTCATTGACGGTCGTGCCACATCTCCTTACTTTTATATAGTAGTATAATATTTGTCATTATTCATACAGCTCTTTTATTTTCATATATAATATACATTAACCACTTTGACAGGTGGCAAGTTTATAAATATAAGTATATCTTAAAAGTTAAAGTTATACGTACTTTGTGAAATTTCGCCTGAAATATATGAATATATTCATCAAATTGTTTTAAAAAAAGTTTTGAGGATACTTGCTATAATTTGTTGTCTTGTTTTTTTTTTTCTCATTCTATACTAAGCATAAATTTTATGAACGGTAAAAAAGAGGCGAAAGATACCAAAGGGACATTCAAACTCATAAGTCGAAAATAAACTGACAACGCCATGGCAAAAAAAGAAAAAGACCGAAAGACCAACAACAGCATACAAAACATAACACAATAAACCAAAGACTGAGCGATACGAACACCACCAAAAACCGAGGGTGATCTCAGGTGATCCGGAAGGGTAAACATATATAAAGCACCGTGTTTTATGTGAAATTGATACATTTTCAAACATTTTGATTTACCTTAAACTTCTAAATTTAAATGTTAAGAAAATTTAAATGGTATACTTTTTCTATATCTTTTTTTGTCATAATAACGATATTTTAAGTACCAATAGAACTAGAAGTTATCCACCCTTAACAAAACAGAATTGTGTGCCATGAAGTCTACATACAGGAAGTAAAATTAATTTAATAAGCAATTTTATTCTAATCTTATTTATCTTTACCTCTGGTTGGACACCCAACTGTTTCACACGAGGATGTGTCTGTTTCATTCCCAATGCAATACCTTCCACCATTTGTCGGTACAGGGTTTGTACAATTTCTCTCCTTTGACAATATCTCTCCGTCACAGCTCTCTGGACAATCACTCCATGATGACCACGATGTCCATTCTCCTAACACTGAAATAAATTATCAGATAATACTACATGATAAATGAATATTTGGATTGAAGAGTCATGTAATTAAGGAGTCCGAAGATTTTTCAATATTTGGGATTTTTATTTCTTAATTTTGCTCCCTCTTTTGTTCATCTTAGATTTTGATTTAAAAAAAAATCAATTCGTTTACTTCACTAGTAATTCAAAGATGTGTAAACAGTGAAAAATTATACCTATAGAGACTGGCATTTCAATGTGTTTGGGATGGAAATGAATAACCAGGACTAAACAAAAAATGTCTTGCCTAAGACTGGATGAGAAAGACCTTTCTGCTCTACTAAATGCAGGAAATGGTTGTGTACAAAATAGAAAATAAATACATAAGCTGACATAGCAACAGGTGAAAATCAATATTCCGTCGCAAAAACAATCTATGAAAATTGAAGAAAAAACTATGATGTTCTTCAGTGAACATAAAACATGTGGGTTTTTTTTTCTAAATCATTAAACATGAGAATCTTTCAAAAAGTGAAGATATCTAATAATATATATTTTTTCTATTCTTTGTTTAAAACTACTTTGTCTTTTTCTGAGATTAGTTCTATCAAAACTTTTGATTTTTCAACCCTGTATACCACCATTCCCCATGTGAAATTGAAAAATCGCTTGAAAGAAATAATCCACAATGCCTTTCATCATAAAAATGGTAGCATACGCTATAAATTTATTACTTTGGGATATCATAAGGCATATTTTGTTAATAGTGAACAAAAGGGTAAAACATGCTACACAGAAGAACAAGTGATCAGTATGCTGGAGTTTCTTATCGACAACATATTTGTTGAATTTGGAGGTAGACTTTTTCAACAAATTGTCGGCATTCCTATGGGAACGAACTGTGCGCCTCTCCTTGCCGACCTCTTCTTATTTTCATATGAATCGGAGTTCCTTCAGACACTTGTCAAAAACAAGAAGATCAAAGAAGCCAGATTATTTAATTTCACTTTTAGATATATTGATGATGTTCTTTCCATTAACAATCCGAACTTTTCTGATTGGGTTCCATTAATATATCCCCCAGAACTAGAAATTAAAGAAACAACAGACACGGCTTCCTCCGCCTCATTTTTAGACTTATATCTCGAATTTGACATACACAGTCATCTCAGTACCAGAATCTATGACAAACGAGACGATTTTAATTTTAAAATTATAAATTTCCCCCACCTTAGTAGCAATATACCAACTTCACCTGCATATGGGATATACATTTCCCAACTTATTCGATATTCAAGAGCTTGCAGCTCTTACTCAGACTTTGTAAAACGTCACCAGTGTCTGAGCAGAAAGTTGATGAACCAGGGGTATGTCAAAGAACGTCTCGTCCTTTTTCTAAAAAAGTTCATCGGAAGGTACCAAGACCTTGTTGATAAATATTCCGTATCAACTTCACAAACAATACATGATGGTCTTGAAGTATAGATTCTGCATACTGACGTTGTTTATCATCTTAACAACGTGTAATATTGTTCTTTCATTTGTCTTTGTTCTATTATTAATATTACTTTTACTGTTTGGTTTGTTTTCTGTGATATCCATTTGACGTGGCTAGGTACTTATACATCCCGTCAATGTGTTTGTATTATCTTTAATTTTTACTGGTGTGTTTTGTATATGCGACTTTTTGTGTTTCTGTGGTTCTTATAACGTGACTCTGTACTTTAAAAGATCCCGTCATTATGTTATTGTTCTATTATATGTCATTATGTTATTGTTCTATTATAAATTTGAAAATACTTTGAACGACAAACGACAAATTTATTTTACTCGCGTAGTGGTATTTACCATATGTGGATTCTTAAGGGTTCTGAAGAACTTCTGGACAATTATAAATCTCGGTCTATTTCTGAAATTAATTCTAACATAACTTTTGATTTTTTAACCCTGTATACCAACATTCCCCATGTGAAATTATAAAATTGTTTTGAATAGACATTGAATGACAAACTTTTTTCTTATGTGACGTTTACATTTTCTGACGTCAGACACGCGAAGCAATGAATGTGGGTCTTAATTTGATAGATGCTTTTGTGCTTTTTTTGTAAATAATTGTTTGTTTTGATATTGTAACACAGTGATGACTGCTGTACCCATATTTTGACTATTTTATTTATAATGTCTGTTTTGTTCACGCATCGTTGTAAATATAACGAAATTTGATAAGACTGTCGTACAAGTGAGAGGTTTAGCGCTATAAAACCAGGTTCAATCCACCATTTTCTACATTTGAAAATGCCTGTACCAAGTCAGGAATATGACAGTTGTTGTCCATTCGTTTGATGTGTTTTGTCATTTGATTTTGCCATGTGATTAGGGACTTTCCGATTGAATTTTCCTCGGAGTTCAGTATTTTTGTGATTTTACTTTTTGATTATATTAAAGAAAAATAATTTTTGATAATTTTAATAATAAGCTTATGAAAGAAAAAAAAAATGTTATAATGGTGCATTTGTTTAATTTTGTAACCTTGCTCTTTAATGTGTTATCTTACGGGATGGGTTTTGCTCATTGTTAAAGGTTGTACGGTGACCTGTAGTTGTTTACATCCAAATTCTTGCTCTAGGTTGGATTTTTGTTTCATTGACAATCATACCACGGTTCCTACTCTTCATATAAGATAAATTGAAAGAATAATATTTTGACATTTACCTGGACATTTGGCTGTGTGACATGACATGCACTCTGTATTATTTCCCATACATTCGTTGCCATTGTTTTCTGGAATAGGGTTTGAGCAGAACCGTGTTCTGTTGATATTTTCATCTTTACAGGTTTCTGGACACTCGGTCCAAGGTGTCCAATTTGCCCAGTTTCCATCAACTGTCAAAATATGTAAATATTAATCGATGATTACCATGCAGACTCACTTTAATTCTATTCAGTTTGTCCATCTGAATTTATTACCAGTTTTAGTAAACATCATCATCATATCTCTAGATAGATCGGTCTCGATAATTGTTATAAAAGTGCATCAAGGGGAAACACATTTAAATAAAAAGGAGACTTTGGTCATCATGATCAACATATTCATTATTTCTTTTGTAGATATTGTTAACCTTAAGTACGTTCTTACTATTAACTACTTACTTTAACAAAACCACTGTTTTATGTTTATCTTACCTGGACATTTTGCTGTGTAACATGACATTATTTCCGAGTTGCTTCCTTCACAAGACTTTCCGTCGTTTTCTGGAGAAGGATTTTTACAGGATCTAGTCCTAATAAGGTCCTCATCACTACAAGTATTTGGACATTCACTCCAGACTGACCATTCTGTCCATCCACCATCAACTTTTATGTAAAATATATTTAGATAATTTGTATTATGCATTTAGAACGAGTTGCTCCCGATCACCTAGTGGCAATTAGGTCACACACAAATTTTGTCTTTAAGCATAAATGGAGATGAACAGTTTATTGAGTGCTCCGTACAAAAACTGTGGTACTAGTATTATGTCATCTTGTTTCCATCGTATGAATTTAATTCTGTCATGTGAGCTCTTCTCTACATTTGAAGAACGTATATCATACTGTTCATATTGGGCAAGATAATTTACTAGAAACTTTAATGAGTTGTATAACATGTACATAGTTTTTAAGTTGATGAATAGATAGACTATACAATCATGGTAACATATAAAGATAGTAAAGCTACAAAGTAAGTAAAGACAGATGTTATACATTCTGTCGTTACGTACATATGTATTTCTATTTGACATTGTTCAAGGTCATGCTTTTTCAGACTGTTTATGATGACTTTACAATATCCGTTTGAGAACAAATTTAAATGTCGACATCGGCGACTAAAACATATTAATCAGCAAAAACCAAATTTGATAATATCGAATCGACATCGGCACCAAGAGGAAATGAATACATAGTAAACTGATATAAAAAAATCAAATCCAAACTTGAGATGAACACTATTCCTCTCTTGATCTCTACACTGGACTAAGTTTTATAATCAATGATTAATATAGGTAAAGTGGGCCATCATGTTGATACATTGACTGCATCGTTTCTCAGACATACTTCATAAAATTATGCATTATTCAATGTAATAATATGGTCTTGTCATAACATTGACTACTGTTAATAAAAGCAATGCAACTTATTCAAGGATGCTGTAGTAAAAAATGAATAGTAACTTCACAAACAAGTAATCGCTATATAGTTGGTAATTACCTGGACATTGTGCTGTGTGGCACGACATGAACTCTTTATCAATTCCTTGGCAATCTGTCCCATCGTTTGCAGGAGCCGGATTTGAGCAGGATCTGGTACGATTTAAAATTTCATCATTGCACGTTTCCGGACAGTTTGTCCATGGTGACCAAGCTGTCCATTCTCCATTCACTGTTTGAAAAATAATATCAACATGACTTTATAAGAGCGTACGGCGTTTGGTCTCACCCCAACTTAACCCGTCACATATCAATCCCACTTATGAATGTCCATAATAACATTAACAGTACTAATTTTTCTGCACCAGCTGCGCATTTTTGACAATAAATGTCCCTTAAATGATGCTCGATGCCAAAATTTAAAACAATCTAAAGCGTATCAAACAAATAAAGAGCTATAAAACCAAACAAAGACAGAAATTCTAGCCAAAACTAGACAAGGACTCAAAGGTTTGCATTTAAGTTATTATTATCTTTTCGATCAAGTTTCCGGATTGTTCACCCTTGACTTGGCATATATGGCTGGAAATCCTTACCCATCAACGACCATTGTCTTAATTTTAAATCCAAGTGATTTTTCCTTTTTCACTCCCATATTTGCAATTTTTTGCTGCATTGGTTATGTGAAATTAAATTAGTCAGGTTTATTTTAATTCGTAGATTTCTGTATTATTAAATAATTAGCCCATGTTAATTTGAAGTTTCAGAGTATCATTTTTCTATCGATATGAATACGGTTCTATGTAAAACTAAATTTAAGCTGATTGTAAATACGATATACTAGCATACGTGAAAAATAAAGTTACATGACCTATAGAAATGCATTCCTATTGCAGTTGCAATGAGGTCCCAACTGATTTTGTTTTCGTCGGGAATTAATTCAGGCCATCACACCTTTAATTCTCATTAGTTTGGTCATTGAATCAAGGATTGTATTTCAAATATTTATGTTGCAAAACTAATTTAGGACAATGATATAGGTGGATTTTTATAATAAGTCATGAAAGAAATGATTGTATTTAAAAGAAACGTTAAATTAAACAAGCGTTGTACAGTGTTCAGTTCTTTGGTAATTAATATTCAAATGGCATTTGGTTTGAGCGTTCCCTATAAAAGTATATCCCGAAAAGTGCTTCGGACGTAAGAAATTAATAAAGTGTTATTTTGATAAAGAAAAACAATATAATGATGTTTTATCGCTGGTAAAGACTTTAATGACATTCAGATAGCAACAAGCACGTATCAGTAACAAGTAGCATCACATTATATAAAGGACGTTGTGCTTCCGAGTATCTCTCTCTCTCTCTCTCTCTCTCTCTCTCTCTCTCTCTCTCTCTCTCTCTCGTGTATGTCTTCTGTCTGTGTGTGTGTCTGTCCGTTGTAACATATCATGTTTTTCATTAAAATCATCTGCTTCCAAATATGTGAAATATTATCAAAACATAAAAAGATGTACAATTATTGCTAATGATATAACTATCCACCAGAGACCAAATGAAGTAGATGTAAAAACTCATAACAGATACCAGGCTTATATTTTTGTACGCCAGACAGACGTTTTCATCTACATATGACTCATCAGTGACGCTCAAATTAAAGACCAAATGAAACATGAAGTCGATAAGTAACAAATATGGAAAATTCTGAAAAAGGAGTGCCAAGTAGGGCTTAGGCAATCTATACCTAGGAAAGGAAGCTATAGTGTTTCGAATAATTCATATTTTTTATCAACAGTAAATTTGCAAAAAAGTAATATATCAATGATATTTCATGTCGACTCAAAAATGCTATTTCTGGTACTGTCATATTTCATCTCATTGTTATTATTATTATCATTTTTTGTTATTTTTGTTGTTCTTATTTGCTTTTGATGATATTATTTTTCATGAAGATAAATGTCTGACCTGGACATTTTGCCTTGTAACACGACATCACGTCTGAGTTGCTTCCTTCGCAATCTTTCCCGTTGTTTTCAGGGGAAGGGTTGGTACAAGATCTACTCCTAATTAGATCCTCACCACTACAGGTAACTGGGCAGTCACTCCATGGGGACCATTCTGTCCATTCGCCATTCACTATTAAAAAAACATATGTACATATTATCATTAATTGCTATTTGTATTTTATAAATTCATTTATTCATTTTTGAATATTTTTAACCATTGACTGGAAGCGAACTGTTGTTTTTTTAGGATATATTTTCAGTATTTGATGGTTTCGACTTTGATAAGATAGAAATCTTCTTAATCATGCGTATTGAGGATTTTCATTGAACCCCAAAATCGATGCAACAGTTTTCCCACTATATTCTTCAGGTATTATTAAGATAATGAAATATAAGGGTGTTAAATATAGAATTTTCCTAAAACTAGAACGATGAACTGATGGAATTGATTGATTGACGTTCAGTACTTCATTTGTATTTAGGGCGAGACTTTGGATTCCATACATATGTTTTGAGGTCATTAAATTCATTTGAAATTAGCAGATAATTGCATTTATCAATTTCAACTGCAAAATAAAAACATAGTCTTTAATAAAGAATGTAGTAGAAAAAACCTTCCGGCCATCTATATGTTACAATGGAAAGTGTATAGCTGTAAAGCCAATTGAAAATAAAATACTTAGTCATAGGATACGCTGTTGGCTACTATCACAAAATCTTTACATTCTTGCCAAAAATAGCCAGTGTTTATACCTTTATTATGTTTAAAGCCTCTAAACATCAGAAATGTGTTCTACTCAAATTCTCATAGAAATCTTCTTTTAAAACGAGTTCATCAACTGAATGCTTTTGATTCAAATTCATTTTAGTCGGACAAACATTAATTTTATTGGTTTAACCAAACAAATTTGTTTTTAAAAGATTTTAAGTGAAATGTAATGCACCTGGACATCCCTGAATACTGCAGGACTGTGACTTAGAATCTTCTCCGATACAATCAAGTCCTCCGTGCGCAGGTTCAGGATTATTACATCGACGGGAGGAGTGATGGATTCCACCCCCACATGAGACTGAACAGGTTCCAAAGGGATCCCAATCGCTCCATACACCATTTACTAAAAAACGAAATAAGCATATAAAACACGTAAGTTGAGACAAAACACATTCTAATAGTTCAATAAAGCAAAGGAAATTAGAAAAACAGGGTCACAATAACATAAATCAAATTCAAGAATGTAGAATTTACTAATAGTTAGAATATTCATTCATTGTACATCGAAAATTAGATTTACCAGGGCATGGATCAGTGTTACATGACCTTGACTGTGATGATAATCCACTGCATGTTACACCAGTTCCAACGGGTTGTGGATTCGTACAAGTCCGTCCACTAGATTGAGTTCCCCCTCCACATTCAACAGAACAGGTCTCCCAACTGGACCAGTCGGTCCAACCACCGTTGACTGTAAAAGCAATAAAAGAACCCAATAAAAACCAATAAAATTGAGAATGGAAATGGGGAATATGTCAAAGAGACAACAACCCGACCCGACAACAACCCGACCAATGCATGGTATGATTAAAGTATACACAAAGTAAATAAACTAAAACGATAAAATATAATTAGCAGATGTGTAAAATTTAGTTGAATTGCATTCAAACTTTGCAAGTTTGTAAGAAACTCATTTGAATAGACCGGTTTTTCTAAGAATTTGAACGTTTTGTATTTTTTTCTACAACGAGTATTTGCATGACGAGAATTACTGTCTGGATATTGTTAGTAGAACCTTTAAAAAAAGAAAATCGAAGTATTCGTGATGTTAACAATCTTCTGGAAATATGCATAGCAGATAAACATGTTTTATAGCATCAATTATTTCATCTTCTTACAGGTGAATATGTTTATTAATCAAAGGAAACAGGCACTAGATAAATATAAAATCTACATTATATTTTGTGACCGTTATTCGTACAAATTCCCATAAAGAAAACTAAAATCAAAGGCATAAATTTTATATGATTGTATCTTGAAGTTTTCCCTTTTGAATTGTTTTAAATTGTTCATCTGGGGTCGTTTGTAGCTTACTTTATGGTATGAATTTTTTTCATTGCGACCTATAATTGCTTTTATCCATGTGATTTTAATTCTGTCAGACTGATGTATAGATGTATCATTAGAAGTCATTCCACATTTGCTAATTTTTATTTTTATTTTTTTATCTTAAATTTATTTTCAAGGTCTGTTTATTTATGTCTGCATCTTTTATTATTTCTAATCCATACATACGATGAACATTAACATATAATTTCTTACTATTTTGACATCTGTCACCGAAGTAATTTCCGGTACAGCTACAAGTGCCAGATGACCCGGATACAACACAACTTCCACCATTTTGACAATTTACACCATCACATGGTTGTATACCTGGACAAAAAAAACAAGCAGTTATGGTACTGTACTCACATGGTTCAAAGTCGCTATTCGCAACTCAAGCAATGGAATACTATACTTTTACAATATTTAAGGTGGTACATAACACTACAGGGAGATAACTCTGTAAAAATCAGCTGAACGTTTTAATCACGTTCTATTGTTAAGGAAATATTAAGCTTCTCAATGATCAAAAATAGTGTTTGTCAAACTGCTATATATCCAATGAAACCATTCCGATGAAGTTTGTGGTTCAAGATTTTTGAAATTTTTTTATTTTTGTTAAAGGTTCAAAGTTAATATTTTGTCCATATCTTATGAAAATTAAACGAGCCAAATTATTTTAATCAAGGTGTTTGGTACCACCTTAAATGCTTATTAGAGGGGGTTTTAGTACATATACGTTTTATGTTAAAACGAAATATCATAATTCAATGTTTTCTTTTAATTGATGACTTTATTGGTACAACTTACATGGTTCACATGCAAAATTTCTTTATGGAAAATCTAAGTTTTTAAACCTTTTACTATTTAATAATATACATACTAAAAGGTAATCCAAGTGCCGCTCTGCTGTTTGACATATAATGTGACGTCATGAATCCACCACATCCACCCATGTGCATTTCCCAGTCAAAGTAGAAATCAGTATCCATATAGTTGTTCACTGGCAGCACTGTAGAGTCATCCATCCAACCCGTCATGAAACTATTAGAATCGCCCAGCCGTCCAGGTGATGCATTGTTCGGATTATAATAAAATGTGATATAACTGTTCGGATTGGCATCACAATTTGTGAAAGTGAAGTCTTTACCTCCTGCGCGGTATCCTTGTGTTCCATAGTTTCTTACTAAACTCTCAGGTAAAAAGCCAAGAAATAAGTACGGTTGTAAAGCTGCGTTCGGGCTTTGTGGTCCTTGATAGGAAGTATGGGTGTTGTAGCCAAAATATAAAGTTGACGAACTTTGGAAAGAAGACAAATTTTCGACGATAACCTCTCTTTGTTCGCCATTGCTATGTCTGAGGCGGATTTTGGCAAAATCTCTTGTGGTGAACAACAAACTCATATCTACAGTTGAACTGTGGGATGCCTTAGAGATGTACGTGTAGCCATAGCTACTTTCAAATGAACAATAAACGTTTATTGCGTTTCCATTGTGATGGATGACGTAATTTCCATTTGAGTTCCGATTGTCGGCCAAGTATATGTCTTTGCAAGAATCTATCCGAAACAAAGATTTCAAAAATAAGATTATTATCATTTACTTATAATTACATATTTTTATGAAAGTATTTGAATCCGTCTTTTCAATATTCTTTGAAAGTTTCTATCTAATCATAGCTGTAAATACTATTAGATTAATATGTAAATTCACATAGTTTTATAGTTTGTATAAGGTAAAATAACAAAAATACCGAACTCCTAGGAAAATTATAAACGGAAAGTCCCTAAGCAAATGGCAAAATCAAAAGCTCAAACACATCAAACGAATGGATAACAACTATATGTTACACTATTTTTTCAGTTGCAAACCATGTTTTCTTTGTCCATGAAACTATGATAATTTGTCATTTATAGTAATTTTCTTAGCATTTGTCATCATATATTTATTTACGTGTTTATATTTTGTTTGTGGTGTCCTGGTGTGCTGTCGTAAATTTATGGGAGGTGTTTGTTGTTATTCTGCGGTAATACGTTGTATTGTACTATTATATTATTTATTTATGTATTTCTCTGTGCTGAGTGTTCTTGCCTTTGTTTGTACTGTATTCCTGTCACGTAGTGTTGTCATTTTAGCGGTATTTTTTACATTGCCATATAAACAGGAGGTATGGCTAGCAATAAAACCAAGTTCAACCCACTATTTTTTCTTAAAAAAACCTGTCCCAAGTTAGGAATATGGCAGTTGTTATCTACAGTCCGTTTCTATGTATGTTGACGTTTGCTTTTGTAGTAGTTCAGAGTTTTTGTTGTTCCGTTGTTTTCCTCTTATAGTTGATGTCTTTCCCTTGGTTTTAGTTTGTTACCCGGATTTGTTTTTCCTTAATCGAATTATGACTATTGAACAGCGGTATACTACTGTTATCTTTATTTATGCCTTTTTAAAGAATGTATTCTATGATTCATAATCAGCCATATTAACTGTTTCTGTTGTGATATTATGTAATAGATACTTTCTGTACCTATTAAGTTATTTTGAACCACGCACGTGGCAGGTTCATGCGACTCCAATCTTAATTGACTAGGATTGTCAGTTTTCCTACCGAAAGTCGGTGGTTTTCTCCGGGCATTCAGGTTCCCTCTACCATTAAAACTGGCCACGACGAAAAAGCCATTGTGTTGAAAGTGGTGTGTTCAACACCAAAAATCAATCAATTGCGGCTGTCATTGGAAGATCTCTTTTGGGTCAAATTGTAGACGTTTATGTATTACATATTGATGATTTAAGATCATATGTATACAGCAAAAACTTAAGTATTTTTGTTTGTATTAAACTATATTTTAGAAAGATCAAACTTCAGTGATAGAACATTATGTTTTCGGTAGTCTGTAAATGACATTTTAACCACTGGTTTTTGAAGTTTTTTTTTTGTGCAGACTTACTTCAAGTACCATTTCATATAGTGTAACAAGAAGATTATATTGATCATGCTGTCAACAAATGGTATGAACGCCATGCATTTATTTTAAAATATTTATTCTTTCACCACGTGTTATCTAAACTTACTGTATGCACTGGTTTTGTAAATCAGACAAACTACAGCTAAATATATGAACCACAACTTCGATTTCATTTTGTAACGTTAGCTCTCAACTTTACTCCCTGGAATAGACATAAACCACAAAAGATTTATTTAGACAGAACATATTTTATCCACATAAATAATTTATATAGATAAAGTTGCATGCATGATAAGAATGATAGTTTGTTTATGTGCTGATTTGGTCAATATGTCGAGTTGGGGAAACGAAGAAGCTTCCCAATGAAAGGAAACTAAAACAAGAAGTAGATGTAGTAGTATTATAAACTAAACGAGAGTATAAATGGCGTGGGTATAAAAGGTCACCATGGGGACTTCAACAATGAGTCAAACCCGTACTGTGTGATATGACCACGCAAAATTTAGATAAATATTTCAAATCAAATCAAACGCATTTGTTTCAAATATTTAAAAACAAAAGTTGTAGTTTAATGTCGCCATTACTGTCATCGTCATTAGCATCTGTTTCTCTTAACATTTACGAGGGATGCTTTGATATTGTACACCTTTTAAATTATTTACTCTCTAAACTGCCTCTTGAATTAAAATTGAAATTAGCAAACTCATAAAAGAGTCAAAGATTTGATTTTATAAAATCAAAAACCTGAAGTGTCAAAAACACACAACGTATTCTTATTTTTATATTAATATGTCATTACCCTCTCAGAATTCAAGTCAAGGACTGGAGCAGAGTGTTACCAAGGTATCACTCAGTTTCAAGACGGAAATTTTACATAAAATGTAAAAAAGCATTAATGTCTTTTAATAATTTTTTGAAGTGACAAGATATTAATTTGACCATATCAAAAAATATGCATGCATATTGGTAATACTTTTCGATTATTCAACTTTCAAATTTAGGGTTCCCAAAAATAAAAATAAAAACAGTTCGTATTTGATATGTTTTCCCAAAGACTTACACGAGTAATAAAGAAAGTATGTGTCTTACCTTGGTTTGTTCAAGTGTACGTGTAAGTCAAAGTCAAAGATTGATTAATATAAATCCTAAATCCAAATTGTCATCAAACACAGAATAGAACGACAATGAAATATTATTATAATACTAGCTTGAGTCAAATTTTGGTAAAAGAAAACTATATTTTCCTTCCATTTGGAATGAGGAGTAACAAAGGAAATTATTCATATCAATTTGAATATAATAATATAAGGAGCAATTAGTTAAAAATAAAAAATAAAAACATATTAATAAAAATGTATAAATATATATAGTGAAAAAACAAATTAATGAACGTATGAAATGGTCAGTAATAACTTAAATGGAACACTTACGAATAGGACTTCTTTCTTATGGACTAAATGAGAAATTTTGTTTTCCCTTTAATTAATGAAACAATATTTGAATGTCAAAATAACCATTTTTGTAAGTGGTAAATGTTAATATATGAAAGGTATTTTGACCAAGAAAAAAAACCCCACCAATGTACTTTTTATCTGATACCACTAAAATTGTCTTTATCTTTCATTTATGGAAAGTTCTTTTTGTGCAATTAACCAGAAGTATTTAAACAGATTGCAATAACATTCGTTAATTATACTTAACCAACTTTTTAGCAATTACAAAGTAAACAAACAGAACACTACCAATTATATTGTATATATTTACTTTCTAATAATACATGCTCCAAACAAAATAACTAATTTAAATTCTCCAACTCTATGGTAAATGAGCCAGAAATATATTAACACAATTATTGAGTTATTCCAAATTAACATTTAAAATAAAAAAAAATCATCTGGTATTTAAAACATTTGAAACAATTACCGAGTGTGACATTCACGATTACATCTAAAGAATAAAAGACCGAAAGTATTACATTATGTTAAACTTTATTTTAGTACTTTTCAATTATAAACTACACTTCTTATCTTTTAAATTAACTCTTTATTACTTTTATTTTTAAACTGCAATAATAGTCATAATGTACCGAAATTGAACTAATATCATGACAGTTGATAATACATGTTACACTAACCAAATAAATTTTAACTGAAATTATGTCGAGGTTAAAAGCATTGAAAAATGTATATTCAAAAGTTTAAGTATTGCTTTTTTAACTCTCATACAACGCTTATAGTATAGTATTGGTTCAAGTTAAAGTCTTGAAAAACACAGTCGTTTTAGTAGTTTACTCAAATGTTAATAGTATAAAATCTGTATTTGTTAAGTCAATTTCTTTTTTTTTTTGTGATTAATAATAAACTGACGAATCAAACCTTTCGAACTGATTTGTATAGATTTTTTACAATGACGTACTGGTATAACAGTGTTGCCGGTTAAATGAAGGGGATGAGCACTCGCAAACATTTCGAATCCCGCCATATTCTTAAAAAGGCTTTCCAAAGTTAGGTGCCAGTCGACCAGTCGTTGTCATTGGATGCCGTCTGTCAGAATTAGTTTTCGTGTACTGGTATTAGCTTAAACCAGGTCGTAAGTTTTATATTCTGTTGATTTGCATTTTGTTATCTGAAACCATTTTATTTACTTTACGCTACAGATCTTGTCCATTGTTCAAAGCCGCCTGGTAACCTGCAATTGTTCACATCTTTCACCTTTAGTCTTGGGTTGAAGTTTGTCACAAATTACACAATATCTTTTTTCCCCTTACAATGAATAGATGTAATGATTGAACTTTTTCCTCATATAAAAATATAAATCAGATACTAAACTATACACCAATTCCTAATTACTAGTCAAATGTGTAGTATTTTGAATATGATATATCTACAATATGCACTAGATTGATTGATTGATTGATTGTCGGTTGCTTAACGTCTAGTGGTTTATGCACTAGACATTAGACATGCAAGACTATTAAGTCTTAGATGCATGATTTTTTTTATTAGTTGTTAGTGGCTTTGAACTAGCTGTCAGTAATTGCGAGTACTCTCAGATCTGTACTTAGTGTCTTTTTGTTGTTTGGATGTACAAGTACCCGGCCACGTCCACTTGTATTTGTAGTATATGTATTTTTATCCATCTGACGAGTTAAGCCTCTTTCAACTGATTTTTATAGTTCGTTCTTATGTTGTACTGTTACACCCCTGTCCAAGGTTATTGGGGGGGGGGGGGGGGGGGGCTGGGGTTGGGATCCCGCTAACATATTTAACCCCGCCACATTCTGTATGTATGTGCCTGTCCCAAGTCAGGAGCCTGTAATTCAGTGGTTGTCGTTTGTTTATGTGTTACATATTTGTTTTTCGTTCATGTTTTGTACATAAATTAGGCCGTTAGTTTTCTCGTTTGAATTGTTTTACATTGTCATTTCGGGGCCTTTTATAGCTGACTGTGTGGTATGGGCTTTGCTCATTGTTGAAGGTCGTACGGTGACCTATAGTTGTTAATTTCTGTGTCATTTGGTCTCTTGTGTAGAGTTGTCTCATTGGCAATCATACCACATCTTCTTTTTTATATTATTCAATGGACATTTTTTATTTTTAGGCAAACTCAATATGGGTATGATACGGTTTTTCTCACTGATGAATTATTATTATGTTTCACTCCAAGTGACATTTCATTTTATTATACAGATACTCATTGGGACTTTTCTGTTCCGAAATTAATCATTTGTACAACAAATTGATGAAAAGAACATTTCGGATAGAAATATTTAATCTAATTCAGTGTACTTTTCCTGTTTGGATATAAATTTTTCTAAACGAACTTTTTGGGGTGTGCTGTAGATAAATCTTATAAAAAACGGGGATCGTTATAAAAATATCAAATATGAATTTAAGAAAATGTGGGTTCAGTGAACAAGTAGACAAACACAATTGTGCAAAACATATGTTTGGCGGTCCAAATTTAGTTTTCACCAATAAATGAGTGCTAGAGTCTTCTGCAGACTGTAAACGAATATTCATAGATTCTAGGACAATTGTTACTGCTAATATGAAAGAGATGAAGTGTATTTCGTACTATTTGGTTCAGAATTCTTTCAATGCAGGATCGATAGTACATCACATTGTATTTGTTGATTGTCACCAAACAGTTTCCACATGAACAACAGCTACTAAATTCACCTTTTTTGCTAAATATGCTTGCCCTCAAAAAGGTAGGCAAATTAACAATAAGTCTTTTCGACTCAATTGGCCGAAACGATAGATTGCCATTAACAACGTGGAGCAGAAATAGTGCAATGAAACAGACTAACATAGAGACATCTTAAAAAAATTTTCATGTGTTTTTTTTTTACGTGAAAAGGATGTTTCACTCAGCCGACACAAGCAAGAGATTCTAAGGCCTGCTGAAAAAAGGGCATATGTTTGGACTTATATATCCCACACAAGCAATTTATTCCCAATAAAAAGCCTTGGGATTGTTGTCGCATCTCTTTAGCTTAAGCTGTTTTAATAAAATAATCATTAAATAAATTTTTATTAAAATACTTTTTGGACATCAATAATTTTAAGGAATGCATCGACAGGGCAAACGTCTCCTGCTCATCATACATCATTCAAGTGGCACATATGGGGGAGATTAAAATAACAAAAATAACGAACTCCAAGTAAAATTCAAAACGGAAAATCCTCCATCAAATGGCAGAATCTAAACCTCAAACACATCAAACGAATGGAAAGGACACAATCAGTATATAAATTTCTGTTCTGTAAAGATATATGATTTAAAAGTTATTTTTTCTAAGTTGGTTTTACTATAACTAAATTTTATAGACTTAAAAAAGAGTGACGAAAGATACCAGAGGGACAGTCAAACTCATAGATCGAAAACAAACTGACAACGCCATGGCCAAAAATAAAAAGACAAACAGACAAATAATAGTACAGATGACATAGTAAATATGCAGGAGGTCTCATATTGACTTTGAGATGAAGAAGAGCAATACAAGGCTTCAATATGATTTTACTTCGTCGCGACTGTGTGAGTCATTATTTGCAACATCACTTTTTCTGTCTTTCTAGCAACCGTCATTTCTCAGGAATAAAAATACATGCTTGTGAATTTCATTGCACTTTTTTATTTTTGTGATTGTGAGCTTATAAAATCAGATACGTAAATATTCTCCTTGTAATTATTATAGAAGGACTTATAATAATTATTATCAAGATGTATTTGTGCGATGTCTAATCACTTGAAATAACTTATCCAATAAGAGTAACACGACCGTTGTTGCATGTGGAACAGGATTTGCTTACCCTTTCCGGAGCAGCACCTGAGATCTTACCCGTTTTGTGGTGGGATTTCCTGTTACTTAGTCTTTAATTTTCTATGCTTAGTTAGATGTACTGTTTTTGTCTTTAAGTCGTTTTCGTTTTTAGCAATGGCGTTTCAGTTTGTTTTCGATTTATGAGCCTAAAATTCTCTTTTGTATCTTTAGCTTCTGTTTCACAAAAATAGTTCAACACAATCATGCTGAAAAATTGTTGAATATATATAGTATTATTTTTCATAACAACGACTTAATGTGAAACAGTTTATTCTTAATTTTTAATACAAAGAATACAAGAAAGCATGAAAGTGTATAAGATAGAAATATTTTGATCAAATTTTAATTTCGTAACTGTTTTACATTATAAGAACGGCAAACAGTGTCGACAGTACTGCAACTAGTTTCCAATTTCCAAGCAGAGTCGTACAATCGCTGTTAAAATCTAAAAAATAAATAAAACTAATAATATTTAAAATCTTAAAACCCGACATGGAGCCAAATTGTCATGAAAAAGAGGGACGAAAGATACCAGAGGGACATGTTGTCATGAAAAAAAGGGGCGAAAGATACCAGAGGGACATGTTGTAATGAAACATTCGAATGATTTGCACATGCATTATGTACTGTTATATGTCTACTTGATCCAAGTAAATAACTGCTTAAATTGTATGAGCAACACAACTGGTGTCACTTGTGAAGCAGGATATGTGTGCCCTTACGGAGCACCTGAGATCAAGCCCGGTGTTTGGTGGGATTCGTATTGCTATATCTTTTTTTCAATGTTGTGTTTTGTGAACTGTTTTGTCTTTTCGTCATTTTTCTTTTTTTTATTGCGATAGCATTGCCAGTTTGTTTCGAATTATGACCTTGAATATACCTTTTATATCTTGCATGTCTCTCTTATGAAGAAATAAAAGTAATACTATTTGAAGATTCAGAATACATAATGTACTTGCATGTTGTATAAAACTGTGATGATCTAATAAGTGTTAAAACTCTCATTATAATGTGTCATATATTTTATTATTTTGGTGTGGGTTTTTGTTTCTGTTGTTTGTATTAAATGTACCTCATATTTGTTTTACACATTGATCATTGAAATCGTAATCCAACACTTTACATTACTTACCAGGTTCTAGTTGTACTTCAGCTGAAAAAAAAACAAATAAAAAATATAGTTTGTGTGATGGTTATTACTGGAAGAAGATCATCGTCTTGGATGTATGCATTCAAGATTATTCCTGTTTTTTGTCTTTCTTGTCTAATTATAATTAGATACTAAAAATATTGCGATATAAACTTAACCTCCATTATGGGAAAATGTTTTTAAATATACGTGCTGCAATTATCAGAGATCAGTTTCTAAATGTCTATTGAAATATTCATTAGATGATCTATGATCAAAACCAAATAGAGATGACATAGTTTCCTGGAATTAGGTCTAGATATAATAAATGGTATTCAAACCTGTTGCAATAGTTGTCGTTTTCACTTGTTCCCCGGAGGAAGATAAAGACACTCCATCGGTTTTTGAGGTATTTGATCTTTCTGTTGAGTCTGTAGGATCTAAACGAGGATCCCTGGTGGTCGATGTTGCTGACATTCCTCGAGTTGGTCCAGTAGGACCTGAATGAGGATCCCTGGTGGTCGATTGGTCCGACATACCACGAGTTGGTCCTGTCGGATCTAAATGAGGATCCCTGGTGGTCGATTGTCCCGACATTTCTCGAGTTGGTCCAGTAATACCTGCATGGGGATCCCTGGTGGTCGATTGTCCCGACATTTCTCGAGTTGGTCGTCCTGTCGGATCCAAATGAGGATCTCTGGTGGTCGATTGTCCCGACATTCCTCCAGTTGGTCCTGTCGGATCCAAATGAGGATCTCTGGTGGTCGAGTGTTCCGACATTTCTCGTGTTGGTCCTGTCGGATGTACAGGCAGATCTTTGGTGGTCGAGTGTTCCGACATTCGACGAGTCGGTCCTGTCTGATTTAAATTAGGGTCTCTGGTTGTCGAGTGTTCCGACATTCCTAGTGTTGGTACTGTCGGATCCAAATGAGGATCTCTGGTGGTCGATTGTCCCAACATTTCTCGAGTTTGTCCTGTCGGATCCAAATGAAGATCTCCGGTAGTCGAGTGTTCCGACATTTCTCGTGTTGGACCTGTTGGATGTACAGGCAGATCTCTGGTGGTCGAGTGTTCCGACATTCGACGAGTCGGTCCTGTCTGATTTAAATGAGGGTCTCTGGTAGTCGAGTGTTCCGATATACCACGAGTTGGTCCTGTCTGATTGAAATGAGGATCTCTGGTGGTCGATTGTTCAGAAAGTCCTCGAGATGGCCCTGTCGGAATGAAATACGGATCTCCGGTGGTCGATTGCTCCGACTTTGCTCGAGATGGTTCTGTCGGATCTAAATAATGATCCCTGGTGGTCGATTGCTCCGACTTTCCTCGACTTGGTTCTGTCGGATCTATATAAGGATCCCTAGTGGTCGATTGTTTCGACATACCAAGAGTTGGTCCTGTCTGATTGAAATGAGGATCTCTGGTGGTCGAGTGTTCCGACATTTCTCGTGTTGGTCCTGTCGGATGTACAGGCAGATCTCTGGTGGTCGAGTGTTCCGACATTCGACGAGTCGGTCCTGTCTGATTTAAATGAGGGTCTCTGGTGGTCGAGTTATCCGATATACCACGAGTTGGTTCTGTCTGATCTATATAAGGATCCCTAGAGGTCGATTGTTCCGACATACCACGAGTTGGTCCTGTCTGATTTAAATGAGGATCTCTGGTGGTCGAGTGTTCCGACATTCCATGAGTTGGTTCTGTCGGATCTATATAAGGATCCCTAGCGGTCGATTGTTCCGACATACCACGAGTTGGTCCTGTCTGATTGAAATGAGGATCTCTGGTGGTCGATTGTTTCGACATACCAAGAGTTGGTCCTGTCTGATTAAAATGGGAATCTCTGGTGGTCGAGTGTTCCGACATTCCTCGAGATGGCCCAGTGGGACTTACATAAGAATCTCTTGAAGTAAGTGTAGGCGACAATCCATTAGTTGTTGAGGCATGCATTCCAGTAGGATCTACATAGGGATCCCTGGTACTTGATGGTTGCATTCGATTTGATGTTGTGTAATTTATTGTTTTAATTGTAGTAATGTGAACTGAAATATAAATGCATTTACTTAGATAGTACTTTGATTATAACAGCTATAGGCTTTCCTTTTATTAAAAACAGACAATACAAAATTAAACCTCATTTCTGTTGTGTTTCTAAGAAATGTTGTTGCATTAAAAATACAGTTGCACGTTAAAACAGATAATAAAGGGGACTCATATAATTTTTGTAACTTCATTTTTGATAACAGCGTGTGCAATACTGTTGTTGAATAAAAAAAAATGTATTCGTAATTACATTTAAGATAGTACTATGATCTTTTTCATAAATAATGTGTTTATATTAATTCTTTTTATCACGGGTATAAAAACACACATTTATGTTCTCTCTATACAAAAGGAGATAATACCTAATCGTAAAAATAAAAGCTAATTTGTGCAACTGTTATGAATGGGAAGTAAAACATACTTGTGTCACAATATCTCTAAACTTGTACAACTGTTATGAATAGGAGTAATACACGCTTTTGTCACAATGTCATTTCTGTATAGTTTTAAGATCTGCAACACTTCATTGAACTATAAATCATAGAAGCCTGCATCACGCACCTTGTTCATTTATAGCTGACAATCATTATCATATTTCATATTTGGTTATTTAAATGTCCTAATATTTATTAATATTTGAAAGAAAAAAATTAGAAGTTTGTTCAGTAAAGGACTTTTTTCAATACTACAGATCATAGTATCTTCTGTAATTTTTGTGTTTAGAGTTAAAGTCATGGGATTAAAACATATACCCTTTGACATAGAAACACATGAAAATATGGAATTCAAAGATTCTCACATATTTTCCTCTTACTTGTTTTGGCTTTATAACTGTTGTTGAATTTTTATTAATTATTTATTGTGAATTATGTCATTATCAATCCCAAGCATCCATTGTTTTAGTATGATTTATTGGAAAAAGTATTATGTGGTACCTTTGCCACAGAGTTAAAACATTAAATAGTGATTTAAATGATGACATAGAAACTGGTGGCATTTCTGGTGCAATACATTAAACAGTGTTTATATATCTATGCGTAAAACATAAAATGTATGTATTTCTGTGACAATATTCTCTCTGCCTTTAATTTAGATACCATTCGTTTTCACTTTTCCTTATGTTAAAGATACAGTGCAATTCGACGATGACCATTTGTCTTGAAAACATTATGTGAATGTCATGCTTTTGAGACATAATGGATATCTATGTTTTTGGTATATCTGTCTCCTAACGCGCAATTTGCAATCTATATAATACACACAAAAGGAGCAATATACCCTCCTAAGTAATTTGTCTGACCAACATACCTGGGCAATCGTGCATGTTACAAGGTTCTTCTTTTGTGTTAATTCCAGCACAATCAGCACCCCCATTTGTCGGAGGAGGGTTGGTACAAGTCCTGTAATATGTTTCAATGCCACCTCCGCAATCGTTACTACAAGTATTAGTGATTACCCAGTCGCTCCATTCCCCATTGATAACTTCTTCAAAATAGATTGATATTTATTAAAACTTTTTAACAAATGAAAAACTGCCAATTAAGAACTTTAATATTAAAACAAAAACTGGCATGTTACAAGCGCAATTTTGCTTTGTTTGGAAAAGGATAAAAAAAACCAACTATATCTACTTGATGTTAAGAATGTTCGCTTCTCTGTTTCAAAATAACAAGCCTTTTAAAAGAATGTTATGAATTGATAGTATATAAATAAGTGAACTAAAACAGCAGAAAAAAATTATACGTCCGTGTCCTTGTTTTTGAAATATGATTACTTGAAAATTTGGCGGGGAATAATTCTTTCTAAAGTTTAATACATTTAAGTTGGCACCTTTTTTCTTTCAAAGACTAAGAAAAACAAAACAGTTTTTTTTTAAATATATGTAATAAAATAATGAAAAGTAAAGTAGCGGTTAGCGGGAAAAATTTTTATTGCCACTACATGGATAAAACTAATGGATTTTGAATATCTGACAAAAAGAAAAAAAAAAAAAAGTAAAGAGAAGCGCACATCCTTAATACGAATCCAACTATCAAATTATTTATTTTCTTAAAATAGCGTACAGTTTAAACTTTAAAATTATAATATTTTGGATTAACTTTATGAATATTCAATAAATCAAGATACATACGTGATTTTGCACTGGAGTTTTTCAGTATTCACTTCAAGTTATTAATGTATCAAATCAGAGACAATCTAGTAATTTTACATATTGTATATCAAACACTTGTCTACTGTAGAACCCGTACGTTGACCTCAAGATGTATTTTGGTTTTCTGCTATAGACACAATATGACTTATCTCATTTATAAGATTAGATCTTATATCATAATCTGACGGTTTTAGTTGACATCTAAAATCATTTTCTAATACTTACCCAGCTCACAAACATCGCCTGTATATGATGACGGACATAAACAGACACCAGTTATGCAACTACCACCATTTTTGCAAATGATTCCATCACATTCGTCAACTGAATAACACCAATCATTTCATTTAAAAAGTGACAATTACATTGATATCAACCTTGCATTTTATTGCTTGTGTTTTTGTTTAGAGGATGGGGGCGGTGGTCACAGTACAAAAAGACATTTTGAAAGTTCATTAATCCTTAAATATATCAATAAAGATAAATGTAAAGATATACTTTAAAACCGGTCTTATAGTATATAGATTCCGTGTCTGTGCTGTTTATTACTTTATTTCTGTCTGTGTTCTAATTTACTGGAATACATCAATTTATAGAATTCTAAGTGGAGTTCTTCTTGTTAATTAATCAGATTTTATGTGTGACGTTTAAAGAACCTTGTTTATCTAATGTTATCTTAAGTTGTAGAAGTTATGAATTGATGAATATAAATTAGCAGAAATAAAGAACACACAAAAACTGTGAATATCTGCCTTGTTTAGGAAACTGAGACCAAATCTCTGTAATGCTAACTTACTTGGACAGTCCCGTTTAGTACAAGATTGTGTTTCTGAGTCATCATTACCGCAATCCACTCCGCCATGGTGTGGAGCTGGATTTGAGCATGATCTTGTCTTCGTACGTGTTCCTTCACCACATGTCACAGTGCAGGCGTTCCAAGGTGCCCATTCAGACCATCCACCGTTTACTGAAAAGGAACAACTAAGTACACAATCAACATATGAATATAACATAACTATAAGTTGTCTGATAAAAATAAAATGTAATTCAACAAGCATTTGACACTTGTAAAACCGAGGCTGTGCCGATCATTTCTATCATGTTTCGAGCAAACGACAGATAACATTTACTTTGTTTAACGACAATGTATTTTTCCTATCTTTATTCTGCAATTCTTAAAATTGGATTTGCATGGCTTTTGAAAGATGCATAGCAGGACACGCTTACAAAGTCAAAGCATCCTGTCTCTCTCCTTTTTGGGTTTATGCAAATCCCTCATTTTGTGTTTGTAACCTTGATGCCTCCTCTGATTAATAAAGAATTGTAGCAATATTTATAAGTGGATGTTGAATATAACAAAGCATAAATTGTAGAAATAAACGGTTGAATAAAACAACTCAAAAATAAAGAACACACAAACACAGGCTAATCTCTGCCTTGTTTGGGACACTGAAACCTTATTTATTTAATGCTAACTTACTTGGACATTCCTGTTTAGTACAAGCTTGGGTTGCTGAGTCATCATTACCGCAATCAAATCCGCCATGGTCTGGAGCTGGATTTGAGCATGATCTTGTCTTTGTTTGTGTTCCTACACCACATGTCACAGAGCAGGTGTCCCAAGGTGCCCATTCAGACCATCTACCGTTTACTGTAAAGTTTACATACAAATATTCCGTATCAACTTCACAAATAAAACATGATGGTCTTGAAGTATAGATTGTAGGTACTAACGTTGTTTATCATCTTAATTACGTGTCAAAGTTCCCCTTTTTTATCCTTGTATATTTTCAACCTTTACAGTTTATCCATTTTTGATACTTATGACATGGATTGGTACTTACACATCCTGCCATTGTGTTATTGTGGAATGGTCAATTTTGAGATCTTTTCTTTCATGTATGCTTATGTACATGTCTATATGCCATTTTGTGTTTCTTTGTTTAAACAGTTATTTGTTCTTATATGGATTAAGATTATACAACCATGCTGACTACTGTACCCCAATGTTTGACGTTTTTACTTATTATGTCTGTTTGTTTTGCTACACATTGTTGTCAATATAACGAAATTCTATGCAACTGTCATACAAGTGAGACAATTAGCTAGCTGTAAAACCAGGTTTCAATCACCATGTTCCACATAAGGAAATGCCTGTACCAAGTCAGGAATATGACAGTTGTTTTCCATTCGTTAGATGTGTTTGAGCTTTTGGTTTTGCCATTTTATAAAGGACTTTTCGTTTTGAATTTCCCTTGGAGTTCAGTATTTTTGTTATTTTACTTTATACATTTAACATTAGAATGCTAACCCATGAAACAATGAGTACATGTATACTATTTGAAAACCAAAGATGTAAAAATGAACATGGTGCAAATTTTCGCATACTTGGACATAAATGTGTATTGCAGGACTGCGAAGCTGAGCTGTCACCGCCACATACCAATCCATCATGCGCTGGAGCTGGTTTTGAACATGTTCGTGTCTTGCTTTGTGTTCCACCACCACAATCAAGCGTACATGTTGCCCATGATGTCCAATCACTCCATCCACCATTAACTGAAGACAGATCAATGTTTCCGTATAAATACTTATCAAAGCGAGGAATAGTCTAACTGTTCAATGGACTTGATATTTAAGTTCAATTCTAACAAAAATGATTTAACAGCTCACATGCGCATTTCGAAATATTATTTTGTTGTTTATGTTATATTTCAGCAACGCCGAAAGGCGTTCATATTAATTCATACCACAATAAAAGTGAGTATACATTACATGCTGACATTGGACTCCTATCTCACGAATTACTCGGACGTGATACTCATTATTAGTTAAAGAGAGACCAAAGGGACGTTTAAACTCATTAGTAGAAAATAAACTGACAATGTCATGACTCAAAAGAACAACATAGTTAGGTATGAGTAATATATAAATTAAACATCATAATATTATTTTCTTCTTCTTGCTGGAGAAATATCTTCAATAAAATTCAGTATGGAAATGGGGAATATGTCAAAGAGACAACAAACCGACCAAAGAGCAGATAACTGCCGAAGGACACCAATGGGTCTTCAACGCAGCGAGAAAATCCCGCACCCGGAGGTGGTCCTCAGCTGGCCCCTTAATAAAATTGTGTACTGGTTCAGTGAAAATGGACGTCACACTAAACTCCAAAACATATAAAGGAACTAAAATTAAAAAAAAATACAAGACTTATAAAGGCCAGAGGCTCCTGACTTGGGACAGGCGCAAAAATGCGGCGGGGTTAAACATGTTTTGTGAGATCTCAACCCTCCCCCTATACCTCTAGCTAATGTAGAATAAAGAAACACATAGCAATGCGCACAGTGAAACTCAGTTTAAAAGAAGTCCGAGTCCGATGTCAGAATAGGTAACAAAAGAAACTAAGCAAAATGACAATGATACATAAATTAACAAAGGACTACTAGCAGTTACTGACATGACAGCTCCAGACCTCAATTAAACTGATTGAAAGATTATTTCTTCATCATATGAAAATCAGGTTCAATCCCTCCCGTTAGGGGTTTAGTATCATACCATCATAAAATATATGAGAAGAACATAACCCATATCATGCCAACAACTGGTTTTAGAATACATGTGTTTATTTCCGATGCAAAGACCCTATGAGTGAATCAATATTAATACCAAAATATGCAATCCTTAATGACCTGACAACAGTATCGTAACTATATCCCTTCCGAATAAGTCTGTTTAAAGGTTTAGTTAGCTTTTGAGGTGAATGCCGACATTTTTGTGCTTTGTAAAGAATATTACCATAAAATATTGGATGTGAAATACCTGAACGTATAAGATGTCTGCATGTTGATTTATATTTACGAATGATGTCCTTGTACCGATGATAAAATTTAGTAAATGTGTTGACTAGTTTGTGATATCGAAAACCCTGGTGTAATAATTTTTCAGTAATACAGAGATTTCTTTCGTTGAAATCAAATACGTTGTTACATACACGAGCGAATCGAACAAGTTGAGATATATAAACACCATAAGATGGTGACAAGGGAACGTCACCATCTAAAATGGATAATTAACAATAGGAAATGAAAAATCATCTCTTTTATCATAAATTCTGGTATTAAGCTTCCCGTCAAAGATATAGATATCAAGAACCAGGAAAGGACAGTGTTCCTTGTTAGTATTAGCTTTATATAAAGTCAGTTTGGCAGGATAAATCTCTTTAGTGTACATACTGAAGTCGTCATTATTGAGAGCCAATATATCATCTAAATATCAATAAGTGGTGCACAGTTACTTTCCATGGAAATTCCGATAACCTGACGATAAACGGAATCTCCAAAGCGAACAAAATTGTTATCTAGTAAAAATTCAAGGGCAGTTATAGTATCAAAGCAGGTCCAATTGACATAGTTATTTTGTTTGTTGTTACTAGAAAATGACCTAAAAGAGTTCGAACATATATATTCGCATTCCGACTTTTTAAATGCCCTTTTAATCAGGTGTGTGAATGTTTTCTTAATAAGATTATGAGGCAAAGTGGTATATAGAGTAGAAAAATCAAAACTTTGAACAGATTCAAAATCACCAATATAATTCATTAATTTTCACTTTTACAGTAAAGTGTATCACAATATTTTTAAGTATGCTAAGAATTCCCTGATATTTACATAAAAGGAATATATAAAATTGAGTTTATTATTCAAGATTAAGGAATAAATTAAATGGAATAAGTAATTTGATTGAAATAGATTGAATGGGAAAATGATTAAAACATAAACTATAGAACACAAGTAAACCTATTCCAAATATTGTCGATCTACAGAAACTGAAATATATTTTGCAAAATTACCTTTCAGATTAATATTACTTATAATATTTCAAGTCACTAACATAATCAGAGCATGTTTCAAAGTATTTAAAATTTAACAATATTTAGGTATAAACTTTATTACTGATTCAGTTTTTAAAAGGAACAATCTATATATTTTCTAATGTTTTGAAAAAAACAACATTGTGAAAAATGACTGCATTAAGAACTAACTCTTCTTAAAACAATACACTTTGCTCCTCACATCTGAAAATTAAACTGCATTTACTTTAATGTCAGATTGAAATAATTCTGTAATCAGCACAAAAATGCAAAATTGACAAAATATTAAATTCATTTAGCATATTGAAAAATTGCAAGTATTAGCAAACAGTAAGAAGGTCACTGAGAGATCCAAAAAGTACTAATGCATTACCAATAAGTGGTGCACAGTTACTTTCCATGGATGTTCCGATAACCTGACTATAAACGGAATCTCCATAGCGAACAAAATTGTTATCTAGTAAAAATTCAAGGGCAGTTATAGTATCAAAGCAGGTCAAATTGACATAGTTCTTTTGTTTGTTGTTACTAGAAAATGACCTAAAAGAGTTCGAACATATATATATTCGCATTCCGACTTTTTAAATGCCCTTTTAATCAGGTATGTGAATTTTTTCTTAATAAGATTATGAGGCAAAGTGGTATATAGAGTAGAAAAATCAAAACTTTGAACAGATTCAAAATCACCAATATAAGCATGCAATTTATCAAGTACTTCCAACGAATTTATGACACTCCAAAAGTAATTAATTCCATATTTTCAAAGGCCTTATTTGAACAATTTATTACCAGGTTTTTGATTGTACCAAATGTACTAGTAAGTATAATAGATAGTTTAGTAGAGGAACAATGGCTTGAAGACGAAATAAATCTATATTTGTAAGGATTTTTAATTTGTGCAGTTTCGGAAGCCAGTACATAGTTGGAACTTTCATTGTATTTGGTTCTGCTTGTAAAGAGGTAGCTAAAAGTTTATGTTTGTTACAGATGTCATTTTCCGAAAATGGAGTCAGTTGGAAAGTTGGTGAATTCGTGATTTCCTTTTTTAGAATTCAATGTAAAATTTACGTCAAACAATAATGATATTGTTTGCAGCCTTATCAGCAGGGACAAAAACAAATTCTTTGATGAGTTCTTTTAGCTTATGTTTGATACGAGAAATTGGGCTATTATGGTTGTTGTTAGGAGTATAATGTTCTTTAACATGTTGAATACGTATATCAACTATGTTCATTATCGAATCAAAAAAAGAATCTAATGATTTCTTGTCAGCTTTTTCTCGTTTTATCCATTTAGAGCAGTAAGTTCGGAGTGAGTCTTGGATGATGTTACGACACTCATTCTAATTAATAATTGACGGGGGACAATATTTAGGTCCTTTACTGAGGAATGATTTCAACTCTCGGTCACGAACGATGTTAAGGTCTCCTGTTATAACATGGGAACTGGGGCCATATACGTATTCGGAATTACTGCAATTTCATGACGTAGGTGTATTGTCACTGATATTAACATGTTTACACACTTCGCTGTAATTAAACACATATTTCCGGGTAGATTTTTGTAAACATAACAAATAAGAGGGAGTTCAGTATTATCAAAATAGCCAGGAATTTGTTCTTTAACAGAATGATCATTAAAAATACCGGCAATATTTACAAAATCAAAACCTTTATTGACATATTTAATTTAATAAAATGTTTTTTGTTATCTTCAGGGCGATCAATTTTTGGAAACAATTTAGAATAACAATATGCAATTATAATTTGGACGATTTCATACTTAGGACTGCAATATGGAATTGTGTTCCATTCCTCCAAAATTTGATGTAACTTATTAACAGGTAAAGAACAGAGCTTGGTTAATAGATAATGTCTACCGTTGTTTTTTGAAATAGAAATTAGGTCCGAAATATTTGTATTGTTATTACGAAATTTTCTTTGATTGCGATTAATTCTATGCCCATGAGAACGGTTTTTACGACCTGTTTTAGAAACTATATCCAAAATGTTAACAGAATCTGTTCTAGATACATTACCAATTCCCATGATATTGTCATTAAGACCGAGAGGATAGACTGTCTATAATGTTTTAATCCAATTTAATTCAATTATTTTTCGTGATCATACAAATTTTGAATGAGATTCCCCAGGCTGCTTATTAACTACTTCTAAAGGTTGAACTGTTAAATATTTAAAAAGATGATTGTGCTTCTTAAGGTGTTGATAAATGATAATTTTGAATTTTGCGGGATCTTTTAAAACGATAAAGGTGTTCTTGCTTGCGTTTAGATAAATATCGTCCAGTTTCACCTACGTACTGAATACCGCATCCCGGTTTGTTTCATGTGAGTAAATATATAATACTGTTAGGTTTCAAGTGATATCAGTTTCAAAATTTAAGGTAAATGTGCGACCATTAAACGTGGACCTTACGGTATTGTTATTGGAAAGACGGGGACATGTAAGTCATTATAGATAGAAGGTTAACCACGATTTTTGTTATTAAAAATGTTAGCGATAGTAGTATTTTTAGATAATCGATTTTGAAGATTGAGACGTGAAGAAACCCTTTGAACGAGTTTAGAATTAAGTATTTTTCCATTTCAAAGTTTCATTATTTGTTTTTTGTTATCCGTTTTACCAATTGAAAGGAGCAAAGAATGGCGTCCTGAATACGAACCAGAACACAAAATATATTAAAGTTTCTAAAATGTATACTATGTCTTCTCTAAAAAATAATGAATAGCAAATGGTTATCATCAGAAAAGGGGATAAAAAATTAAGTGGTTGGTTTCTCCATTGACTGATGGTTTTAAGAACAAGTTTGGCCTTAAAAACTCTATATTTGTAGTTTGGCCTTAAACACTTTTCATTTTCAGTTTGGCTGAAATATGACTATTTATCATTATGTCGAAAATTGTATTTCGATGAATTTAACACATACTAAAACTACTTAATCGAGGTATGAAGTCCCCACATTAGCTTGTTATTGAACAAATATTCAGCTAACGTACATTACGAATGTTAGACTACAAAGTTCGAATTGCAACTATTCCCATATATTGTAAGATTCCGACTCGTGATTAGTCAGATTTCATCACAGATACATTATTTAAAAATTTTCGATAAATTTTTTTCTTGTAAGGCGTACAAAATCAGTGGGGATAGTCAAATGTTTTCCTTAGAAGTGTGTTATTGTATTTCATTCCTCAGTTATTTTCTTTTAGATTATAAACTCTGAGTACACTTGATGGTAACTTTCAAATGATTAAATCTCTTGGCAGATAACAGACTTCGCAAAAGCATTTTATGGAAAATGTGTACAGCTAAAACGCTACCAAGTTAACCATTCCAATATTTCTGAAATAGTCTAAAATTCGTGTACATCTGTTTGTTCTCAGGTTTTGTAATCCTTATAACAAATTGGTGTTCACGCCTCCTATTGTTTATTTAAATGATCTTCAAAACTTTTGGTACAAAATTCTACTTGCTTATAATTCTATTATAATTTTTGTCAGACAAGTACATGTTGTGAATACTAAAGTATCTGCAATATTTGATTATCTTGTATAATGTGTAGCCTTTTGCAAGTACATGGCTCCTACCTGGACAACTGTGAGTGTTACATGACTCTGATTTAGTCTTAGAACCGGAACAATTAGCCCCTTTGTGAGCTGGGGTAGGATTATTGCAATTACGTGAATACGAAATTGATCCACCACCGCAGTCAACAGTACAACCAGAAGTCGCAGTCCAGTCGCTCCATCCACCATTTACTAAAATAAGACGATTTTCTTAATAACAATTTACAAACCACTTACATTTGCCATCAATTCAATCAGATGAATAACACAGTACAATAAACATCATAGCATACGATAATTTCCAAATTGGTTGCAGAAAGACAAATATCCTTACAATGGAATGGCTTGCGATCGAGTTTATTGCCGAAACCTTAAAAGTCACTTCTGATTTTTTTTCAAATCACGTAAAATCATTTAAATTCAAATTCCAACAACTTTCAGAGCACTTTGGAAGAGCAGCAGGTATATAACTAAAGCATAAAGGAAAAATCTTTTGTAGTATAGTTTATATTGATCGTTTAAAATGAATTGTCGCAATATCTGAAATTGTTTTACTTTCATAAAATTAAAACTAATGGGTTTGTCCGAAATGTTGTTCTAGATTAACCTTCATGAATAACTCTCTAACCTTATATTTTGTATGACAAAACTTAACAATACCCACTAAAAATGCAAATTGAATTTACGTTATCTGATGTAAACTCGGAGTAGATTTGATAGTTAACTCTAAAATCATTAAATATCTTGACAGAAAACAGACTTTGCAGAGGTATAAAATTTGTACAGCTAAAAGCGTTTCCAAGAGTCAAGGTAGCTTCCTAGTTAACCATTTCTTTATTTCAGAATGTTGTCAGAAATTCATGTACATCTGTTTGTTCTCAGATTTTGTTATTCTTATAACAATTTGGTTTTCACGTCTCCTATTGTTTATTTAAATGACCTTCAAAACGTTTTGTAAAAAATTCTACTTGCTTATAATTCTATTATAATTTTTGTCTGACAAATACATGTTGTGAATACTAAAGTATCTGCAATATTTGATTGTCTTATATGATGTAAAGCCTTTCGCTAGTACATGGCTCCTACCTGGACAACTGTGAGTGTTACATGACTCTGACATAGTACTAGAACCGGAACAATGGGCACCTTCGTGAGCTGGGGTAGGATTATTGCATGTTCGAGAATACGACATGGATCCACCACCACAGTCAACAGTACAACCAGAGGTCGCAGTCCAGTCGCTCCATCCACCATTCACTAAAATAAGACGATTTTTCTTAATAATATTTTACCACTCCCATTTACAATCAATTCAAACAGATGAATAACACAGTACAATTAACATCATAGCATACGATAATTTCCAAATGGTTGCAGAAAGACAAATATTTTTAAAATGGAATGGCTTGCGATCGATGTATTGTCCTAACATTTAAAGTCACTTCTGATTTTTTTCAAATCACGTTAAATCATTTAAGTTCAAATTCCAATAATTGCCACAGCACTTTGGAGTTTTTCTGAATATTTTTCTTAATATTTTTTACAAACCATTTACAATCAATGGAAACAGATGAAAAACAGCTTACTTAATAGCATAGCAGGTTTATAACTAAAGCATAAGGGGAAAATCTTTTGTAGTATAGTTTATATCGTTCATTTAAAATGAATTGTCGCCATATCTGAAATTGTTTTGCTTTCATAAAATTAAAACAAATGGGTTTGTCCGAAATTTTGTTCTATATTTACCTTCATGAATAACTCTCAAACCCTATATTTTGTACGACAAAACTTAAAAATGCTAAAAAGAAAGCAAATTGAATTTACGTTATCTGATGTTAACTCGGAGTAGAATCGATAGTTAATTCTGAAATCATTAAATATCATGACAGAAGACTTTGCAAAGGTATTTATGGAAAATAGGTATAGCTAAAAGCGTTTCCAAGAGTCAAGCTAGCTTCCTAGTTAACCATTTCTATATTTCAGAATGTTGTCAGAAATTCATGTACATCTGTTTGTTCTAAGATTTTGTTATTCTTACAACAGATTGGTTTTCACGTCTCCAATCGTTTATAAAAATGACCTTCAAACCGTTTTGTACAAAATTCTACTTGACTATTGTTCTATTATTATTTTTCTTCTGACAAATATATATTGTGAATACTATCTGCAGGAGAGACCACTTTTGAGTGATGTCCTTCACCGGAAAAGTTCATCAATAATGCTCGCCTTTATGACGTTATTTACCAGATATAGGGGACCGTATCCCTGCACTATTAAAGCTCATCAAGCAATTTCGTGATCGTTATTATGTAGGAGAAACTAAAAAAATAATGCTTGTTCTGTAGGTATTTAATCGCAATTTCATAATGACAGCAATGCTGATTATCAATTATAAGAATTTAATTTGCCGGATAGTTCGTGCAAAACTACATCAATTTTTTTTCAACCTCCCTCTCAACATCGGAAGGAAGTGACGATGCCCTTAGACGCACGAAAGATGTTCACTAAAATCAAAGTTTTGACAGAAATGCAACGAAATTGAAAGTGATCTATTTGTTTGTATTATATGGTTAATAGCCTTCCAAGGGTACATAGCTCCTACCTGGACAACTGTGAGTGTTGCAAAACACTGATTTCGTGCTATAACCGTCACAATCGGCCCCTTCGTAAGCAGGGGTGGGATTGTTGCAAGTTCGTGAATATGACATGGATCCACCACCGCAGGCAACAGTACAACCAGAAGCTGCTGTCCAGTCGCTCCATCCACCATTAACTAAAATAGAACGATCTTTCTGAATATTTTTGTACAAACCACTTCCATTTACAATCAATTGAAACAGATGAATTAAATAGCTTACTTAATAGCATAGTATAAAAATTATTTGCAAATTGGTATAAGAAAAAAATTATCTGAAAACTCAAATGTTTTTTTAGATCGGGTTTATTGTTCTTACTTACATTTATGTTGAATGGTCATTCTTACCAAATCACGTTGAATTATAAAAGTTTAAATACCAATTATTGACCTACCTCTTTTTTGACAATCAACATCTATATAATTTTAGCATATTGTTTAAGAGACAGTTATACGTTGTAGAAATAAACGACAAATTTGTTCACATAGTATACCAAGCACTACAAAATGTAGTCTAGTTATATCTGCCATTTATATGAACTTTCTCAATATTTGGCATTGTTTCACTTTCAAAAAATTTACTAATGGTGTTTCCAAAGCGCTCTTCTGGTTTTTCCTTCATCAGAAAGATTTACCTCGACATTTAGAAAGCCAAAGACTTTAAATATTCAAATGGCAGATGGAATTAACGCTTTCTAACAAAACATATTGTGAGTACAAAAAAAATCCGAAAAACTTTTTGTATAATATGCGCTGATATAACGCTCCTACCTGGACAATTGTGAGTGTTGCAAGACTCTGATTTAGAACTAGAACCGGAACAATCGGCTCCTTCGTGAGCTGGGGTAGGATTGTTGCAAATACGTGAATACGACATTGAACCACCACCGCAGGCAACAGTACAACCAGATGCCGCAGTCCAACTGCTCCATCCACCATCAACTTAAACAGAACGATTTGTTTTAATGTGTTGTTACAAACAACTTCTATTTGCAATCAATTGAAACGACGAATAATACAGTATACTTAAAAGCATAACATAAAAAGATCTGCAAATTGGTTGTACATAAAAAAATATCTTAAAAATGGAATGGCTTGAGATCGGGCTGATTGTTTTTACATTGATATTCACTGGTCATTTTTACCATAACACATTAAATCATAAAGGTATCAATTCCAATGATTGTCAAAGCACTTTGCAGCATCAGCAGGTTTATAACTTCAGCATAAAGGGAAAGTAATACGTTGTAGAAATAAACGTGAAATATGTTCAAATAATATACTAATTATTATGAAATGCGTCTTTTGTAGTATAGTCATATGGTATATCGGTCATTTAAAATGAATTTTCACCATATTTGGAATTGTTTTACTTTCATAAAATGAAAACAATTGTGTGTGTTCGAAATGTTCTTCATGCTTTACCTGCATTAGTAATGTCCAACCCCAATATTTTAGAAAGCAAAATACTATAAATACTATCACACAGGAGATGTAGTTAACGCTATATATTGTTAATTCTGAGTACACACTACTTGCTTATTTTCTTTCATTATTTATCTTCTAAAAAACACATGTTGTGAGTACTAAAGTATCTTCCACATTTGTTTGTATTATATGGTTATTTGCATTGTGTTGGTATAAAGTTCCTACCTGGACAAATGTGAGTGTTACATGACTCTGATTTAGTGCTAGAACCGGAACAATCAGCCCCTTCGTGAGCTGGGGTAGGATTGGTGCAAGTACGTGAATACGATATTGATCCACCACCACAGGCAACAGTACAACCAGGAGCCTCTGTCCAACCACTCCATCCACCATTAACTAAAACAGGACGATTTTCTGAATATTTTTTACAAACAACGTCCATTTGCAATCAATTGAAACAGATTAATAACACAGTATACTTAATAGCATAACAAGAAATTATTTACAGATAAGTTGCAGAAAAAAGTCTGGAAATGAATGGCTTGAGATCAGGTTTATTGTCTCTAATTTAATATTCACTGCTCATTTTTGCAAAATCACGTTTAATCATAAAAGTTTCAATTCCAATAATTGTCATCGCACTTTGAAGAATTAGCACGTTTAAAACTTCAGCATTAAGAGAAAGAGATAGGTTGTACAAATAGCCGTCGAATTTGTTCTCATAGTATACCAATAATTACGAAATTCGTCTTTTGTAGTATTATTTATATTTGTCTTTTAAAAAACATTTTCGCCATATCTGGAATTGTTTTACTTTCATATGACGCTGATGTGAGTATATGAATTGTCCTTCTGGATTTATTTTCATGAGTAACGCTCAAACCCAATATTTTGAATGCAAAGACAATAGATACTTGAAAAAACCAGATCGAGTCAAGGCTATTTCATGTAAACTTTGAGCACATTCAAAGGTTAAAAAATTACAACAACAAAAAAAACTCCAAGATAAGTTCAAAATTGGAAGTCCATAAAAACTGACAAAATAAAACACTATCAATCACGAAACAAGTGAGAAAAAACTGTCATATTCCTGCCTGGGTACAGAAATTTGCGAAGAAAATTGAAGGTTAAACATGGCTTTATAGCTAGCTTAACCTATCACTTGAATGACAGTTGTTTATAATTCCGTTGTATTGAAAATAAATATCCATCACTCAAAACTGTGTAAACTAACATCACGTAACTTTGAAATGATTAAATTTGATATCAGATAATAAACTTCGCAAATGCATTTATGGAGAAAAAGGTACAACTTAAAAAGTTTTCAAAAGAGAGACGAAGGATACCAAAGGGACATTCAAACTCACGAGTCAAAAATAAACTGACAAAGCCATGGCTAAAAAAGAAAAAGACAAACAACAGTACACAAAACAACATAGAAACCTAAAGACTGAGCAACACGAACTCCACCGAAAACTGGGGATGATCTCAGGTGCTCCGGAAGGGTAAGCAGATCCTGCTCCACATGTGGCACCCGTCGTGTTCGTGTCACGCTAGCTACCTAGTAAACAATTATATTCTGAGGTAGTGAAAAATTCATGAAAAGTGCCTGTCCTTGGATTCTGTTGTCTTTAAAACAGATTGGTTTTCATGATTACAATCGTTAATTCAAATGACATTCAAATCAATTACATCAGTGTATTGCTCATATTTCTATTAATTCTTTTTCTAAAAAGCACAATCATATTGTGAGTACTAAAAGTATCCTCAAAACTTGTTTGTATTATATTGTTAATATCCGTGGGCTGACATATAGCTCGTACCTGGACACATGTGAGTGTTACAAGACTCTGATTTAGTGCTAGAACCGGAACAGGAAGTTCCACCGTGGGCGGGTGCTGGATTGTTGCAAATACGTGAATACGACATTGATCCACCACCGCAGGCAACAGTACAACCAGAATTCGTAGTCCAACCGCTCCATCCACCATTAACTAAAACAGGACGATTTTTTAAATATGTTTTTTTACAAACTGCTTTCTTTTGCAATCAATTGAAACAGATGAATAACACAGTATACTAAATAGCATAACATAAAATGTTTTACAGATTGGTTGCAGAAAAAACATATCTTGACAATAGAATGGCTTGAGATTGAGTGTTTTGTCTTTACATTAATATTTACTGGTCATTCTAACCAAATCACGTTCAATAATGCTTATTTTTCAAAAATTATGTTTCATCTATCAAACACATTGTGTGAGTACCAGACGTATCTGCAAATTGTTTTTATATTGTATGGTTAATAGCCTTGCGCTGGCATATACCTCCTACCTGGACACATGTGAGTGTTACAAGACTCTGATTTAGTGCTAGAACCGGAACAGGCGGTTCCTCCGTGAGCTGGGGTAGGATTGGTGCAAGTTCGTGAATACGATATTGATCCACCACCGCAGGCAACACTACAACCAGAAGCCGCAGCCCAACCGCTCCATCCACCATTAACTAAAACAGGAGGATTTGTTTAAAAATAATTCTTGAAAAACCACTTCTTTTTGTAACCAATTGAAACCGATATATAACACAATATACTTGATACGACGGGTGCCACATGTCGAGCAGGATCTGCTTACCCTTCCGAAGCACCTGAGATCACCCCCAGTTTTTGGTGGGGTTCGTGTTGCTTAGTCTTAAGTTTTCTATGTTGTGTCATCTGTACTATTATTTGTCTGATTGTCTTTTTATTTTTGGCCATGGCGTTTTCAGTTTGTTTTCGATCTATGAGTTTGACTGTCACTCTGGTATCTTTCGTCCCTCTTTTATAACATAACATTACAATCTTCTGCATGTTGGTCGAAAAAAAATCTTAGCTAGACTATAAAAGTCAAATTTCAATAATTGTCACAGCACTTTAGGGATCAGCTTGTATATAGTTTTAGAATACTAATAAAAGGACAGTTAGACGTTGTAAAAATAAACGAAAAAACATTGTTCCCATAGTATACCAATCATTATAAAATGCTTCTTTGTAGTATAGTTTATATCGGTCATTTATATGAATTTTCAACATATTTGACTTTGTTTAACTTATTAAAAAAAAGGAAATATTTGGTGTTTCAAGTGCTTTATGTTTCATGTTTACCTTCATCAGAAAGTTCGAAATCGATATTTTGAAAACCAAAGGCTATAAAAAATCAAAACAACACGTTAAATAATTTCATACGTCCGAAACGCTTTTCTGGATTTACCCTCATCAGGAACGCTCAAAGCCGAATATTTGAAAGCCGAGGATGTATAAGAACCGAAACAGTTGAAGAGCTATATGACCAAAATACTTTAAAAAATAGCCAAATTCTTCTAAGGTCAACTTTGACTGGGGTAGTTGAAATATAAATATTCAAAAGGCAAACGGAATCTACGCTATCTCATGTACATTTTGTAACTCAGAGTACATTCTAAGGTTACTTTGGATCAATCAAATACCATACTTGTTTGTATTATATAGATGATAGCCTTAGAGTTATATAAAGCTCCTACCTGGACAACTGTGAGTGTAACAAGACTCTGATTAAGCGCTAGAACCGGAACAGGAAGCTCCAACGTTGGCTGGTTAAATTCTATGGCTCATTTACTTTTAAATATCAAATGTGTTTTCATGATTTATAAAACCTTAAATAATGAGCATGACAAATTTAAATATAATTCTGCACATACATGTATATTTTACATAACATACCTGGACAACTATGAGTGTTACATGACTCTGTTTTTGAACTAGATCCGGCGCAACTGGCTCCGTCATTGGCTGGCGTAGGGTTATTGCAACTTCTTGAATACGATTGTGTTCCCCCACCACAGACAGCATTACAACCGGAAGTCAATGTCCAATCACTCCAACCACCATTGACTTGAATAAAGAAAGAAACACCTTTCATTAATAAAAACATCTTCATATTATTTTTCTTACTGTTTGTCATTAAACTAATTGACAGTTTTAATTTTATTTTGTTTCAATTCGGGTTTTTACATATACTTTACAAAAATCCTAAGACCTTATTTATAAAGATTATTTTCAATTTTTGTTGGCGAAGGTTATTCGTTCCCTCTAGCTTTGCTTAACCATATAGAAAAAATATACACTAGCAAAATAGTAACCTAGAAGATAGCATGTTTCAAATGTGACGAAACATTTAAGATTTAAGATCTATAGAAGTCCTTGCTAAACTACATATTTAAGACTAATTTTAAAATATCGTCATACTTTGTACCACACAATTATTTTATTTTGTTTATTAATATTACTTTTACTGTTAAGTCTGTTTTTTGTTATATCCATTTTACGTGACTCTGTTTTTATGTATCCCGTCATACTTTGAACGACAAAATTATTTTATGTCTACCTGTGCGAATTTCAAACGCGCGAGTTTACGCCAGTACTTAAAACCTTCCATCCTTTATGTGTGGATTTTACATAGATAAATAAAGTCTTATAATATAAGCAAAATGAGGATGTTAAATTTGATGTTTGCCCTTTTTGTGATTCTTCGTTACATTTGTTAGTTTTTATAGTGATTAAGATGATAACACAATGCTGACTGCTGTACCCCTATATTTGACATTTTTACCTATTGTGTCTGTTTGTTTTGTTCATGCATCGTTGTCAATATAATGGAATTTGATGCGACTGTCATACAAGTGAGAGGTTTAGCTAACTATAAAATCAGATTCAAGCCACCATTTTTTACATAAGAAAATGCCTGTACCAAGTCAGGAATATGACAGTTGTTATCCATTCGTTTGATGTGTTTGTTTTTTTTGATTTTGCCATTTGATTGGGGACTTTCCTTTTTGAATTTTCCTCGGAGTTCAGTATTTTTGTGATTTTACTTTTTGATATAATAATGTGGATATGAAAGGCACTTTTCATCCCTTCATCCCTTCATTTTTGTTTTACCTTTTTTATTCCGTCTTTCTCTCAATTTCAGGTTTTCATGTCACATTATCATTGGTTAATCACCAAATGAATGGTGTGTTATTCCTATTATAACATTATCAGTGAACATATCTTACAGTGAACGACACATCAATGTATTTTAAAACATATTTTAAAATGACTCTTTCTACGAGCCTAAACACCCACAAACGACCATTGCTGATGGTTTGGGTAATGTTTTAACCTTTTAATTCAACTAAATTGTTACAATGGTAAATGCTTCAAATAATCGTGAATAAAAGTTTGATCATATTACCGCATTCAGTTTTAAACATTTAAATTTGTATTTCTGGGTAAAATTATCAATATAAAACAAATTCAACGGGTGTCAAAGGCGAAAGTACGATTTTGGGATATATTGGCTCAAACAAAATTAAAGTGTTCCAAACTTTCTTTAAATTGAAGATTTAAATGTGTCAAAAAACAGCGCAAAAAAATCTCTTTTTTCCGAAAGGTTTTTAAAGAAGCTAAATGATTTTTGTTGTGAATGAGCAGGTCCAAACACGGCCACAACTGTACCTTCTGCTGTACGAACATTATAAGGGTGTTGTGGTTACATGTATAAAGAACAGATGTTCACCAGACATCGCTGGCGTTAATTTACCATTATAAAACAAAGTACGTATCAAATGGAATCATCAGTTATTTTATAGACATGACTAATGAATATGTAACTAGTTTTACTGAAAACATACTCGGACAAGCATGAGTGTTACACTTTTCTGATGTTGTACTAGATCCGGAACAATCGGTCCCTCCGTGGGCTGGTGCTGGATTGTTGCAAGTACGTGAATACGACATTGATCCACCACCACAGTCAACTGTACATCCAGAAGTCGCAGTCCAACCGCTCCATCCACCATTAACTGAAAAAGGACAGGTTTTTTATTATAAGATTTTTACATACTAATTCCATTTGCAATTAACTGAAACAGATGAATAACTCAGTATACTTGCTAGCATAACAAACAAATCAAGTTTGGTCGAACAAATTTTAAAAATCGAATAGCTCGAGATCGGATTTGTCCTTACATTAATATTCACTGTTTATACATTTGTATTTGCCAAATCAAGTTTAATTATAAATGTTTAAATAATTGTCATAGCACATTGAAGGATCAGCTTGCATATAGAGGTAGAATTATCATAAAAGGGCAGTTAGAGGTTGTAAAAATCAACGAAAAAATATGTTCACATAAATACCAATAATTATAAAATGCGTCTTTTGTAGCAGATGGAATAAATGCTATCATTTGTAACTATGATGAATTTTAAGGTATCTTTGCATTAATCAAATATCATACCAGTATCAAACATTCGCCATAACATTTAATGAAAAAAAGGTACATCTTAAAGCGTTCTCAGTGCAACGCTAGCTTCTTATTAAATCATTTCTATAGTTCTTGAGTAATCTAATTTTCATGAAATTTTGCCTAACGTTAGATTTTGTTGTCTTTAGAACAGATTGATTTTCTTGATTTAAATAACCTTTAAATCGTTTTGTAGTCTGGTCAATTTGCTCATTTTCCTATTATTATTTTTCGTCTAACAAACAAATATTATGAGTGCCGAAAGTTTCTGCAGAAATTGTTTGAATTATATAGTTAATAGACTTTCGCTGGCATAAAACTCCTACCTGGACAATTGTGAGTGTTACAAGACTCTGATTTAGTACTAGAACCGGAACAGGAATTTCCACCATGGGCTGGTGCTGGATTGGTGCAAGTACGTGAAAACGACATTGATCCACCACCGCAGGCAACAGTACAACCAGAAGCCGCAGTCCAACCGCTCCATCCACCATTTACTTGAATAGAACGATTTTTCTAAATACGTTTTCACAAACCACTTCCATTTGCATTCAATTGAAACAGATTAAAAATACTGTATACTTATGAACATAACATACAAAGTATTTGCAGATTGGTTGAAGAAAATAATATCATAACAAAAATGTGCCCATAGTACACGGATGCCCCACTCACACTATCATTTTCTATGTTCAGTGGACCGTGAAATTTGGGTTAAAACTCTAATTTGGCAATACAATTAGAAAGGTCATATCATAGGGAACATGTGTACTAAGTTTCAAGTTGATTGGACTTCAAGTTTATCAAAAACTACCTTGATCAAAAACTTTAACCTGAAGCGGGATAGACGGACGAACGGACGGACGGACGAACGGACGAACGAACGGACGCACAGACCGAAAAACATAATGCCCTTCTACAATCGTAGGTGGGGCATAAAAATGAAATGGTTTTGATCGACTTTACTGTTTTAACATTAATTTTCACTGGCCATACTTACCAAATCAAATTGAATTACTTGTGCAACGGTTACATTGCCAATAATTAGCAGACCAAGGATCAGAATGCATATAGTTTTAGCATGATAATAAAGGGACAGTTATACGTTGTAGAAATTTTGTGTTAATCCCAAGCTAAGGCGCAGTTGATACATTTACTTTCTGAAGGAAAATGTAACAAATTGGACGTGTCTCCCTCGTCACAGGTACAACTGCTAGCTAAAGGTGACCTTTTCCGTCAAATTGTATGTCTTAACAACTGTTAATCATCAAAATTTTTCAAGATTTCTTAAACGTTAAATTATTAGCATATGTAAATACAAGTAAACACATAGATGCATATTTTACATAACATACTTGGACAACTGTGGGTGTTACATGACTCTGTTTTTGTACTAGACCCAGAGCAACTGGCCCCATCGTTGGCAGGAGTAGGATTGTTGCAACTTCTTGAATACGAATGTGTTCCACCACCACAGACAGCATTGCAATTGGAAGTCAATGCCCAATCACTCCAGCCACCATCAACTTGAACATAAAAAGACAGAACTTTCTTTGATAAAATCGTCATCATATTAATTTCCTAATTGCTTGTAATTAAACTTTTTGACTGTTCTAATTTTACTTCATTTTAATTCGGTTTTGATTTTAACAAATTAAAATGTCCTAAGACCTTGTTTTTAAAGATCATTTCCAATATCATTTGTGTCTGTGGTTATTTTGTTCTTTGTAACTATGTTTTACCGTACAGAGAAAAAAATATACACTAGCTAAACAGAAACCTAGAAAGTAGGAAAAGTGTTTAAAATATAACGACAAAATTGAAGATTTAAGATATAAAGAAGAAGTCCTTGTTGACCTACTTATTTAAGACCAAGATTGAGATAATAATTTTGATCATTTCCTGAACTTTGTATTTTTCCTTTTTTTTATTTTTTCCGTATTCTCTTCACCAGAAATCGCTGGCGTTATTTTACTATTATAGAATATAGTACTTACTAAAAGAAATCATGAGTTAGTTTGTAGACATGAAATTTTTATTGAAAACATACTTGGACAAGCATGAGTGTTACATTTTCCTGATGTTGTACTAGATCCGGAACAATCGGTTCCTCCGTGAGCAGGGGAAGGATTGTTGCAAGTACGAGAATACGACATTGATCCACCACCGCAGGCAACAGTACAACCGGAAGTCGATGTCCAACCACTCCATCCACCATTAACTGAAAAAAGACAAATTTGTCTTTAAAAGTTTTTACATACTACTTCCATTTGCAATTAGCTGAAACAGATAAATATCCCTGTATACTTGAGAACATTACATAAAAATCAAAGTTAGTAGAAAAAAAAATCTTTAAAATCGAATGGCTTGAGATCGGGTTTATTGTCCTTACATTAATATGCGTTGGTTATACTTGCAAATCAAGTTAAATTATTAAAGTTAAAATTCCAATAATTGCCATAACGCTTTGAAGTATCAGCTTGTATATAGTTTTAGAATAATTATAAAACAGTTATACACTGAAGAAATAAACGAAAAATTGGTTCACATAGTATTCCAATAATTTTGAAATGGTTCTTTTGTAGGAAGGTTTATATCGGTCATTAACATGAATTTTTACCATATGAAAAATAAAACATTTTGTTTTTTGAAGCGCTCTTCTGCATTTACCTTCATCAAAAACGCTCAAACTCGATATTTTGAATGCAAAGAATATAAATACTCAAAAAGCAGATGGAATTAAAGCTATATTTTGTATCTCTGAGTAGATTCTTAGGTAACATTGCATTAATTAAATCTCATGCAAGTATCAGACATTTGGCATAGCATTTAAGGAAAAATTGTACAGATAAAAGCCATTCTTAATAGTGACACGCTAGCTTCGAAGAAAATAATTTCTATAGTTCTGAAGTAATCTTATTTTCATGAAAATCTGCTTAACGTTTGATTTTGTTGTCCTTAGAAAAGATTAGTAATTACAAAATCACCCTTAGATCGTTTTGTGTAAATATCAATGTTCTCTTTGTCCTATTATTAAGTTTTTTCTAACAAACAAAAATATGAGTACCAAATGTTTCTGAGGATATTGTTTGAATTATATGGTTAATAGACATTCGCTGGCATAAAACTCCTACCTGGACAACTGTGAGTGTTACAAGACTCTGATTTAGTGCTAGAACCGGAACAGGAAGTTCAGTATTTTTTGTGATTTTACTTTTTCCTAGAAAATCATTTCTATAATTCTGAAGTAATCTTTAAAAAATTCATGAAAATCTGTTTACCATTATATTTTGTTGTCCTATTTGTTTGTCTGGTTGTCAGATTGGTTTTCATGATTCCAATTATCAAAATGACCTTTAAATGTTTTTGTATAAAGGTCTACTTGATAATTTTTCTATTATTGTTTTTCTCCTAACACAATTCGTTTGAATTATATGGTAAACAGCATTGTGTTGGTATATAGCTCCTACCTGGACAACTGTGAGTGTTACAAGACTCTGATTTAGTGCTAGAACCGGAACAGGAAGTTCCACCGTGGGCGGGTGCTGGATTGTTGCAAGTACGTGAATACGATATTGATCCACCACCGCAGGCAACAGTACAACCAGAAGCCGTACTCCAACCGCTCCATCCACCATTAACTATAATAGAATTTTTTTTACAAACCACTTCGATTTGCATTCATTTGAAACAGAATAATAATGATACAGGATACTAAATAACATAAGATACACATTATTTACAGGTTAGAGAAAAGAAATATTTTTCAGGTAGAATTGTTTCGATCGGCTTTACTGTTTTTACATGAATATTCGCTGGTCATACTTACTTAATAAAATTGAATTATAAAAGTTTAAATTCCAATAATTGGCAAACCACTTTATAATTAAGGATCAGCATGCATATGCTATTAGCATAATAAGAAAGGGACAGTATAACGCTGTAGAAACAAACGAAACATTTGTTCATATAGTCTAACAATAATTAAAAATGTGTCTTTTGTAGTATAATTTATATCAGTCATTTATTTGAATTTTCACCATATTTGGAATTTTTTGACGTTCTAAAAATTCGCTCTGCTGGATTAACCTTCACTAGAAATGCTCAAACTCGATCTTTTGAAAGCCAACGCCTATAAATACTCAAAAGGCTGATGGAATTATTGCTATCATTTGTAACTCCGAGTAGATTCTAAAATAACTTTCAATTAATTTAATCTCATGGCAGAATAAAACACTCGCCATAGCATTTATGGAAAAAGGTAAAGCTAAAAGCGTTTCTTAGTGCCACGCTAGCTTCCTAGAAAATCATTCCTATAATTCTGAAGTAATCTTTTAAAAAAATCATGAAAATCTGTTTAACATTATATTTTGTTGTCCTATTTGTTTGTCTGTTTGTCAGATTGGTTTTCATGATTCCAATTATCAAAATGACCTTTAAATGTTTTTGTATAAAGGTCTACTTGATAATTTTTCTATTATTGTTTTTTTCTCCTAACAAAATTCGTTTGAATTATATGGTAAACAGCATTGTGTTGGTATATAGCTCCTACCTGGACAACTGTGAGTGTTACAAGACTCTGATTTAGTGCTAGAACCGGAACAGGAAGTTCCACCGTGGGCGGGTGCTGGATTGTTGCAAGTACGTGAATACGATATTGATCCACCACCGCAGGCAACAGTACAACCAGAAGCCGTACTCCAACCGCTCCATCCACCATTAACTAAAATAGAATTTTTTTACAAACCACTTCGATTTGCATTCATTTGAAACAGAATAATAATGATACAGGATACTAAATAACATAAGAAACACATTATTTACAGGTTAGAGAAAAGAAATATTTTTAAGGTAGAATTGTTTCGATCGGCTTTACTGTTTTTACATGAATATTCGCTGGTCATACTTACTAAATAGAATTGAATTATAAAAGTTTAAATTCCAATAATTGGCAAACCACTTTATAATTAAGGATCAGCATGCATATGATATTAGCATAACAATAAAGGGACAGTATAACGCTGTAAAAATAAACGAAACATTTGTTCATATAGTCTAACAATAATTAAAAAATGTCTCTTTTGTAGTATAGTTTATATCGGTCATTTATATATGAATTTTCACCATATTTCGAATTGTTTGACGTTCTAAAAATGCACTCCTCTAGATTTACCTTCACCATAAACGCCCAAACTTGATATTTTGATAGCCAAAGCTATAAATACTCAAAAAGGAATTAACGCTATCATTTGTAACTCTGAGTAGATTTAAAAAAAAACATTCAATTAATTTAATCTCATGGCAGAATAAAACATTTGCCATAGCATTTATGGAAAAAAAAAAAAAAAAGCTAAAAGCGTTTCTTAGTGCCACGCTAGCTTCCTAGTAAATCATTGCTATAATTCTGAAGTATTCTCAAATTCATAAAAATCTGTTTAACTTTATATGTTGTCCTATTTGTTTGTCTATTGTCTGATTGGTTTATTAATCAAAATGACCTTCAAATGTCTTCGTGTAAAGGTCAACTTGGTAATTTTTCTATTATTGTTTTTCTTCTAACGAACACATCTTGTGAGTACCAAAATTTGTTTGAAGTATATGGTAGGCAGCATTGTGTTAATATATAGCTCCTACCTGGACAACTGTGAGTGTTACAAGACTCTGATTTAGTGCTAGAACCGGAACAGTAAGTTCCACCGTGGGCTGGTGCTGGATTGTTGCAAGTACGAGAATACGATATTGATCCACTACCGCAAGCAGCACTACAACCGGAAGCCAAAGTCCAACCGCTCCATCCACCATTAACTAAAATAGGACGATTTTTTCACAAACCAGGTTGGAGAAAAGAAATATCTTTAAGGTGGAATTTTTCGATCGGCTTTACTGTTTTTACATGAATATTCGCTGGTCATACTTACTAAATAGAATTAAATTATAAAAGTTAAAATTCCAATAATTGGCAAACCACTTTATAATTAAGGATCAGCATGCATATGATATTAGCATAACAATAAAGGGACAGTATAACGCTATAAAAATAAACGAAACATTTGTTCATATAGTCTAACAATAATTAAAAAATGTGTCTTTTGTAGTATAGTTTATATCGGTCATTTATATGAATTTTCACCATATTTCGAATTGTTTGACGTTCTAAAAATGCACTCCTCTAGATTTACATTCACCATAAACGCCCAAACTAGATATTTTGATAGCCAAAACTATAAATACTCAAAAAGGAATTAACGCTATCATTTGTAACTCTGAGTAGATTTAAAAAAAAACATTCAATTAATTTAATCTCATGGCAGAATAAAACATTCGCCATAGCATTTATGGAAAAAAAACATAATCTAAAAGCGTTTCTTAGTGCCACGCTAGCTTCCTAGTAAATCATTGCTATAATTCTGAAGTATTCTAAAATTCATAAAAATCTGTTTATCGTTATATGTTGTCCTGTTTGTTTGTCTATTGTCTGATTGGTTTATTAATCAAAATGACCTTCAAATGTCTTCGTGTAAAGGTCAACTTGGTAATTTTTCTATTATTGTTTTTCTTCTAACGAACACATATCTTGTGAGTACCAAAATTTGTTTGAAGTATATGGTAAGCAGCATTGTGTTAATATATAGCTCCTACCTGGACAACTGTGAGTGTTACAAGACTCTGATTTAGTGCTAGAACCGGAACAGTAAGTTCCACCGTGGGCTGGTGCTGGATTGTTGCAAGTACGAGAATACGATATTGATCCACTACCGCAAGCAGCACTACAACCGGAAGCCAAAGTCCAACCGCTCCATCCACCATTAACTAAAATAGAATGATTTTTCTAAAAATTCTTTACAACGTCCATTTTCAGTTAATTGAAATAGATGAATAACACAGTGTAATTATTATATAACATAGCCTATGGTCAGGTTTTCTGTCCTTATATTTAAATTCACTAGCCATTCTTGCCAAATCAATTTGAAATATAGAAATTAAAACTCTAGTAATTGGCATACATCTGTAAAGGACCAGCATTAATATAGCTTTAGAATGATAATAAAGAGACAGTTACCGGGTATATGTTGTAGAAAAAAAAACCTTGTTAGTATTATATGGTTAATAGCCTTGCGCTTGTATATAGCTCCTACCTGGACAACTGTGAGTGTTACAAGACTCTGATTTAGTACTAGAACCGGAACAGGAAGCTCCACCGTTAGCTGGTGCTGGATTTGTGCAACTGCGAGAATACGACATAGACCCTCCGCCACAATTAACAGAACAACCCGACGTTGCTGAATATGCACTCCATCCACCATTTACAATTTCTGAAGAACAAATTATTATTGCAATCTCTCTTTTGTCTCGTTTGAATTGTTTTATATTTGTCAATTATATCTTTCTTTGCGGTATTGGTTAAGTTCATTGTTGAAGTCCGTGCGGTAACTTTAAGTTTCTTATTATCATGTTATGTGGTCTCTCATGGATAGTTGATAAAAACCAAAAGTCGTAGAGAGTTGGAAAACGACGAAAACACAAACAACAGTCAACAAAACACCTCACAAACAACAGTCTACAAAACACCACTCAAACAGTCTACAAAACAACTCACAAACAGTCTACGAAGCAACTCACAAACAGTCTACAAAACAACTCACAAACAACAGTCTACACAACACTACAGAAACAACAGTCTACATAACACCATACAAGCAACAGTCTACACAACACTACAGAAACAACAGTCTACAGAACACCACACAAACAACAGTCTACAGAACACCACACAAACAACAGTCTACAAAACACCACACAAACAACAGTCTACAAAACACCAAACAAACCGTCTCCAAAACACTTCACAAACAACAGTCTACAAACACCACACAAAAAGCTGAATTAATAAATTCATATCAACAAATATGTAGTGTTAAATTTAATGATTCGTTGACTTGGTTTTTACTTTCTGGAGTAATCTGCTTATTTTATTAACACATACGTAATTGACAGTTTGATCCGGTATATGGTGATAGACAGAGGCAGCTACCACCTGAACAATAACCTCCATTCTGACAGCTGACACCGTAGCAATTATCGTCTAAAACAAAATATACACATGCACATATACATTTACATATACATATATAGTTTTTGTTACTAAGTAGTTAAGGTTATGTATGCAATTTATTAGTAACTCTTGCACAGTGTTGACAGTAAAAGTACATGTACGGTAGCGGTTGTCCAAATCCATTTTAATTTCATGGTGGGTTGTTGTTTGTCAATTGTACAGTAGCAAATGTGTAATGTAAATTCAAGGTAAAAGCATTTCATCAATAAACTTGTCGTAGGTTCTGGAGAGGATGTCTATTGGTATAAAATTTGCGATACTATGACTGCCTCTGAGGAAAATGAGTTAAGTGGAGGTGAGAAAAATACTTCTTGCAACATGCAACCTACGTTTTGTCTCAAAAATTTGTTTCAATTTTGCGTTTAGGTGCACAGAGCGCGGCACTCTCCCTGTCCGAGGGAGTGGCTTTAATTCACTATTTCAATCGGATGCTTCTTTATATTTAACAAAGTCCAAGTGGCAACATTTTTACAAGTCACTCAACCCCTTGAGTTATTCAAAAGTACATGTAAGCTGATGTTAAGAAGCTAACATAATGACATGTAGTTTTTTATTAAATCTAACTATCAAATTTGTTTTCTGTTTTTGTCGAAATGAGGTGATATTTGTCAAATTTATCTGCTTACCTAGATAAAGGCAACAGTAGTATACCGCTGTTCGAAATTCATAAATCGATTAAGAAAAAAACAAATCCTTGTTACAAACTAAAACTGAGGGAAACACATCAAATATAAGAGAACTACGACACAACAGAAACACAGGCCTGTTACCCTTACATCTGGTACTTAATTACTTTCGAAGTCAGTGAGTTTGACATGTAAAGGAGATTACAGCGGGACTTATGTAGTTACTTACATGACGAACAAGTAGATCCGGTGTATCCAGCGTTACATATACACGTGCCTTCAAAGCAACGCCCATAAACACAGGTGACACCATAGCATTTATCAACTAAAATAAAATCATTAATAAGGTAATGAGAGACTTGTTTCTTTCTTTTTTACTATATGTATACAGTGTAACAACAACAGTAACAGTTCTTACAACAAGCAAATAAGCATCATTGCACAAGGTCATGTTTTTCTCTGACTGTTAATGACGTGTGTCGCTCACCTTGGTCTATGTGCACATTTAACAAAGGACACAGATGGATTCATGACAAAATTGTGTTTTGGTGATGGTGATGTGTTTGTAGATCTTACTTTACTGAACATTCTTGCTCCTTACTATTATCTCTATCTATAATGAACTTGGCCCAGTAGTTACAGTGGAAAATATTTGGTAAAAATTTCAAAAATTTACAAAATTTATGAAAATTGTAAAAAAATGACTATAAAGGGCAATAGCTCCTTAAGGGGTCAATTGACAATTTTGGTCATGTTGACTTATTTGTAGATCTTCCTTTGCTGTACATTATTGCTGTTTACAGTTTATCTCTATCTATAATAATATTCAAGATAATAACCAAAAGCTGCAAAATTTTCTTAAAATTACCAATTCAGGGGCAGCAACCCAACAACGTGTTGCCTGATTAGTCTGAAAATTTCAGGGCAGATAGATCTTGACCTAATAAACAATTTTATCCTCGTCAGATTTGCTCTAAATGCTTTGGTTTCAGAGATATGAGCCAAAAACTGCATTTTACCCTATGTACTATTTTTTAGCCATGTCGGCCATCTTGGTTCGCGGGCGGGGTCATCGGACACATTTTTTAAACTAGATATCCTAATGATGATTGTAGACAAGTTTGGTTAAATTTGTCTTAGTAGTTTCAGAGGAGAAGATTTTTGTAAAAGATTACAAAAATTTACGAAAAATGGTTAAAAGTTGACTATAAAGGGCAATAACTCCTTAAGGATTTAACTGACCGTTTTGGTTAAGTTAACTTATTTGTAGATCTTACTTTGCTGAACATTATTGCTGTTTAAAGTTTATCTCTATCTATAATAATATTCAAGATAATAACCAAAAACGGCAAAATTTCCTTAAAATTACCAATTCATGGGCAGCAACCCAACAACGGGTTGTCTGATTCATCTGAAAATTTCAGGGCAGATAGATCTTGACCTGATAAACAATTTTACCCCGTCAGATTTGCTCTAAATGCTTTGGTTTCACAGATATAAGCAAAAACTACAGTTTATCCCTATGTTCTATTTTTAGCCATGGCAGCCATCTTGGTTGGTTGGCCGGATCACCGGACACATATTTTAAACTAGATACCCCAATGATGATTGTGGCCAAGATTGGTTAAATTTGGCCAAGTAGTTTCAGAGGAGAAGATTTTTGTAAAAGTTAACGGACGACGGACGAAGGACGACGAACGACGGGGAACGGACGCCAAGTGATGAGAAAAGCTCACTTGGTCCTTTGGGCCAGGTGAGCTATAAATGAAAGGTACACTGTAAATTATGATGTACTAAAATATCAATGGTCATTGAGAAAATAACATAAGGGTTGAAATTTAAAAAAGGCCTTTAAGATATAATATGCAATTTTAAGTTGGCAAAACCTTTCGGAATTCTGGGTCCTCAAAGCTTTTGACCTTTGTACTTTATTTGGTCTTTTCATTTTTTAGATTCGAGCGTCACTGATGAGTCTTCTGTAGACGAAACGCGCGTCATGCGTACAAAATGTTAAGCCTGACTCAAAATTTATCTATGATGAGTTTATTGCTGATCAATAAAATACCTAGATTTGAAGCTTACCAGTTAGGCAATTGGTACCAGAATATCCAGCAGCACAGATACAACTCCCGGAAAAACAGGACCCGCCGTAATAGCATGTCACACCAGAACATGGATTATCTGCATGGAAATTATGCAGTATATTGAAATTTACTTTTCTATGTGATTTATACTTAAAAGTAAGAAAAAAATGTTTTTCGTTCAATGATTATTTTCTCTCAAGTATTTATAATATGTCTAAAGATGTCTATTTTTGCTTTTTCAATGATTTTCTAATTGTTGGTAAACTTCTATTTATCATTAAATGGTGTGATCCTTACATTTGGTTTATCCGTAACAAGAATATGTATAATTACAGGTTATCTTTTTAATATAAGTAGCAAAAAATATAAAAATATGGGACATCCAAATAAGTGAAAAATACATACATGATCCGCCCCCGCCACCTCCACCACACCTTTTGTTTCGACCTACAATTACATAAATATGTATTAGTAGCAATGTTCTCCTTCTCGGTGCGCATCAAGGATTTCAAATGGGAGGCAAACTAGGCAACGCTAGGAGTGAAACATGCAAAAAGTGGCTGCATTAGCCATATATGTAGCACTATACGGCGAGCCGGGCCCCAGCCCCCTCTCTTAATCCGCCTCTGCTTCTTCTTGGCGCATTCTAACGTTTTTGTAAAAGGATGGTACTTGTTCTTTTAAAAACAAGAAAGTCAGTAAATCGACTTCGTGTTGTATCTGGTGAATAGATGTCTCCATGGCAATCATACAGAATCTTCTTTCTTTTTAAATGTATATCAAAACATAAAAAGAACATTGAAAATTTTCAACACACCTGAAATCAGATTTTCAAAAATAAGAGCCTAATTGTTTAAGAAAACCCTTGTGTAATATTGTACAACAAAACTATTTGAGCTGAAACCTTGTTGTGAGCTGTTGCAAGTACCTTGTATTAAATAGACAACAACATTTCCTGTATTATTTTGCTAATTATACGGATAATAGTGTTGTGACTCCTTCAAAACATTTACATATCAAAGATACACCCTCAAGCTGATACAGCCGGTTGCCAATGGCGTTCATCATTTTACATAGCAATTTATTATTTGAAAAGGTTAGGTACACCTACATGCTATAAGGTTATTGCTTTGAACATATCTTTTGTTGTTGGGTTCCTGTGTCTCGCAGCTGTCTCCAGAATACCCGTCTGTACATTTACAAATGTACGATGAACCTTCGGACTGACACGTTCCGCCATTTTCACAAACTACATTATCACATGGGTTTCCAACTGAAATAAATAAGATCTTTTAATCAGAAAGAGGCGAAAGATACCAAAGGGACAATCAAACTCATAAGTTGGTTTACATGCAGATGAACGTACTCTTCTGTAAAAATGTATTTGCATAATCTTACGGATAAATATAAAAATGAATATTTGTTAGAATAACTGTAGTCAATATGGACCCTCTCGATATTATTCAGCAAATGTCGTCAGTGTTTCAACATTTTGTTCAGACTTACATGATTAAAATGGTATACTTTCATTATACTTTTGACTAAAATTCAAATTCAAAAGACTTAGGTAAAGGAGTAGGCCGGTAAGGGCCGATTTTGGCCTCAAAATTCAGGTTCATCTGATGAAAGATTTTGGACACTTTTTAAACACTTTAGTGTCTACTTCAGTCGATTCAATTAGTTTATGTGAAAGATTTGAACTGATTTAGTCATCAACGACGCTCAAATTCAAGCTTAAACATGAAAAATCTATCAAATATGCCATAATATATCACTTTTCAGATGGTTTTTGTCAAAAATGAAAGTGGTCGCATCCGTGTTCATTCTCAACTTTTATATATGTTATGTATTATCATCAAATACAACTTACATTTAAATATTAAGAATGAACACAAATGCGGCCACTTCCGTTTCAGAAGGAAACCGTCTAAAAATTAACCAAAATGCTAAAATTTCGAAGATTTCAGTAATCTAGCATGACTTAATGATGCTAGTACCCGATACATGTGCATTGTATTGTCAAAAACAGTCCATATTTATGTAACAGAAGTATTCTTCTTTCCAATAAATAGCTAAATATTTACATTTTAACAATTTTGTAAAACTGCTATATTTTGGGGCCAAAAAGGGGCCTACTCCTTTGCGACTAAAATTCTACTGACACTTACCTGGAGACGATAATGCCTTGTATGTTACGAAGACAAACACATAGACTAGTGACTTAGCTTGTTGGACCATTTGATAGCTCAGTCTGTCTTATTATGTTTCTTCTCAATAGGACATAGAGCAATAAAATTAAGTTGGTTCTGTTTTCTTTCTCCTAAAGATAATGAAATGAGCGCTTGAAACAAGCAGTGCAATGGATATAAACCCGTTTACTTTTCAGACGAAAATTGAAAATATACACTATAAAAATGGCTGATAAATCTAACAACTCTAATATATTAATGCTGCAGCATCCTCATTATTATATTAATCATTTACTGGCAATAATAGTTTGATTGTACATAAATAAAATTGAGTGTTTGCATTTATTTAGCTATTTGCATATAATACAATTTAATCTGCCACTTGTATCTACCAAGGCCTATATCATAAACATTGAAGGCACTGTTCTAGGCATTAAATTATATTAGGATTTTCATATTACGAAGACATAATCTTTCGATTAGTTTAATTGAGGTCTGGAGCCGGCATGTCAGTAACTGCTAGTAGTCCTTTGTTAATTAATTTTGATCATTGTCATTTTGCTTAGTTTCTTCTGTTTCCTATTCTAACATCAGACTCGGACTTCTTTTAATCTGAATTTTAATTTGCTGTTTGCTGTGTGTTTGTTTATGCCATGTTGATAACTTCTACGTCATTTCCTATCTGGTGGAGAGATGTCGTATTCGCAATCATACCACATCTTCTTACTTTTTTTATATACTCTATCTTCCTTGTATTAGCATGTGAATTTTTAGCCATTTTTAAGTTGATTTCAGTAAATATAAAAATGCTTTTTTATGGATCGATCAATCAGATTTGGCCAGAATATTTCATATTATAACTGTTTTATAACAAAATGTTTCGTCATAAATGCATATATCTCTTGTACATATGATATTTTATTATCCAATAGTACTCCAGAATTCAATCATCCTTTAGGATTGGTTCTTGTTCCAAAATCTTTTCTACAATTGAAATTTGTCATATCATAATTGACAGTCCCATTACAAAAACAATATACTTTTTAAGAGTCCATGCAAATGAGATCATGAGTTCTATGACCTTGTTGATGGCATCTATCCAAAAGAATTTGAAACAAAAGATCATACCTTGTGACACAAGAATGTCAGTTTTTATTTAATTCTGTTAATATGTCAAGGATGTGTCCGACCTTATTACATACAAGCCCTAGTTAAATTTAAAAATAAAAGTTAATTACCATTTTGAACTTTGAATACCAATTATACAAGCAATACTTATTCCCCGCATAAACTTTTATTTGAAATTGACCTAAAAAAATCATATGAATGCTAGGGTCTTTAACAAATTAAAAAGGAAATGACATAAACTTAAAGATAGATTTATTTTCTTTTTCAAATTGGAAATGATGTCAACCTTGTTGTAATCTTTGGCCTGGTTTTCGAAAGTATCCTGAGACATCCAAAGATATATCTTATTGCATTCTTTATGACTATTATATGACCATCCTAGGATACGTCATAGACAGTAAACCAAAAACTGAGGCTGATGATACCCAAGGGACAATCAAAATTAGTCCAATCGAGTAGAGATTGACAAAATTATGTCTATAAACACGGCTGTTCTAAGCTAGTCCTTATATGGTTGGGTTATGACAATCCTATAAGTTATGCTTAGCTTCTAATTAAAAACTTTCGTTCTTCTTCTACATTAAATTAATACATCTAATTTATTTGATGATTGGTTTTATGATAATTATAGTAAAATATTGATAATGATAATCAAATACAAGGAAGAGAAGAGAAAAAAAATAATAAAAATAATGTATTTATGATTAACATGTTGCACGAAGTGTTCATAGTGAAAGATGTTTTTTTTTTTTTGATTGCAGAAGGTCGTACGGTGGCCAATAGTTGTTAACTTCTACGTAGGTCAGTCTTTTGTGGAGAGATGTCTCATTTGGCAATCATGCCACATCTTTGATTTGATATCTTAAGTTAGATAAACACAAGAAAATATTAGCTCGGCGTACATGTGCATATTTGCGAGACTAACGTTTTCAACGGTCTATTTTTTTTTTTAATTTCAACGTGCTTTTTAAAAAAAATATTTTTAACATGAAATTAAAATTTGATCCTAAACCGTTAGATCAATTCAGTTGTACATATTTAACTTGTATGCCTATATTATAATTATGTGGGTAGTATATGTTTAATGGACAATTCATATTTGTTAATTTCCAGTTGAAAGGATTTGTTTTTCGTAAATTGTTTTGTTATAAATTTGGCCTTTAGTTTTCTCAATTGAATTCATATTTTTCATGTCGGGGGGCTTTTATAGCCGACTATACGGTATGGGTTTTTCTCATTGGTGAAGGCCATACGGTTGCCTATAAATAATTGCTTACATCCACATCACTTTGGTGTATAGCTGTCTCATTTGCAATCATTCTACATCTCCTTATTTTTATTTGCATTTTAGCCTAGACTTTAGATCGATTAATCTTTTTTTTTTTGCATATAATCCGTTACATCTCGCCATAACTGTCGGATACGTATTTTAGAAAAAACACAAACACAAAGAGAAAATTGTCCTCTGATTACAGGGGATAACGACAAAACACTCGAAAGGTACAATTCTTGACGAATCCTGATAAAACGCAATGACTAGAATAATATCTAAAACAATATATTTAGTGATAACTGTACTCGATCCAAACATTATTTATAACTCTAATTCTTGTAAATTTTAAATTAGTTCGTGTCCTAAACAAAAACTTGCCAGTTGATATTAAGCAAACCACACGTAATCGTTGTGTTTCTATATAGTTATATACTATTTTTGTCAGCTACATAAAATTTGCTTCTTTATTTGCGTGGTTGGTCCCTTCGTGTGGTAAATCAGAGTAAAATGCTAATTTCGGATTTGGAAATATAACAATTCTAGTTCACCTTTGAAAACTTAATACAAAACATATGTAATATCAATGTACATCCAGAACTTTTTTTCCAATATTAGGGTTTTTTAAATGGCAAATAACATGAGACAACACTTTATCAAACTTCTAACTATGCATCATCAACTTAATCAATCTGTACTTCTACATTACAATTCTTTTAAAATTTAGGTGCGGTATTTACAACACCCGATGAAATTTCAGCTTTAGGATGTCGGTTTCAAAAGAACTGTACAACGAACTTCAACTATAGTAAAGACTTAACACTTACACGTACTCTTAACTCAAAGTCTTAAAGCACGAACTCTTTTTTGAAAGTAACCCACGCTCTACGGAAATTTTTTGAAAATTTGTATAAATCCAGTGAAATTGAAAATTAGAGTCTTTATCATATACTTTTAAATTCCTTCTAATGTTTATATTAATATCATAAGATCATACAGCTATACTTTTTTTCTAGTAAATAAATACGCTTTTATGTGATTTTGGTAAAATGAATTGTAATGCGAATTGCATTGAAAGGCACATATCCATCAAAATGCTACACGTGCGATCTTCATCTGGAAAAAAATAGTTAAACGTACTATTAATGATTAGATTTACTTGCGATGGAATTTAAGTTTTGTTTTATTCATTAATTCATTTTTTGGTTGTTTTTTTTTAGATAAATACCCATTTTATTTGCCAGATGCTTTCGACATTGAAGTTTGAGCCATCAGTCAGAATCGACGAAAGAAGAAATGTGTGACGCCTGTAGGATTCCGTAGATATCTTGCCTTACCTTACAACTGTCTCGCTGTGCAGCTACAAAACTCTGAGTGTTACTTTTTTTAATTATCTTTGTAAATTCAAATAATGATCGTAAACCTCATATATGTATGAAACTTTTGTCAACAGTATATCTATTACTTTCCTTTTATGGTAAAACAAAATTAAAATAATTATGTATTTGACGGCATATATGAAAAGACAAAAAGATTATTTGATAGGAAATTACGATTTTAACCATTTTTTCCCTTATAATTAACTTCCAGAGATTGTCCACTCTAGAGGTACAAATAGGAAAATGTTTTATTGTAACACATGTCACTAATAAAAGTGTTAAATATTTACATTGCATATATTAAAAGATATGAATACACAGAGAACGGCCAATATAGCACAGAAAAAACGTAGATTATTCGATAAAGACAGAATATTTCACCTAATTTAAAATAATCAAAAGATTAAAAAAAGTTCGAGGGATCGTTATTTGAAGTTGCTATTTTTGCGGGTTTCATATTTTAATATTGCCATTTTTTTTTACTTTTATCTTTATCCTAAATTCTTAATTCTAATCTAATGATGAGGATAAATCATTAAAAAAAAGAAAACAAAAAGTGATGAATAATTGCAAAAATAGGAAAAAAGAAAGTATGCTAATTTCTGCAGAATTTAACGGCTTCGAGACAGGTTGATGTTATCGTAACGCCCGTTGTCAAATGTTGTGTAAATATGCTACTGTATCAAAGTATGGTTGCAGGAACTGAAGTATAAGAACCGTGTTACACACCAAAGACCAGAACGTGGATCTGAAAAGACCTGAAAATGTGCTATTCGATTTATTCAAATTTCAATAACTTTTATTAATTTTTAAATTGATTTTTATCAAGTTTGAATTCTATTAAAGATAAAGTTCAATATTTTATCACAAAGAAAAAGAGTATAATACAAAACTAATCTGTGATGCCAAACTCGGACCGAAACGGGGAATTGAATAGACCTGAACGGAGCTGAAATTCTACGGTGATACTTATTCAAACTTCAATAATAGATTTTCTTCACGTTGTCGTACACGCTTTTTTGTATATCAGTTCATCAGATATGATGAGATACTAATATACTTCCATCTCTTTACTGGTCAAAATTGCACGTGATAGCCCAAATATGGTCTTAACATACAAACGTTCCGTTAGGCAGAGGTTCAACAGCTTGATAGTACAATAGATTCAACGTCTTTTATTCAGAGTCTCGCTGTTGTTGAATTCAGAGGCAGATAAGATTTGTATTGCTTTGGCGGTTTCAATGCTCAACTTTGACTCAATAGACATATGCTAGGAACGAGTGGTTTACAAAAGATTAATGATTGGTTAATTGGTTGATTGTTGATTGCTTAACGTCCAGTGGCACATATTCCATGCATGTTGAGGACTATTCCAGTAGATGACATACATGTTTTTTTTTTAACAATATCATTTTATGAATTCCAGCTGTAGACCTCTAGTTTACCATTTAAAAACATTTAGAAATAAAATTTTGCGTATATGGTTGCACTAGGAATTTAATTAAATTTAACGAGTACGACGTATCTTCTGTGATGACTTTATTTATGCATTGTAAGTCGTCTTTCTAAAAGTCTATCAGATTAGTTTGAGAATAAATTTAGGATAGGCAATATTCAATCCGTTCAGATTTTTATTCGAAATAAAAGTGTTAAACACCTATTATAATTCATAATGTATCCAATGCCAATATGAATTTTGTTCATGTATCATTATCATACAATCTGTTTTATTGACTTTGAAAATATTTGGTAAAAATGCATACTTGATGAAATTGTACTCAGCTGTTTACCATAGAAATGAAGATGTACTGTATGAATTAGCCTCTTCCCTTCCTCTTCCGGATTAATTATTTGATAAGTAGCATTTGGTTAAATTGTACCAGAGACATGTGTATATATGTCTCTGATTATACTAGAGGATGGGGAGGGAGAATGTTTTTTTGCATGTTTTAATTTTGAAAATCTTAATGCATCAACATATTTTTCATGCATGTCAGCAACTGCTAGTAGTCCCTTGTTAATTTATGTTGATCATTGTCATTTTGCTTAGTTTCTTCTGTTACCTATTCTAACATTGGACTCGGACTCCTTTTTAACTGAGATTTACTTTGCATATTGGTGTGTGTTTGTTTATTCCACATTGACTAGAGGTATAGGGGAGGATTGAGATCTCACAAAAAAATGTTTAACCCCGCCGCATTTTGCGCCGTCCCAAGTCAGGAGCATCTGGCCTTTGTTAGGATGTATGTTTTTTTTAAATTTATTTTGGTTCATTTATATGTTTTGAATTTTAGTGTGACGTCCATTTTCGCTGAACTAGTATACATTATTGTTTACAGACAAGTTGAAGCCCGCCTCCGGGTACGGGATTTTCTCGCTGTGTAGAAGACCCATTGGTGGCCTTGGGCTGTTTTCTGCTCTTTGGTCTGGTTGTTATCTATTTGACACATTCCCCATCTCCATTCTCAATTTTATTTATCTAAAACGGCTCAATAGATGCACCAATTCACCCACTCTAATTAAGAAATATGTAAAAGTAGCGCTATTCTGACAAAAAATAGCGCTTTTGGTGATGTTGTTTACTTAAACTAGCAATTACAGGTACATGAATGCAAATTTTCTGATTGGGAAATATATTTTGAGCCAATAATTACGTGTGCATGAACATGCGCTAGATAGTATTCTAATGACGATTTTCAGCAACCCAACATGCACATTAAGTTGTGGGGGACTTCCCAAAACAGCATGTGTCACTACAAGACACATTAGTTAAACTTAAGATATAATATTTAGAGAGTTGTGAATTAGATATATAGGGATTTTGAATAGGTTGTCTGACACCTAAAGCTATGCATTTGTTACAGAAATTGTAAGACTGTTTGACTACATTAGGATAGAGCACTAGGAAAGAGATACAATAAACTGTTGACAAAAAGATACGTCTCCCTGTCAGCATAAAATTCAGAAAAAGACAATCTGATGGACAGCAGCATTGGTAATTAATTAAAAGTCGCTGGACCATAAACAAGTGGGCAGGGCCTAGAAATGGTCGACAAACTGAGATGTACTGTGACAGACAGTAATGTAACTTTATAGAAAATAGCATTGTCTATTGTGAGTAGCTCCTATCAATCTAGCTAAAGCAGAAAACTTAACATTGAAAATTGCTAATTAATTCAAAGTCACTAGACCATGACCTAGGGGGCAGGGCCTCAAAATAGTAGTCAAACTAATATGTACTGATAGTAATGCAACTTTATACAAAATATCATTGATATATCACAAGAAGTTCCTATCAAACTGACTTAAAGCAGAAAACTTAACATTTAAAAATTGCTTATTAATTCAAAGTCACTGGACCATGACCTAGGGAGCAGGACCTCAAAATAGTCAAACTGATAGTAATGCAACTTCATACACAAATTCATTGGTCTATCACAAGTAGATCCTATCAAACTAACTTAAGCAGAAAACTTAACATTTAAAATTGCTAATTAACTCAAAGTCACTGGACCAGGTCCTAGGGGGCAGGGCCTAAAAATAGTAGTTAAACTGATATGTACTGATAGTAATGTAACTTTATACAAAATATCATTGATCTTTCACAAGTAGTTTCTATCAAATTAACTTGAGCAGAAAACTTAACAATTGTTGATGCCATTGTCACCATCGAAGGAAAAGAAATCCCTATGTCTCGCTTTCATTACAGGCGAGACAAAAACAACAAAAGTTATACTTATATCATGGTTTGGAAAACATGTAGCAAAAGTTCACAAGAAATGTGTCCAAAAACATTGCAGATATGTCTGACAGATATGTGAAGGAAGTTGTCAAGGTACTTTTTTATCCTCTGTTGTATCTGAGACTACTATGTTAAAGTAGTCTCAAGCGGGTTGCATTTTCTATTATTTGGCCAATGTAGTTAAGGCTTTTAAAAAAACTTTTCTCCTAAAATTGACCAAAACATTGCATAAGATGGTCACCAGGGCCATCTTTAATCATTTTACAGAAATGATTCTTTGTCCTCGGAAAGTTTGTTACTAAAAATCTGATTAGAAAAAAAAGATGGTCGCCAGGGCCAAATATTAACTTTTCTAATTACCATTACTGTTCAACAGAATTCATGAAACCAAAGCCAACATAATACTCCTTGGATACTTTCTGAAGTCGAATTCTCAGAAAAAAATTCTGAAATTTAACAAGATTAAAATATTGTTGAACTTTTTTTACTTTAAAATTGAGAATGGAAATGGGGAATATGTCAAAGAGACAACAACCTGACCAAAGAGCAGATAACAGCCGAAGGCCACCAATGGGTCTTCAACACAGGGAAAAATCTCGCACCTGGAGGTGGTCCTCAGCTGGCCCCTAAATAAAATTGTGTATTGATTCAGTGAAAATGGACATCACACTAAACTCATAAACATATAAAGGAACTAAAATTAAAAAAACATACAAGACTAACAAAGCCCAGAGGCTCCTGACTTGGGACAGGCGCAAAAATGCGGCGGGGTTAAACATGTTTTGTGAGATCTCAACCCTCCCCCTATACCTCTAGCCAATGTAGAATAAAGAAACACATAGCAATATGCACAGTAAAACTCAGTTTAAAAGAAGTCCGAGTCTGATGTCAGAATAGGTAACAAAAGTGTTAGAGTAGATTTGATTCTTTACTTCCTCCCCGGCCGAGCCTGGAACCTGTACTTTTCACTTCATACTTCTACGACAACACCGCCTAGCATTGCGCAGACGCCTTATCCCCTCCTCTAACTATAGCTGATAAAATTCAGCTTTTGTTTCGGGAGGTGTTACCTTCTCGTAGGAATTAAACAAGGACATCTAGACGCAATACACAAAGTATTTTTAAGTGTACAGAAATGATCATCTACTCATCTCTTTAGTATAATTACAGGATGCTAATCTATTTTTAGAAGCATACAATCACTGTAAATTTATATATATGTATGTCTGCCTATGTGTAGTGACAACTGTAAATTATACCTTGTCCATCCAATTTCTTATGATTAAGAAATACCAGGCTTTAGAATATATATATATATATGTGTATTATTAAGTTGTGTACTCATTTAAACAACAATAATCAACCATGATACTTTTATAGCTGAACTGCTTGAATGTGTATACTTCCTTCATAAAAGTTAAACTTGTAATGTGGTGGTCATTTTGGTTAACTGGAAAAAACACGAAAAACAAATTTTATATAAGATATATAGCCTACGGATCATTCAGTTCAAATTTGGTTGAAATTGGTCACATGGTTTCAAAAGAAGATAAAAATTTATGATGGACAATGGACCATGATGACAATGGATGCAAAGTGATGACAAAGCTAAAACCTTTTCTATAACTTTTTTAGGGTTGTTGTTGAAACTATTCACAATGGATTGTCTGTTTACATGGTGGAGAATATATACAAACTTTGCATTAGAATTAGATGATTTGTTATTTGTTATTTAATTCTCATTCAACAAAGTAAAAAACGTCCGCATAAAGTTAAAATAGTTTCTATGGCATCCACAAGCACTATATACAGGTAATTTGCAGTCGTCTCCAATGTTAGTTTATCTTTGAAGTTTGACACCTGGTCAAATAGTCTCATTGACAAAATATTTCACTTTTGTTAATCACATGGGGTAGTTCAGTATCAATGTTGTTAAGTCTCATAAAATTTTCGATCAAAATGTTACGCTCCTCTTCAATAAGAATATCTAATGGTTTTGAATAAAAGATTGTTGCCACATCTTTATCCTTATCTAGTGTCATACGTTTACATAATTTGTAATAATGGTCACCAGACATATCCAGCAAGGTAAAGTAAACCTGCAAAGGAAATAAGAAAAATCATTTCTGACACAACATTACATACATTATTTATATGTACATTCTTAATTAAACAAGCATTCTGAGAGTATTGCATGGCAATACATAGTCCCCTACCGGGTAAAAATTCATTATACTGGAACAAAATGCTAACTTGTTATATAACTTGCCATGGTGTAAACAAAAAGTAAATATCATGTCAATATCTTCAAGCATGACTAAAAACTGTGGATATGAGTGAATTTTTCAAGTCCAAGGACCATAACTCTGCACAAAATTATTAGACCGAAACAAAAATTTTAACTTGATCTGTAATTTGTCATGATAAAACTATATACCAATTATCAATCAATATTGTACAAGCATGATGAAAAAAACATTAGATATGATTAATAGTTCTCTAAAATTAGATATGATGTAATACAGTGTATATCTATTTTCAAATTATAATCAAATATAATTAATAGTTCCAAATATTTTTTCTTTCATTTGTCACAAACTAATATAGATTTGTAACTTATCTATAAAATGTCAACAACTTTTATCTACACAATGTAATGTATTGGAATATATACATACAGTGTAATAAAAGTTACATAATAAAAATAGATTATTATCTAATTAAAGGAACTCTCTTCATAATTTTTTTTTTATATATATAGCATTCAGAAAATTAGTTTATACTAAATAACTAACAAACCTGCCAAAAAATTCTTCAAATAATTGAACAAAGAATGTCTTTTAAAAAATTAGTTATCTCCCTTTGTACAGAGATATGGTTTAACATAGTACTCTAAGATTAGATATGGTCCAGAGTTATGGTCCATAACTCTGGATTAAATCATCAGACCGGAACAAAATTTGAACTTGATCTATAACTTGTCATGATAAAACTATATACCAAATATCAAATCAATATCTTCAAGAACGAAGGAAAAAAAAGTGTGGAAAGCTGATTTGCCGGACTGACAGAAGGACAGACAGACAGACGGACAGACAGACGGAGTGCAAACCTAAAGTCCCCTTCGACCTCCCATGCTTCTCAACTAAGTTACAAAGGTCAACACATTGACATAATCTGCTGAGTGCAAAACTACTTGTCGTTTTTTTTTTTTAATCGTCAGTTTGCCAGTAACTTACTTTGTTATCTTTCGTCTTAATGAAAATTGACTAGGTATTCTTCACTTTTCCAAAGTGTTTGGGTGAGGCAATTATTCAAATTGTTACTAAGCCATGTATGTAGATAATATTTTGGATAAGGTAACCATATACAGTGATGTAATGGTGCTACATGTATAAACATTTTTTTTACCTTTGTATCTTTCACTATCATTCCCAGTATTTTGATTGTTGTATATTGTATTTTTGGTATATCCAAAAGAAGTTCACCAGCATGTTGTCCTAAAACAGCAGAACTTAAATCTAGTTCAAGTGCAGAAATATAATTTCTACTTTCATTATCTGAGCTCATAGAACTGGAGCTTTTACTTTTGACAGATATTTTGGTCCTTTTTCTTAATGGTTCATCTTCTGAACTAGTTGAACTGGAGCTACCCCTGCTACCAGATTGTTTGTGCCTTTTTCTGAACAGTTCATCTTCATCATCTATATCTGTTTTTTCCAACTGTAAAATATAACTAAAATATTGAATATATCACCTATAATTCCCAAACAGTGCTGTAACATAAACAGTTATTGTGCTTACATACAATAACATAACCCCTGTTTCCAGGGGCAAGCCAGAGTAGCATAAAGTAAAATCACAAAAATACTGAACTCCGAGGAAAATTCAGAAAGGAAAGTCCCTAATCCAATGGCAAAATCAAATGCTAAAAGACATCAAACGAATGGATAACAACTGTCATATTCCTGACTTGGTACAGGCATTTTCTTGAATCTATTGAATCTAGGTTGCACCATGAGCTTTCAATATACACACGTGATGACATCCCAAAGCTTTGCCAAAAATTCATAAATACAAATTAATTCTGATACAGAGTTGAAATATGCACATCTCTGATATAGACATACAAACATCACGTAAAATCAAAGCAGTTGTAGCTTTAAAACTGTAAGAGGTGTTTGGTGTTGTTACACAGTCATTACAATCCATTCTGTGTTTTTGTTAGTTGTTTTCTGCTTTGTATCTATATGATGAGTTCAGCCCTTTTCAACTGAATTTTAGCTCACCTGGCCCAAAAGGGCCAAGTGAGCTTTTCTCATCACTTGGCATCCGTCGTTGGTCATTGTCCGTCGTTGTTTTTGTCAGTTATCTTTTACAAAAATCTTCTCCTCTGAAACTACTGGGCAAAATACAACCAAACTTGGCCTAAATCATCCTTAGAGTATCTAGTTTAAAAAATGTATCCGATGACCCCGAGAGAGCCAACATGGCTAAAAATAGAACATGGGGGTAAAATGCAGTTTTTGGCTTATATCTTTGAAACTAAAGCATTTAGAGCAAATCTGACGGGATGAAAATGTTCATCAGGTCAACATCTATCTGTCCTATTATTTTCAGAATCATCAGACAACCCGGTGTTGGGTTGCTGCCCCTGAATTGGTAATTTTAAAGAAATTTTGCAGTTTTTGGTTATTATCTTGAATATTATAATAGATAGAGATACACTGTAAACAGCAAAATTGTTCATCAAAGTAAAATCTACAAATAAGTCAAATGACCAAAATTATCAATTGACCCCATAAGGAGTTATTGCCCTTTAAAGTCAATTTTTCACATTTTTTCGTAAATTTTTGTAATCTTTTACAAAAATCTTCTCCTCTAAAACTACTGGGCCAAATTAAACCAAACTTGGCCTAAATCATCATTAGGGTATGTAGTTTAAAAAATGTATCCGATGACCCCGCCAATCAACCAAGATAGCCGCCATGGCTAAAAATAGAACATGGGGGTAAAATGCAGTTTTTGGCTTATATCTCTGAAACTAAAGCATTTAGAGCAAATCTGACATGGGGTATAAATGTTCATAAGGTCAAGATCTATCTGCTTGAAAATTTATAGGTGCATTAGACATTCTGTTGTTGGGTTGCTGTCCCTGAATTGGTAATTTTAGGGAAATTTTGAAGTTTTTGGTTTTTATCTTGAATATTATAATAGATAGAGATAAACTGTAAACAGCAATAATGTTCGGCAAAGTAAGATCTACAAATAAGTCGATATGACCAAAATTGTCAATTGACCCCATAAGGAGTTATTGCCCTTTATAGTCAATTTTTCATAAATTTTTGTAATCTTTTACAAAATCTTCTCTACTTAATCTACTGGGCCACATAGAATTAAACTTAGCCACAATTTTCAATAAGGTATCTTGTTTGAAAAATGTATCAAATGACCCTGTCATCCAACCAACATGGCCACCATGGCTAAAAATAGTACATAGGGGTTTACTATATAGAAGTCTAAGGGAAAAGTGTAAAAAAAACAATTTCAAATGGTCACCACTTGAAAACTAATTTAAATAATGATAAGGGGTCTTCAGTTACTATTGTAAGAATACAATCGGATGACCTGCTTTTAATTTAACTACTGGGCCAAATTAAACCAAACTTGGCCACAATCATTATTAGGGTATCTAATACTATTAATTATGATTTTAACCTTATTTTCACATGATTTCCAAAACAACAGTCAATATAGGTGAGCGACACAGGCTCTTGAGAGCCTCTACTTATAGTTTATTCTTATGTTGTACTGTTAAAACTACTGTCCAAGGTTAGGGGAGGGTTTGGCGCCAGCATACATGTTTAATCCCACCATATTCTTTATGTGCAAGTCATTAGTCAGGAGCAATTAATTTAGAGGTTATCGTTGGTTCGTGTCTGTCAAATTCTTTCTTTGTAAATTGTTTTCTTATAAATTAGGCCATTAGTTTTCTCAATTTAATTGTTTGACATTTTTCATGCTGGGGCCTTTTATAGACCGCTATATAATATGGGTTTTTCTAATTGATGAAGGGCATATGGTTTCCTATAATTGCTTACATTCACTTCTTTTGAACTTTGGTGGATAATTGTTTCATTGGCAATTATACCACATCTTCTTATTTCTTATATAAACCATGTACTCTTTAAGCAGACAGGTGAATGGTATGAATGAAGTTACAGACCTTTGCTTAGTCTCATAACATGCTTTTTCTTTGTAAGTTGTCATAAAAGGTAATTAGTTCTGGTTTTGCATCAATATCTCTTGGTCCACAATTATGCATGATTTTAACAAATTAAATGTACTGTTGAAATTTTTTTTTCTTAAATTAATGTCCTAAAAAACAAGAGGACCATTGAATTTCTTGTAAAATATATTTTGGTCCCATAGCTATTTAGAAGAGGCTGAGTAATAAATGGCCAACACAATTTTGTTTACCTTTAGAAACACTGTGAACACGGTGACAATGATACAGGTGCCAAAAGTGAAGCAGGATCTGCTTACCCTTTCAATCCAGGGAGTCAAAGTTCACCCCTGGTTTTAGATGGGGTTTGTGTTGCTCAGTGTCAAGTTAATTGTCTTCTGGTTATTTTTTAATGTTTTGTCATGGTGTTGTCAGATTGTCTTTTATTCATGAATTTGAATATCCTCCTGGTATCATCTCACTTTTTTACCATGAATATTTAATACAAACATACCTTTACAACTGATACTACAGTATAAGGGTCTTTATCTTCTACATGGGACATCGGTCTTGTACATAAACGGTAATCAGGCTTAGAGCTGACATCTACACCCAATAAACCTTTAAAACATGATGAATATTCATCTCCATTTCTGAAATTGAAAAAAATTTACTGTTACTTAATTTGTTGATGTTTCCAAAACACTATCTCAAGAGGCTACAAGGTATCTGTATTGCTCACCTGATATCTATGTATAATGCAGGTAAATAGATGTATTTACGCTTGTATGTAAATTTTGTAAAACCACACTTGTCCTTGCAAAATATTTCATCACAATTCAAAATATTTGAGGTCATAATTTAAAATTAAAGTTGCATGACGTCAGAAGGTTATTTGGAGACAGATCTAGGGTCAATTGGAGAAAAAATTCAGCTAAAATGTATTAAAAGGTTTATTGGCCAAATTGATCCCATTTAAATTATTGCATAAACACCACTGTGTCTTTAGACAACAGCTGCAGCAAGGCAATACCATTTATTTGACTTTTAAAATCTGCAATCATCTAAAAACCATAAATTCTTTAGCATGCCATTTTTATCTGCATAGCCAATGGTCTGCTGCTTGACAATGTTGAGTTGTAGCGAGAAAGCAATTTATACAACTGCTGTGTAGCTACTTCCTGTTTGCTTATACATGTAGTTTGAAATTTTTACAACACTCATTGAACAAGGAAAATTTTAGTCAAAGTTCCCTTAGCTTCTATGAAAAGGAATGATTTAATATTTGGACTACAGCTTGATAATCATGAGTTGAAACAAGTAAGCAGTTTTTACATCGCGATGACCGTGAGGGCATTCCGATGTATTGTGTCCGACGAGATTTCTTATTAGGTAACTTTCGTGTTTGACTGGTAACAGATCTATAAATACGCGGACATTATTGAGTGCAAAATAACATTCCTTATCGCTTGTTATAATTCATTTCTTAAATGAATACTCATAAAATATTTTTGTTTAGAACATAAATTAATAATATGAAAATGTTTTGTCGTTAGAAATATATATATAAGTAAAAAATCATTGATAATATCTATGCACAGGTACAGAAAAATTGTGTTAACGCATGCGGGAAAATATGAATGCCTGCTCAAATCCAATCTATTAGAAAAATCATATTATTACAGAAGAGTGTCCACCATGCACTTGCACTATTATTGGAATAGTAAAATAGAATGATATACAAATGGATGAAAATTATATTTTATACATGTAACTGTATACAAACATTAATATAATATATAACAACAAACCAGAGTATACTGATTTGTATCACTACAATATAATACTTATTACTGTGATGTTGAATTCCCTGTCATTTATTCATTATCCACGCACGAACATGTCTCGGAAAAAAATATATCTCTGTACATTAACCTCACTTTCAGGTATACAGATGTAATTTTTTTTTCAGAGACAAGTGCTTGTGACCATCCACAAGAACTTGCGGTCATCCGATGTTCAGTACTTCAGTACTTTGATTAAATCTGCTGTGTAGCCACTTCCTGTTTGCAGATAGTTTGAAATTTTAGAACACTAATCATGCTCATTGTGAAAGGAGAAAATTCCTGTCAATTTTTTTTGGCTCCTATTAAATTAAATGATTTTTGGTTTGAATGATAAGTAACATGTATGCTTCCAAATACATGTTACCTCAATCAATTGCATGCAGCAATGCAGGTGCAGACCAAGTACATGTATTGGTGTTGTTATTTATGATTCATACTTGCATACATGCCTATACAAAATTTAACATGGAAAAGTATTATTAAACATCCTGAACCACAGTATGCAGTTCTTTATTGTTTGTCATTGTGTTTTCTTTTTTAAACAAAGTAGTTGTTGGTTGCTTGTGTACATTTCTGTGGTTTCATAATTCATTCAAGCTACAAACCTAGGTCTCAAATAACACATATTTGCAAATGATCTGAATAATGATGAATACATTCCTTCAGTGACATTAGAATGGGGATGCAGAGTTCTCCTCAGGAAAATCAACAGTTCATGTATAAAATCTTCTACACAAAATTTTACCCTTTCAACTCTGAAATAAAGAAAGATTTTTGTCATGGTTTTAGAATATATATATATAATATATATGAATAATATTTTCATGATTTTGTCAATAACAATATTGTAGATAATACTATCTTTGACTATATATGTTGTTATTACAAATGTAGTAATAAAGGGCACAGCATGTCTGCAAAGAAGAGTGTAACACTTATATGTTGTACATGTATATATTTCATTATATCCTGTAAATTAAAATATGTGTGCATGCATTTTTTTGGCATTTTTTTTTACTATAACATGATGAACAACAAGAGCCATTTTGATATTTTTTGCCCCCTCTATTGCAATCAATTATCTTTGCTTATTTATGAATTTGTAAATCTTACTTGTGGCATTTTTATAGGTCATGTACATGTAGGTCTTGTATTAATGATCATTTAAACAGTTTATAGTTTAAACCTGTCTATTAAAATCAGATTAAAGTTTTTGAGAAAAAAATTCATTTTATCATGTTTATGGTAAACAATTGTGACAATTTGGCTATGATGACATACTTGTAGATTTAATTTTGCTGACCTTTTTTGCTTTTCAAAAACATCAAAGTTTCTCTTTAACTTTCATAGTTTAAAAAAAAAATGCAATAAATGGATAACTTATGGAATCTGATATTCAGTAGTTGTCCTTTGTTGATGTGGTTCATAAGTGTTTCTCTTTTTTTATATAGATTAGACCGTTGGTTTTCCCGTTTGAATGGTTTTACACTAGTAATTTTTTGGGGCCCTTTATAGCTTACTGTTCGGTGTGAGCCAAGGCTCCGTGTTGAAGACCGTACTGTGACCTATAATGGTTTACTTTTATAAATTTTTACTTGGATGGAGAGTTGTCTCATTGGCACTCATACCACATCTTCTTATATCTATAAAATCATTATTTTGGGAAAATAACTTCTATGAAGACAGTCACATGAAGGAATTGGTTGAAAATTTGACTGCTGTGTCTAGGTTTCCTACATGTAGGTGACTTTGTCTAATCAATGCCAATGCGAAATAACGGTATAATTTTTGTTTCAGAAAAGTGTATCAATATAAAATTTACATTTATGACATTTAAAATTTTACATTTTAAAACGATCAATTGTAGTGGATAACAGCCTTCAGTCAAGGATATAACTCTATAGGGTTATTAGAGTAAAATAACATACATTTGTTATTGTGGACTAAAAAATCAAAAAATTGTGATAACATATGTATGTTACATGTTTCAAAGGGCCAATATACATCATTTGTTTTGTTAAAATGTGTACAAGTTCTATTGATATTATTAGTATACTAAACTATAGAAATTAAATTCCGTGTGGTGAACCAACGCCTGTGAAATCGTTTTGGTAGAGTCCTTGAAGTGGATACCTTGGTATGCCGGGTTGTCAAATCATGCAAATGAATGCAATCCTTAAATAATAATTAAAATTGACAACAACACTTCAAAAGATCTGCAATTTTATTATCTATGTCTACATGTTTCGCCTGCAAGGCAGGCTTCATCAGGACAATTTTTATACAGAATTTAATCCCTGAAGTACTCAAAGTGGTGCATGAAATTTGACGTCGTCATGGTGAGAGAAACAATGAAAAGTGAAAGTAGCAATACAGAGTTATAAATAGATAAGATAAATATAGAAAATTAAAGTTTGTTTACAATGTAACTTGAGTTTGTTTTACTATTATATGATACATGAAATTGTTCTAATGGCTTGGTATCTAATTGGACGAACTTCCCATGGTTCCTACCACTTCGCAAGGCTTCTCTTCCAACCTGGCCATTGTTGGAGGTTACTACTTCCTGGCGCGTCGGCAACACATAGGAAGATTATGGTCGCCGCTATGTAAAATAAAATTGTCAAAAAATGTTCCCTTGTTAATTATTTGGTGACTCTCTATAATTTTTGGATCGTCTGTAGTAGTTGGTCTGTTTAATAGCATGGTTGTGAATTCCTAGTTCATTTAAGATCGGCGCCCGTGGTACGTTTTTTTCTGCTAACAGTTATATCTATATGTTAAGGTGGTATCGGATTTCTTGGTCATCTTGGTTCAGTTGTTATTTCGTCGCAAGTATGGAATATTCCTTGGTCCATGTATATGCTGGTGGCCGGTAGATTGGCGCGTGTAGCAAGGCGGTTCCTTTCGGATGCAGGGGTTCACGATTAAATAATAAATTAAATTCCGTGTGGTGAACCAACGCCTGTGAAATCGTTTTGGTAGAGTCCCTGAAGTGGATACCTTGGTATGCCGGGTTGTCAAATCATGCAAATGAATGCAATCCTTAAATAATAATTAAAATTGACAACAACACTTCAAAAGATCTGCAATTTTATTATCTATGTCTACATGTTTCGCCTGCAAGGCAGGCTTCATCAGGACAATTTTTATACAGAATTTAATCCCTGAAGTACTCAAAGTGGTGCATGAAATTTGACGTCGTCATGGTGAGAGAAACAATGAAAAGTGAAAGTAGCAATACAGAGTTATAAATAGATAAGATAAATATAGAAAATTAAAGTTTGTTTACAATGTAACTTGAGTTTGTTTTACTATTATATGATACATGAAATTGTTCTAATGGCTTGGTATCTAATTGGACGAACTTCCCATTGGATCGTCTGTAGTAGTTGGTCTGTTTAATAGCATGCATATACATGGACCAAGGAATATTCCATACTTGCGACGAAATAACAACTGAACCAAGATGACCAAGAAATCCGATACCACCTTAACATATAGATATAACTGTTAGCAGAAAAAAACGTACCACGGGCGCCGATCTTAAATGAACTAGGAATTCACAACCATGCTATTAAACAGACCAACTACTACAGACGATCCAAAAATTATAGAGAGTCACCAAATAATTAACAAGGGAACATTTTTTGACAATTTTATTTTACATAGCGGCGACCATAATCTTCCTATGTGTTGCCGACGCGCCAGGAAGTAGTAACCTCCAACAATGGCCAGGTTGGAAGAGAAGCCTTGCGAAGTGGTAGGAACCATGGGAAGTTCGTCCAATTAGATACCAAGCCATTAGAACAATTTCATGTATCATATAATAGTAAAACAAACTCAAGTTACATTGTAAACAAACTTTAATTTTCTATATTTATCTTATCTATTTATAACTCTGTATTGCTACTTTCACTTTTCATTGTTTCTCTCACCATGACGACGTCAAATTTCATGCACCACTTTGAGTACTTCAGGGATTAAATTCTGTATAAAAATTGTCCTGATGAAGCCTGCCTTGCAGGCGAAACATGTAGACATAGATAATAAAATTGCAGATCTTTTGAAGTGTTGTTGTCAATTTTAATTATTATAAACTATAGAAAGATATAACAGTTCTTAGTTCTCCAATCATGCATAGTACACCTATGTTATTACAGAAAAAATATGCCTGTAATAACAAAAGGGTGTTATTACAGCTTCTCTACATCACTTCAAAGCCTTTGCTCAGACATACATCATGCTTAATCACAATGTATTTTAATTCATTGTAAGAAATAATGATCAGAGCCTGTAATGAGGTTCTGCGCAAGCTTCCCAGTAATTCCCAAGTGTCTCATATAATAAGTTACATGCCTTTAATAGCCTTCTCTCATTGATTTACCATGGTTGATGAAAAATGTATTAATTTAATTTCGACAATTAGTTATCAAAGCTATGCATTTAGTTTCTGAGCAAAGTTTCAAGAATTCCCAAGTGCCCACTAAAAATAATGGGTGGGGGTGGGGGATGGCAACACAGGATAATGGGGGGGGGGGTTCAAATCATGTGTGCCATTCAAATACATTGATCGTTCAAAAAAAAAGGGGGGTTCCAACCCCCGATACCCCCTTCCCCCTGGATCTGCCACTGACATGCAAGATATTTTCTCTAATAACCCTATAGAGTTATACCCCTGACTGGCCTTTGAACTGAATTATTTGAGCATAATATGCATATTCATAATTAGCTAAACTCACTGTGTCCGTGAGTACAGCAACAAAATGCATGCCAACTAATTTTTGCACCAGAACTTATTATTGCGTATCCAATTATCAATAAAATGCTCCGCTGGGTGCAGCTTGATACGACCGCAGAGATAGAACCCTGAACTGTTGGGGTAAGTATGGACACAACATTCAAGCTTGATACAGCACTGAATTTGGATTGTGATTAAATATTTGACACAGCATAGGTTTCTGACACAGAATGAATGTGGTCTAAGAACTTAAAATTTTTTTAATTTACCTATTCAAACCATATCATTATTATTTGCTTTTATATATAAATCAGAAATAACCAATTTAAAATGGAAAATTTTAAAGAAAAAAAAGGAAAAAAAAAATCCCCCCTCAAATTTTTTGAACCCCCTTATGATTCATCACCCCCAAACTCAATCCCAGCCTTCCCTTTGTGTAACAATGTATGGTGCCTTGCAGTACAATTTCAGAGAGATCCGTACACTTGAACACAAGTTATTGTCTGGAAACTAGAAAAATGCTTGTTTTTTTGCCCCTTTTTGGCCCCAAAATCCTAAACGTTTAGGTCAATTACCCCCACACTCAAACCCAGCTTTCCCTTTGTGATATGGAACCTTGTAGTACAATTTCATAAAGATCCATACACTTACACACAAGTTATTGTCCTGAAACTAGAAAAATGCTTGTTTTTTTTGCCCCTTTTTGGCCCCTAATTCCTAAAATTTTGAGGCAATTACCCCCAAAATCAATCCCAGCCTTCCATTTGTGGTATGGTACCTTGAAGTACAATTTCAGAGAGATCCATACACTTGAACACAAGTTATTGTCTGGAAACTAGAAAAATGCTTATTTTTGGCCCCCTTTTGGCCCCTTATTCCTAAACGTTTTGGGCAATTACCCCCAAACTCAATTCCAGCTTTCCCTTTGTGATATGGAACCTTGTAGTACAATTTCAGAAAGAACCATACACTTACACACAAGTAATTGTCCTGAAACTAGAAAAATGCTTGTTTTTTTGCCCCTTTTTGGCCCCTAATGCCTAAAATGTTGAGGCAATTACCCCCAAAATCAATCCCAGCCTTTCCTTTAGTGGTATGGTACCTTGCAGTACAATTTCAGGGAGATCCATACACTTAAACACAAGTTATTGTCTGGAAACTAGAAAAATGCTTTTTTTTTGGCCCCTTTTGGCCCCTTATTCCTCAACGTTTTGGGCAGTTACCCCCAAACTCAATTCCAGCTTTCCCTTTGTGATATGGAACCTTGTAGTATAATTTCAGAAAGATCCATACACTTACACACAAGTTATTGTCATGAAACTAGAAAAATGCTTGTTTTTGGCCCCTTTTTTGGCCCGTAATTCATAAAATTTTGAGACAATTACCCCCAAAATCAATCCCAGCATCCCTTTTGTGATATGGAACCTTGTGGTACAATGTCAGAGAGATCCATACACTAACACGCAAGTTATGTCTGGCAACACAGGATAAAGGGGGGGTTCAAATCATGTGTGCCATTCAAATACATTGATCGTTCAAAAAAAAAGGGGGGTTCCAACCCCCGATACCCCCTTCCCCCTGGATCTGCCACTGACATGCAAGATATTTTCTCTAATAACCCTATAGAGTTATACCCCTGACTGGCCTTTGAACTGAATTATTTGAGCATAATATGCATATTCATAATTAGCTAAACTCACTGTGTCCGTGAGTACAGCAACAAAATGCATGCCAACTAATTTTTGCACCAGAACTTATTATTGTGTATCCAATTATCAATAAAATGCTCCGCTGGGTGCAGCTTGATACGACCGCAGAGATAGAACCCTGAACTGTTGGGGCAAGTATGGACACAACATTCAAGCTTGATACAGCACTGAATTTGGATTGTGATTAAATATTTGACACAGCATAGGTTTCTGACACAGAATGAATGTGGTCTAAGAACTTAAAATTTTTTTAATTTACCTATTCAAACCATATCATTATTATTTGCTTTTATATATAAATCAGAAATAACCAATTTAAAATGGAAAATTTTAAAGAAAAAAAAGGAAAAAAAAAATCCCCCCTCAAATTTTTTGAACCCCCTTATGATTCATCACCCCCAAACTCAATCCCAGCCTTCCCTTTGTGTAACAATGTATGGTGCCTTGCAGTACAATTTCAGAGAGATCCGTACACTTGAACACAAGTTATTGTCTGGAAACTAGAAAAATGCTTGTTTTTTTGCCCCTTTTTGGCCCCAAAATCCGAAACGTTTAGGTCAATTACCCCCACACTCAAACCCAGCTTTCCCTTTGTGATATGGAACCTTGTAGTACAATTTCATAAAGATCCATACACTTACACACAAGTTATTGTCCTGAAACTAGAAAAATGCTTGTTTTTTTTGCCCCTTTTTGGCCCCTAATTCCTAAAATTTTGAGGCAATTACCCCCAAAATCAATCCCAGCCTTCCATTTGTGGTATGGTACCTTGCAGTACAATTTCAGAGAGATCCATACACTTGAACACAAGTTATTGTCTGGAAACTAGAAAAATGCTTATTTTTGGCCCCCTTTTGGCCCCTTATTCCTAAACGTTTTGGGCAATTACCCCCAAACTCAATTCCAGCTTTCCCTTTGTGATATGGAACCTTGTAGTACAATTTCAGAAAGAACCATACACTTACACACAAGTAATTGTCCTGAAACTAGAAAAATGCTTGTTTTTTTGCCCCTTTTTGGCCCCTAATGCCTAAAATGTTGAGGCAATTACCCCCAAAATCAATCCCAGCCTTTCCTTTAGTGGTATGGTACCTTGCAGTACAATTTCAGGGAGATCCATACACTTAAACACAAGTTATTGTCTGGAAACTAGAAAAATGCTTTTTTTTTGGCCCCTTTTGGCCCCTTATTCCTCAACGTTTTGGGCAGTTACCCCCAAACTCAATTCCAGCTTTCCCTTTGTGATATGGAACCTTGTAGTATAATTTCAGAAAGATCCATACACTTACACACAAGTTATTGTCATGAAACTAGAAAAATGCTTGTTTTTGGCCCCTTTTTTGGCCCGTAATTCATAAAATTTTGACACAATTACCCCCAAAATCAATCCCAGCATCCCTTTTGTGATATGGAACCTTGTGGTACAATGTCAGAGAGATCCATACACTAACATGCAAGTTATGTCTGGAAGTTACAAAAATGCTTATTTTTGGCCCCTTTTTTGCCCCTACAAGTAATTCCTTAACTGTTGGTACCATAACCCCCAAAATCAATCCCAACCTTCCTTTTGTGGTATTGAACCTTGTGGTAAAATTTCATAGAGATCCATACACTTAAACTAAAGTTAGAGTGCGAAAACCAATGTGTCTTCGGACGACGACGACAATGATGACGACGACGACGATGACGCCAACGTCATACCAATATACGACCACAAAAATTTTTTTGCGGTCGTATAAAAATTATTGCTTATCAAATTTTCTAACAGTATTCATGGATTGTAATGCATGATTAATTTTACAGCTTTTCACCAACTTTGATCGATTAACTTGATAATGAATACGTTTAATTTGAAATGTTAACTAATGAAAGGAAACTGTACTTTTTTAATTGTAAACAATCGAAATTTGTATCTTTTTTTCAGAAAATATACGGCGTTTGTGAAGATACATGAAACTTATCATTTAAATATAATAATGTATTTCTATTTGGAATGTTTATATGCAATCATTCTTTTAGTCTTCCCATTTATATTTTCTTTGTAGCCATGTTTGATGTAGCCACTAAATTTATAGTGACATTTATAAACTTGCCTGATTCTATAAATCATTTTTATGTTATATAATAAACTTTTATTATATTATTATTATTATTTATTAATCAATGTTTAAGTCACCAATATGTGCTAAGGCCAGGGTTTTTAATTTGTTGGTTAACGGATCCGCCAACCCTATTTTTCCGATTTGCAGATAAAAATAAAATTGACATTTCATGCTTTTTTATTCCCGCCGACCATAACAAATACATTATCCCTGAAATATAAATAAAAATATTCTTTTTTATGCAATTAAATGCATTAAACATTAACAGAATTGATTACACATTGTGTTGTAAAAAAAAAAAATCAAAAATAATCCGTATGTTTACGTATATAAAAATAGACAAATCAATCATAACTGACCTTGAGATGTTGTTTGCTCAAATAATTTTGCGGAGCGAAACCTGTGTTTAAAACCAATTACAATAAGTTCGTTATCCTTTTTTGTCAAAATTCCGTAAGATGTATCATCTCATGGACCTGTCCAAACGTGAAAGACGTCAAGTTAAAGTAATAGATCTTCACAAACAAATTGGAATTTTCTTGTTCCATAGATATTAAAAAAAAGTTCGTCCATTTGGATATCTAAAATGGGAATGCATGACGACTGATGAATCCGATATCCTTGTCTTTCCAGTGGATGAGTCTATTTCATTTTTGACACAGATGGTAAAGCTTATTTACGTACGACGTGTTTGCAATTTTTATTTATTAGTTTTCGTGCTTGAAGATCATTATTCACCAGTTTTCCTGAAATTTGATAAAAAGCAACGTTGATCTGGTTTTTTTTGTTCGTGAAATGATTTAATTTCGTTTTTGTCCGTGGACATATCCCCCCTTTTTGTAAATTGTATGACGATGGCATGCATTTTATGTTTAAAACAGCTGAGCAATAATATTTGGAACTAAAATTTAAGAAATGATGACAAAATAGCATACCAAACATATTGTTAGTACATGTAGTAAGGTGAAATATAGATTTATTTTTACATATTTATGTCTTTAAAGATATTTTTTCTTTTTTTTTTTCGACCGACCGACCTGACTTTTCATGTGAAAAATCCGTAAACCAACAAATTAAAAAACCCTGGCCTAAAATTAAAATGTTAAGTGTAATTTGGTCATTCCAGGTGTCATTCGGATAATGATGGTGTCATTCAGTCATTTGAGGTACCGCCAAAACTTTGCCACTAATGGAAGAACTATAAACTGGAAGATGGTTATAAATACAGTGTAGTACCATGTGTACCTAGTCCAAATAATTATGACTTTCTTTGACGCCTTACATCGATGTAAGGCGTCAAAGAAAAAAAATATAACAGCCTTTCAAGACGTCATAATTATTTGGACTACATGTGTACCTACATGCTGTTATTTTCTTTTGATTCTTCCTGATCTTTCTCTCCTTCTGGTGGTCTTACTAATACAGTTTCTTTTATCTTTTCTAACACTGGTTTCATATATTCATCATAAAAGCAATGAAGTGGAACTTTATCAGTATTTCTCTCATGAACTGCATCAAAATGAAGATATGACTGCAACACTCTAAAGTATTTGTTTTGTAAGTATGAGAGTTCTTTTACTTTTCCTGTTTTTGATAAAACATCAAATGGACTGTCCAGATAATTTTTCTCATAGTAAATATTCAATTTATTGCTGTGTTTTAATTTCCACTCTGAGACAAATTCTGGCAAACATTTTTGTCTTATGTTTGCTCTCCTGTACCTCCTATGACAGCGAAAGTGGTGTGCATCTTCGGCACAAGAAGATGACGAGTTTGTCTCTAGCTCTTTGATCGATTCTTCGTGCATATTATTTTCTATTGTTGGAAAATTACGTCTATTCTGTGTCTGCAAATTTTTTCCAACAAAAAAATAAAAAAAAAACAACATGGGGAATATAAGTGAGGGGAGAGAAACTTCAGTTATTTTGTACTTTCCTCCAAAAACGTGGAGCACTTCCCAATGATGTTGAATATTCACTAAGACACCCCAATAATAATATGATTGTTAAAATTTTTGTATCACCAAAAAGGTAAATCTATTATTTGATGTGATTTGTGCCAATGCTGACACAACTACATAACAAATATAATTGACCTTCCAGTAGGTACCATGTATTTTAAAAGCTTTTAAGTCTTTTAAGCTTTGGAAGGTATTACATGTACTATGAATGGAGAAACACTTGTAGTTCTTTCAACTACAATTATGTATAGAGGAAGATAAATCCAATTTCAATACACCATGTACAATGTATGCAATTTTCTTGACAAGTATGGTTATACACATACACATCATTTTGTAACTTGAGTATCTGAGTATATATTTTACTAATAAATTTCTTGAAATTTTTAAAGGTAGGATGTATAGAATGTTGCGCCTAATTGACTTTGTCTTGTGTATATCAAAAGTAGTGATACAATTCTGGAAAGTTGATAACTATCTAGCCAGTCACATTTATAAGGGTTTTGCATGAATGCTATTTTTACCCCAAAAATGGTAAAAATTATCATTTAAGTGCAATAACTCTAATTAAGATTGACCAACAATTTCAGCCATGTTGACTTATTTGTGTCTCTAATCCTGCTGATAACTTTTGCTTATTAAAGTTTCTATTTATCTGTTATAGTTTCCGTCATTAAAGAGCAATGACTCCTGTTAGGAAGTGACTGCAGATTTGGACCAGGTTGACTTATAGATCTTGATCATTTTTACTATAAAAATTTCTATCAATTTATTATAGTTTTCCAGATAAAATGCAAAATTGTAAAAAAATTTGTAAGATATTGTGACTTACGGGCAATAACTCCTATAAAAAGAGTGGACCAAAGATTTTAGTAATATCAAGTTATTAGTAGATCTTGTCTTGTTGATCAATTTTGCTGTGTATTTATTAATAGTTTCAAAATAATAAGCAAAAGCATGTAAACGAAATTTTTTAATGACAATAACTCATATAAGGAGTCAACTGACGACTTGGGCAATATCCACTAATTTTTTCTATTTAAAGTTTCTATCTTTCTATCACAATTTTAAATAAAAATAGGCAAAACCGCAAACAAAAGGTAAAAATCTTAAATAAATGGTTCTAACTCCAATACGGAGTAGACTAACTATTAAGGCAAAGTTAACTTTTTTGTAGATCTTCTTGTTGATCATTTTTGCAGTGTATGTTTCTCTTCATCTATTATAGATTTCAAGATAATATGCAAACATAGAGAAATAAAATGGTCATTTAAGGGCAGCAATTCCTATAAGTCATTGGAAAGTTTTAATGTAAATGAACATAAGATAGATCTTAGAATAATGAACACTTCTGCCTCGTCAGATTTTCTCTATCTATAGCTGTAATAATAGACAAATTTTACCCTTATGTTCTTTTTCAAGCAATGTGAGTCATCTTGCTTGGCAGGCAGGGTCAATAGACAAATATTTTAAAGTATAATCACAAAGATGGTTGTGGCAAAGTTTGCTTCCAATTGGTCCAGTAGTTTCAGAGAAGATTTTTGTAAAAATTAAAGGATGATGACAATGAATGCCAAGTGATGTCAGAATATTTTACCCTTTGATCCAGGTAAGGTTAAAAGGCTATATTGGGACAAGTTCAGAGGTATGAAAATGTTTTACTGACATCAACCTCTCCTACATAATTATGTCTCCTTAAAGCTAGAAAGACATTCAATTTTTTCCTGATCACATACAATTGTACTGAATAAGGTATATATGGTAAGATGCCTTTGCTTACCAAATGGTGTGGAATTTGCACATCATTGAAGCCTATATAGTGACGTGTAGTTGTTTACATGTCAGAATGTAGACTTATTACCAGGTTTGTACTAACACGAGCAACACGACACATGCAACATGTAGAGCAATATCTGCTTACCCTTCCTGAGCACCTGAGGTCACCCCCAGTTTTTGGTGGGGTATATATGTTGCTCAGTCTTTAGTTTTTTATGTACTATTGTTTGTCTGTTTCTTTTTTAGCCATGGCGTTGTCAGTTTATTTTCAACTTATGAGTTTGAATGTCCCTTTGGTATTTTTCGCCTCTCTTTTACATCTTAGTTTTCTTGTTTTATATTGGATATTTTTCATATTAGCAATCATGCAATATCTCGATATTGTCATTAAAAAAGAACAAGCTCTCTAACTCCAAAGTTTTAAGGGACAAGTCAATTCTCTGAAGAACAAAAGTAATTAATAGGTGCATGAGGAATGTTTGATGTGCTTCCATAAATCAGTGAGAATGGACATAGGATGTAGATTTGTCACAATTATTCAATCATTCAAAACAGCCTGTTAAAATTTCATAAGGATTCCTAAAACAAGCCTGTCTCAATTCAGTAATTTAGTGGTTTTCCTTGGTTCATGTCTATTTGTAAATTGTATTGTTATAAATAAGCCCATAGTATTCTTGTTATAATAGTTTATCATTTTTCATTTGAGGACCTTTATGACTTTACATTATGTTTTTTTCTCATTGTTGAAGGCTGTAAGCACTGTGTTGACCTCTAGTGTTAATTTCTAAGAAATTTGTACTCTGGTGGTGGGTTGTCTCATTGGTAATTATGTTTTCTTTGTATATAGTATGTAAATTTATTATAATTATTCAAGTATCTAAACAGCATGTATAAAAAATTCATCCTTAAGGATATCATGCACATATAAAGTTTTTCAGGTGTAACAAATCTTAAATGCATTCAAATATAGAGGACTTTTAAAACAAAAGCATTAAATATGTTTCTATAATTTATTATTTACTCAATAATCAAAACCCCTATAAAACCACAAAGAATTAAACTATTCCATCTAAAATGATTGGGTATTCAACATTTCATGAACAACACATATATCACAAGAATTCAACATTAATATCACAGACAAATACCCTTGTCAATATTAAAAAAAGGTTGGATATTAAAAGAACCATATTAGTAAATAAACGATTCATATATCAATCTATGAAATTACAATACAGCACAAGCATTTTATTATATTAACAAACATGATTATTATGATTAAACACTAATTGTTAGTAAGATATCATAGTATCAATTAATGTTAGTAAGACAAACTAAATATCACATCTTTGTATGTTAGATTCCCACATCAATCCTGTATATACCTTAATGAGTGCCTAAGAATTAACAATTTATAAGAAACCTTTTTACAATACTTGTATTGTAGGGAGGGATGTTTCAGATTTAAATGCATGGGGAGATGGAAGGCAGTTATTTAGACCCCAACCAACCATAGTATAAAATTTTCAATTTTTTCATAATTTTTTAAAAAACTATAAAAAAAATCCCTAAAACTATTATTCCATCGTTAATTTCTCATCGCCAAAACTTCTCCATCATTTCTTGAGTAAAATTGAATATCAATTCTAATTCTTTTTTAAATATTGATCCCTCTTTTTGACACACAGTAAACATACAAATGTTGCAAACACTTTCATAAAGTATCTTTTACCATAAAGAAGTTTCTTTTGCACTACACTTTGATAAAATCCAATCTGTGGTTATCAACAATAAAGAAAGAACTTGATACATTTTGTAGTAGCATTATTTACTGTCAATTATAGATCTGTTTCAATATGAAATAATTATAATTTGAATTATTTCCTTTGGCAGCACTGTTGTAGGTGTAGACTGGTTGATTTTCTTATTTGACAAATCAAATTTAAATATGTGGAAAAAAAAAGTCTAAGAAGATATCCTTACTATTCTAGTGATGATTTATGCAAGGCTTGAAGAAATTAAATTTGTTCAGAAAACAACTGTATCAAAACTCAAGCAGTCAGTACAACAAGTTGAATTTGGCTTATTTATGAAGGAATATTTGATGGTGACAAAAGGGAAATAACAAATTGTGCCAATCATAAACCATCTATTAAAGTGCTAATGAATTAAATAGTACTGCAGTGGAAATTTATTATACTGAATACTGGGTACATCTTTTACTTGCATGTAGGGTAAAAATATAAACCTTTTATTGTCATTTAAAACAGCTTTCTAGAAATTCTTCGAAAGGAAAGATGTTGATTACAAAAAGGTTTTATTTCTTACTTGTTACAAGTCAAAAAAGATTAGTTTAGAAACGGTACACTATTGTAACAAAGATAAACTGTATATTCACATTTGATATGGAAAAAAATGTTATTAATATAAATATTATGAATAACATGAATTTGTTATAAATAAATGATTTCAATAGCTCATTCAGCAAATTTATAAATATACGTATATATGATTACAATGTACATGTTATTTTGCAGACAAGTCTGTGAATGTGGCATTTATTCTCAAATTTCCATTGACTTGTCCGTATTAGATCAAATTCCATATCATTGCCATGGTAACAGCTAGGAAAGTTCCAAAGATACTGATCTGTACATTTCCAGCAGCAGCTTTATAATAAAAAACAGCAGAGTTATTAATTATCCATTAATGTCAATTCAGCTTTGTAGCAATGCTAACAAAAAGGCAAAAGCACAAATTCTGTATTCCAGTTGGTTTAAAAAACATGTCTTAATTTATAGTTTTTACTGTAGAAGAATAACTGCAATAAAAGTTTTTTTATGTATTGGATATCTCCAAGTCTTTCAAAAGATTGCTTCCTGGTGTACCTTTTCAAAAAATGTCTTTCCAATGACACATTGTTTCCATGGAAATAAAACATTGCTATAGGTTATAGATCTAATTTTACTGAAAGTTCTTTGTGAATAATGTATTTAATTATTTCTACTGTTTCTTTTTATTAATTTTTTCAGCCATAATCAATACACCAATAATTTTACATGAACATTTATTTAAATCCTCATTGAATAAGAAAGCCATTCAAAATACTTCTATTTCATACTTACACATTCCACCAGTATCTGAAAGCATAAAAATAAATGATATGATTAAGTAAAATTGAGAATGGAAATGTGGAATGTGTCAAAGAGACAACAACCCGACCATAGAGCAGACAACAGCTGAAGGCCACCAATGGGTCTTCAATAAAGCGAGAAACTCCCGCACCCGGAGGCGTCCTTCAGCTGGCCCCTAAACAAATATGTATACTAGTTCAGTGATAATGGACGTCATACTAAACTCCAAATTATACACAAGAAACTAAAATTAAAAATGATACAAGACTAACAAAGGCCAGAGGCTCCTGACTTGGGACAGGCGCAAAAATGCGGCGGGGTTAAACATGTTTTTTGAGATCTCAACCCTCCCCTATACCTCTAGCCAATGTAGAAAAAACAAACGTACAACAGTACGCACAGTAAAACTCAGTTTAAGAGAAGTCCGAGTCCGATGTCAGAATAGGAAACAAAAGAAAATAACAAAAAAGTGCATACAACATAAATGTATATACATATAGTCAACAGATTCCACAACTGAAACTTGTGCAATACGATATTTCTCCACTTTCTGTAGTTAAATTTTAAATATTCAAAAAGCTCTGCATTTTAAAACAAAAGCTTAACTGTCTCCAGTGGAGAAATATTGTATCACACTGGATGCAGTGGTAGAATCTATATGAATCTTGTAATTTACCTATAGATTAAATTGAAATCAGATCATCAATTGACCTTTTAAGAATGTTTGGTGATATTTCTATTTTCAGTAGAGATGGTGGCTATAATAGTAAAATCAGCTGTGTCCTTAACCTAGCAGTCATGCTTTTTAACCTATGGTTTCTTCCAGATTAGACTGAATTGGCCCTATATTTAAGCAGACTTTTTTTTAACATAATGTATCTTTTAGCAATGTTGGTCATCTTGGTAGGCCAGCAGGTATATTGTTACATCTTTTAAAATGACATTATCTAAAGACCATTGAACTAAAATTTCATTCACTTAACTTGCATTACATCGATTGTTTAACAATTATTCAAGTATGTGCATTTGATCCTAATGCATAATTTATAAACGCATATTTAAAAAAAATTTTAATATGATATTGTGACAGGGATATTGGAAACTATTCTAAAGGGGCACTACTATAGGATCAATTCAATAAAAGAATATCATTTATTTTAGTTACCTATATGCAACTGATCCTATAATATGATATACCATTTGCCCAACATACAACTGTTCATCTTAATATACTAAAGAATTAATAAATAGACATACCCATGCCTTCACAGTGATCACCTGTGGCACCATTTGGACATTGACAACTATACTGTGTGGCATCCTGTGAATCCACAACACAAGTTCCACCATTACAATCCACACCATAACAGCTGTCCCTCACTGTAGGATAAACATAAGGTACTATTTATTATCATCATATGTTCAATTATTAGGTTAAAGCATTAGGAAAATTGTATTATTGCATCAATATTGACATCAACAAACAAGATGCTCTCAAGAGCCTGAATCGCTCACCTGCATTTCAGAGGAGAAGATTTTTAAATGTTAGAAAACTTGATGAACAAATTGTGTAAAATTGTCTTTAAAGGGCAATAACTCCTTAAGGGGTCAATTGACAATTATGGTCATATAAAAATTTTTTGTAGATCTTACTTTGCTGAACATTACTGCTGCTTACAGTTTATATATATCTATAATAATATTCAAAATAATAACAAAAAACTGCAAAATTTTGTTAAAACTACCAATTCGGTGGCAGCAACCCAATAATGGGTTGTTCGATTCGTCTGAAAATTTCAGAGCTGATAGATCTTGACCAATTGAATAATTTTACCCCGTCAGATTTGCTCATAAAGCTTTAGTTTTTGAGATATAAGCCAAAAACTGCATTTGACCCCTATGTTCTATTTTTAGCCATGGCAGCCATGTTTGTCGATGGATCAAAACTTCGGATAAAATTTATAAACTAGATACCCTAAGAAACATTTAGTTAAAGTTTGAAGGTATTTGCCCCAGTAGTTTCAGAGGAGAAGATTTTTGAAATAGTTTACGACAGACGACGACGACAGATGACGGACGGCGACGACAGACGCCATATGATGGCATAAGCTGACATGGGGCCAAGGGCCCCGGTGAGCTAAAAAGAGCAAATATTTGTTACTTATTTATGACCATATACATGCATGTGGCTTTTTTCTGAAAGCTTATCTGTCCCTTCATATAATGATTTTTTATGAAGAAATTTTCTTTAAAATACTTGTCTTCTAACCCCCAAAAGACGTTTTGTGTTGACGGGTTACTGTCTCATTTACTTATAATAAAAATCTCCTTTTATTCATACTTTGTAGATCATTGGATTTGTGTCCCATATAAACACATCCTGTATTTCTCTTTATTAAGGTATTTTCAAATAGATAATTTTTTTTTAAAGTGAAGCATTTTAAACTTTTTAGCTGAGGGCTTTTACAGAATTAATTGAATGGCAGGGTCTGAAAAGCATTTTTATTAAAATATGATGGATGGTGGTTATTTTAGACCGATAGCCTTACCAATTATATGAAATAATCAATTTAAATTTTATGCATGGCGGGGTTAAATAAAAAGTGCCTTTCAAACCCCCATACATTTATTTCTGGAATAGCCCTGAACCTTTCCACTCAGTCAAATATATAAATGTATACCAAATTTAAAGAATTTAATGAAGAAAGTGTCCATGTGCATGATGGGACACAAGTGATACTGCTCGCAAATATGTTAGAGTCAATGTACTAATTCAAACCTAATGACGCTTTTTTTTTTAAAAACTTAACGCCATTTGTTTCTGTATGTTGCCATGGACGGGGCATAATCATAATTACTTAAATCTAACGAAATTTCGTGTATGCTACTGGTGTGTATACATACAATCAGATATAGGTATCTTTATTTCAACTGGTCCCATTTACACATCAATTAAGTCAAGAAGAAATATGTCTAATCCTGGTGGATACAGGTGGATGTGTTTTGTATCTATGCCATACATCATGTACATACAAAAACATTTGTAATAGAGGTTACTCACCATGCTCACAATTGTCTCCATAGTAACCTGTAGTACATGTACAGTCATAGTCAGCGATACCATCAGTACAAGTACCACCATTCAGACAAGGTCCTGGTGAACAATCATCGTACTCTGTAAAACAGGTTTTCAGGAATAAACAAGATATCTACTCAAATATTCATAAGACATGTCAAAAGAAATCTAAAAGTATCTTAAAAAGTTACATCCTTTGTGGCTTGAAATCTCCTTTCGGATTCATCAATGACCACATGTAGCCCTTACCAATATTTCTTAATTTTAAAATGGCTAAGATCTTACCCCATACTCTCCCTCAACATAATTATATTTTGGAAACAAACACTTCTCTGTTTTATAGAAGCTTACAGTCACTGAATACACACTGTTATATGGAAAACATTATCATTGGTATTATAATAAATAGTTTTGTTGTTGTTGGATTGGTGTCTTATACAGAACAAAAGGTAGAACTTTGTCAGCTGATTAATAGAAGAAACTGGTCCCTATTCTTACCTCTAATAAAGCATACTTGGAAGTCGCCCTGTCATCCATTATATCTCTATTCTTACCTCTAATAAAGCATACTTGGAAGTCGCCCTGACATCCATTATCTACCCAGATATCTTTGCGTTCATTGTAACCGAAAGTCTCATTTTTCACACATGGTGCTCCAGTTAAACGTTTGATAATTTCCATAGAGTAGATCAAGCTGTCAGGAATCATTCCAGTAACATTACAATTTTCCTCATCATACTGCCAGCTTTCACATCTTACTTCTTGGCAACCTCCAGCTAGATAAATACAATACAAATCATTGGTAGACTCAAGGTTGAAATTTATGACTTCTCAGTTTTTATTTAATTAGATATTAGATCAAGCAGATTCATGCTGATTGAAAGACTCTTTAGACAAAATGTACAAAAGAAAGATAAAATAAGGTAGAAAACAACACACAAAGATTCAATTATGGAGCAAAGGCCTTATACTTATAGCCAGTCAAAGTCGTTTAACACTTCCGTCGTAGCAACACCTAAAGTATTTCCATACAAATTATTTTCCTCTTACAAAGGCTTGTTTATCAAATATCTTACTATTTTTTCAAATACATTTTGCCTTCATTACAGCTTTATAAAAAATAAAATTTCTGAATTTGCAATGTCATCAACAGTAATTTAAGTTGACTTCTGACTATCAATAACGAATAAAAAAAAACTGACTGTACCTTGACAAAGACTCCTTTCACATGGTTCAGTCTTTGAACCTTCTCCTACACAGTCAGCTCCATTGTTCCGTGGGGTGGGGTTTGTACAAGTTCTTGTTAGAACTTTGGTTCCAGTTCCACATGATTCTGAGCAAGATCCAGCTGACCAGTCTGACCATCCTCCATCCACTGATTAAATCAAAACAATTTATAACATAAAAATAAAGAGATGAGGTATGATTGCCAATGAAACAACTATCCACCAAAGTTCAAATGAAGTGGATTTAGGCAATCAGTTGAGATTGCATTATACACATTTAAATGTAACAGGATTTATTATGTCCAAAATGATTTTTTTTCTCAACATCTTTTTATCTATTGACTTGTTTTCCTACAATATGATGCAGCTCATATAAATTAGATGTTGTATAATTGAGCTTAGTGTTATTGACTGCTAGTTACACATTTATATTAGTTCTGTATGTTTCTATCTGACAATATCTGGATTATTCTTTTTCCTCTAGACACCTGTTTTTATTGGTGTTGTTTGCATGGTGTATCATCGTAATGTACCCCACATTGACTTATGTTCTTGTATTGCTTGGTTGGCTTCTGTTTTACATGTTTTTATTGGTGTTGTTTGCATGGTGTAACATCTAAATGTACCCCACATCGCCTTATGTCCTTGTATTGCTTGGTTGGCTTCTGTTTTACATGTTTTTATTGGTGTTGTTTGCATGGTGTAACATCTAAATGTACCCCACATCGCCTTATGTCCTTGTATTGCTTGGTTGACTTCTGTTTTACATGTTTTTATTGGTGTTGTTTGTAGGTTGTAACATCTAAATGTACCCCACATCGCCTTTTGTACTTGTATTGCTTGGTTGGCTTCTGTTTTACATGTTTTTATTGGTGTTGTTTGCATGGTGTAACATCTAAATGTACCCCACATCGCCTTTTGTACTTGTTTTGCTTGGTTGGCTTCTGTTTTACATGTTTTTATTGGTGTTGTTTGTAGGGTGTATGGTATATCATCGTAATGTACCCCACATCACCTTATGTCCTTGTATTGCTTGGTTGGCTTCTGTTTTACAATGACTTAAATTCAGTACTTTAATATATTTTAAGTAGACACACCCTTGTAATGATTTAGGTGTAGTTTGGCTAAGATTGTTATACTGTGAATTTATAATATTTTTTAAATACAAGTTTTTTTATTTGTTTTTCTCTTGTAGTAATTCTTACAATTCATAACAAAAATTTCAGAACTTACAAGGTTTTAATCTTAGCACTTGCAAAAATATTTATATAATCTTACCATCTGCGTCTCCAACGTCTTCACTGTCACATGGTGCATTAGGATCACATTGTTTTCTGGTATCATCCCAGTTCTCTCCCTCCATACAGTATTCCAACAGGGCACCAGTGAAATCATCTCTACATATATAGTAACTTGTACAGTCTTCTGGATTGGCATAGGAACCAGCAGCCTTGCCGGTACAGAATTCTGTTCAAAGAATATCACAAAAATTTAATAGATTGACTGTCCAATAGACATCAAGCAATAAAAAAAAATCAATTGAGTGTGTGCAGTCATATGATGGTGTATATTTTCCACCTTAAAATCAGGTTTAAGAATTTTAGCATGATAAACCAAACTTTAAAATAAAAAGCACTCTGATTCAAACAATTTTTTTTCTGAAACTGACATCTTCATTGATTGTCCCTTTGGTAACTTCTACCTCTTTTTCATTTTTTTTACCAACATACAGATCGCTTGACATTCTCCTATCACATGTCTTGGGATTTAATATCCACATTGGACCATAAGTATTACAATTCTAATAATAAATTCTATTGTTAGTATTGGTAAATCTATTTCAATTATGTACTACCTCCCTTATTACCTCGACTACAAAACAATGCAATGACTTACCTGTATTTGCATCAGATGGCCCTGTAGTGAATTTAAAACTAAATATATGATTTTATGCTTATTCTACAATAATTTCCTGGATATTTATTTTCTTTCTGTACAGATTAAAGTCAGGTTGTTCTTTTATTGGTTGTTTCCAGATTTTGGGTGATAAGCTGGGGACATAAAAAAAATAGAAATTTAATTATATTCAAATTTTTTTTTTAGTTAAAACACCTTGCTGGCCTGAATGACATTTTTGAATTTTCAACTGTTTCTGAATATACCATCATTGACTTATATAAATATATTAGATTTTTTTTTCATTTTTTCAGCACTTACATTTACAGTCCAACAAATTGCATGGCTGCGTCTTTATGCTTTCTCCCTGGCAAATGATTCCCTCTCCTTCTGGTGGTGGACTGGTACAGGTTCTGGTACTTGTCTCTATTCCACTACCACAGGTAGCTGAACACTGGGACCAGTCACTCCATTCATCCCAGGCTCCATCAACTACAAAATTGACAAATTCTAAAATCTAGCAAAATTGCTGTTACGGTAAATGTTATATCTATCAAAAATATATATAAATCTCAATTCAGTCCTGATTGTTACGATCTTTGATCTTGATATTATCAAGATCTCAAAATTTATGAATTTATAGGACTTATAGCTCTATATGTGTTTCAGTACTAAGACAACCTTGGATTTCAAATATTTGGCTGTGAGCATTGTTGAAGGTAACTCCAGAAAAGAGCTTTGGAACACATTAAATTTATTAAGTTTAAATTTTTTTTTTTTTTTCGAAAATGGCAATTTGTATCTTACTCAAATTGATATTGTTCAAAGCCAATTTCAGTCCTCTAACGAATGCAAGAAATTTTGTTGATAATCATGGATGAAAATTTTAGAGCTAACTTTGTCTACCCTGATTTTAATCCTACTTGACTTATTTGAACTTTGAGAGAGTTTGGGGAAAACAGACAGCATTTAAATGACCTTCGCAGGTAACTAACAAAAGACAATGCCAATGGGACACTTACGATTTTGACAGAACAGTCCATAATATGCAGTAGTTTGATCACAATTACATGTGAATGTTAACAGACCATCTTGACATGAACCTCCATTTAGACAGCTTACTCCGTCACAGAAATCTATATCTAAAATAGAAGCAACAGCATATGTTAACATTACAATAGCTAATATTTGGATAATTGGTAAAAATTGTTATTAATAGGCAATAAATCCAATAAGGTTTTGGCTGATAAATTTTTGCCATGTTGATTTGTTTGTAGATCTTATCTTGCTGATCATTTTTGCTACTCAAAGTTTCGCTCTATCTCTTATAGTTCTCAAGATTGGCCAATCTACATAAATGCAAAACAAATTGGTAAAAACTGTCATTTAATGCAATAACTCCTATAAGATATGTATTAAGATGTCTCACTCAATTAATTTATTTGTTGAGAAATAATTGATTTTCAGAAGAAACATATGGTGTAAGGGGTAAGGTATAAAATATTTCACAAAAAATTATATGTTTAAAGATTCACATTATGTAAAATTGAGCATGTAAAAGCAAACAATTTGTATCTTATACCATTTTCATGAGAATACTAGACATATTCAGTAAATGTATTGCATTATGGGAATAATACTGTTTCCGTTGTCATGATAGGTCCAGACATAATTTACCAGGAGGCTAAGAAAAAGAAAACTTATATACCTTATCAATCATATCAAATATCTTTTTCTTAATTAAGGATTCTCATAGTATAAGCATGTATTTCTTCGTATAAATTATATTTAACCTATTATGTCTGTTTGTTTTGTTCACACATTGTTGTCAATGTAATGGAATTTTAAGAGACTGTCATACAAGTGAGAGGTTTAGCTAGCTATAAAACCAGGTTCAATCCACCATTTTCTACATCAGAAAATGCCTGTACCAAGTCAGGAATATGACAGTTGTTATCCATTTGTTTGATGTGTTTGAGCTTTTGATTTTGCCATTTGTTTAGGGACTTTCGGTTTTGAATTTTCCTCAGATTCAGTATTTTTGTTATTTTACTTTTTATATCTTCAAAATTTTTCACCATTATCCTCAGGTAATACAGATAGTCATTAATATGCCTTATTTTCATATTATTCTTACCTATTTCACAATGTTCCCCAGTATGTGAATCTGGACAGGTACATGTGTAACTATTTGTACCATCTACACGTGTGGCACCATTCAGACATTATACAGTATAACTTACCTATTTCACAATGTTCCCCAGTATGTGAATCTGGACAGGTACATGTGTAACTATTTGTACCATCTACACATGTGGCACCATTCAGACATTATACAGTATAACTTACCTATTTCACAATGTTCCCCAGTATGTGAATCTGGACAGGTACATGTGTAACTATTTGTACCATCTACACATGTGGCACCATTCAGACATTATACAGTATAACTTACCTATTTCACAATGTTCCCCAGTATGTGAATCTGGACAGGTACATGTGTAACTATTTATACCATCTACACATGTAGCACCATTCAGACATTGGTTGTTTTCACAATCATCAATTTCTGAAAAAGAAGAGATGAATACAAAATTTTATAAAATGATGGTTATAATTTTTAATTAAACTAAGATTTGATGCAGATCACAAACATTCAACATTAACCAAAGAGATAAAAAAAAAATCATTTTAAAAAGCTAGGAAATAACTATTGTAATTATTATAGACGGTCATTTAGCAGCTTGATTTTAAGTACAGAGGTAGTCAGAAGAAAGAGTCTTTAGAGACACTCTCAGAAATATTTCTAAATCAGCTTTTATGGTATAGGTTTTGCTCATTGTTGAAGGCCATACAGAGACCTACAGTTGTTAACTTCTATGTCATTTGCTTTCTAGTGGAGAGTTGTCTCATACCACATCTTCTTATCTTTATATTTGGTAACATTTTGTCCACACTGAAATAAAAAAATAAGGAACCAAGAATATAGATCACATACATACATTAAATAATCAAAGAGCTGATAGCTCTGAGGTGGAAGAAGATGCATAAAAGGTAACCTGAATTACTATGAAAGGAGCCCACACCAACATATATAGCCTGCTATGTCCAATCATTGCTTTCGACTTATTTTCTTCTTCCAAAAATAATATTCTTCAATAAAACTCATGTCTCAACCAAAACTGACAATATTTAACATGACAAATAACGGTAACAAGCTGGACTATTTATATGTTAAATGCCGTTTTTTATCACTTAAAACTTTGAAACATAAGGCAATAAAGGTAATCATTGGGGACATTCCAACAATGACTGACATGAAAACTACATACTTTTGATATGGATTCCGTCAACTGACATTAGTTCGTACATTGATATTTCTGTCAACTGACGGTGCATCGTTTGAAACGTAAAGCACCAGAAGATTTACGTGTGCTTTTGACTCTTCATTATTGCAATAACATACTGAAATATTCTAACTTTCGTTTAAAAAACGCATGTTTTATAAAACCGGAATATGACTGATTGCATTACAGATATGAACACAGACGGAACAACTAAATCCGTGTATTTTTGTCAAGCATCATTGAGTTGAAGTCGTACTCTCCGCGTAGATACATAACATTAACATAAGATGCATTGTTTGAATTAATGAAAACTCAGTTCATCATTTTCTTGAAACTTTCGGATGCACAATTCAATTTCCCATTTATGCCCATGCGCAGAAACGTAACCAACTTAGATTAACCCGAATAATCCAGTTGTTTAATTCCAATTACTCCCACGAGAAACGGCAGTGGATAAAGGACGCTGATTTTGGATTGTAATTTAACATATAAGTAGCACAAACTCTTATGTTTAAACTTCGGTATAGTTGGCATATTAATAAAATAAATTCAACCTAGACTTATTTTATGCATCAATTAATTTTATAATGAATTAATAAAGATAATAAAAAATTTGTATTCACGTAATACAATATATTTTTTATTATGTTTTGCAAATTCAGTAACATGCCGAAATGATGTGCCATGTAAAATATATCATTTAATAATTTATAATAATTTATATAATTCAAATCCTCTTTTAATACTTTGTCTGAGTTGTCCTTATAGACGATCCGATTTGACTTTTTGACGGTCCGAGTTGTCTTATTGACGGTCCGGGCCGAGTTGTCCCACATTTATTAAATTAACGCATACATACTACCAAATCTACTTGAAAACATCCGGTTACTAGTAAATAAATAACGTACACGCAAGATGAAATGAAATCTTGTAATTGACACCTAAAAAGGTAGACATTAAAACATGAGAAATTATCACACTAATGAAAGTGATTGTTTTTTCAAGTCTAACTGTACATTTGTGTTATAAAATGATGTAGGTGTCATTTGACAAACTTGAAACCGATCATGTGTACACATCGGTGTCAAGATATGGAACGGAAGTTTATATGAAATAGTAAAGCACAGAAAAGGATACGGCAACACTCCTGGTGACGCTTCAATGATTTTACAGTCGGCAGTATAGGATTTCAGAAGACTTCAAAGTCTTCTTCCACCAAAAAAAAATCTATGTGACCTATAATTAATAGTATTAAAATTGATCTTACGAGTTTCGCAGAATTCTCCTTCAAAGTCATCAGCACAGTGACAGGTATATGAAGACAGACCGTCCACACATGTAGCACCGTTCTCACAATCATTTCCAACACAATCATCTTTATCTGCAAAAAATAAATGAAATGTCAGTAAATCAATGGACAGAATTGTATATTCCCGTCAGTAAATCAATGGTCAGAATTGTATAATGAAATGTCAGTAAATCAATGGACAGAATTGTATAATGAAATGTCAGTAAATCAATGGACAGAATTGTATATTCCCGTCAGTAAATCAATGGACAGAATTGTATATTCACGTCAGTAAATCAATGGACAGAATTGTATATTCCCGTCAGTAAATCAATGGACAGAATTGTATATTCCCGTCAGTAAATCAATGGACAGAATTGTATAATGAAATGTCAGTAAATCAATGGACAGAATTGTATAATGAAATGTCAGTAAATCAATGGACAGAATTGTATAATGAAATGTCAGTAAATCAATGGACAGAATTGTATATTCCCGTCAGTAAATCAATGGACAGAATTGTATATTCCTGTCAGTAAATCAATGGACAGAATTGTATATTCCCGTCAGTAAATCAATGGACAGAATTGTATATTCTCAGATAAAAGAATAGGACAGGTAGCATTTTCAGGTGCCACTATTCTAAGGAGTAAAGATTGATTAATTTATTATTGTTCAGGCAGTTAGCAAATTAACAATAATTACAAAAGGTAGGTCTTGTAATAGGGGCCGTCTGGGATAAAGGGAAGGAACTTTGGACTGCCATTGGAAAATGAGGATATGCTATGGATAGGGACAGAAATTTTGCCTAGCAACAGGTCACCTAATGACCGCTCAAAGTGTTGTTGCAAGGGTTCTTAACCTGCATAAAGCATGGCATTCTCTCTACACAAGGCAACATTCCCCATTCTGACCAGATATGGCTGCGTATTTATACATACCGCAGAGCCAAACTGACACCCCACTCTGATAAAATGGTGCTTGCAAAACAATAACTTTTGGTTTGTGGCGTTAAAAAACTTCTATTGTGAAAAATCAAAATTATAGGACAACTTTTATTTCCTTTACTGTGGTACAAACTTGAAATAATGACCAAAAACACTTACTAGTTTCACAATGTGTTCCTTCAAAATGTTCTGTACATTCACAATGATAAGACAGGAACCCATCAACACAGGTACCACTGTTCTCACAAACTATACCTTCACATTCATCAATTTCTACAAAAAAAAAGTTATGCAAATAGACATATGAATTTAATATCATTTTTTCCATGCCTTAAGTTATTTTGTAATTTATGCATACGGTTGATTCATTATTATTCAAGGAGTAATCTATGTGAAGGATTCCATGCATGGGCACATGTTTAGGTGAACCACAAATTCAAATATTCAATGAAATACAAAATTACAGGGTCTTGTCTGCAATATTGCCATGCATATGACAATAGATTCATATATCCACTAAAATACAATCTTTGCCTGATCGACAAATTTGTTATACATGCAAAGGAATAATTGAATAAACAGTACTCATTAAATCAGAAAAAACAATACTTCTACACTTCTTCAACAAAGGTTTGAATATTGGTCAATTAAGGTATAAGAATTTTGAGTAACAAGAGTGCACAGGCTGAAATGTCTAGCCTTCTTTACTAACCATTGATATCATGTTGATAGTCCTAAATGAAAGCTTTACTACAACTATTACATAAACTTAACATTATCCAAGAAAATGAAGTCAAGATCATATAAACCAAATGAGAAATACATGTACACCTTACAATCATTCAATACACTAAATAAAGTTGACCTATTGCTTATAGTTTCTAAGAAACAGACTTAACCAAGAAAACTAAACATTGACCAATGAATAGTGAAAATAAGATCAAGGTCAGATGAACCATGCCAGGCAGACATGAACAGCTTACAATCCTTCCATACAACAAATATAGTTGACCTATTGCTTATAGTTTAAGAAAAACAGACCGAAACACATAAACTTAACACTGAGCAATGAACCGTGAAAATGAGGTCAAGGTCAAATAAAACCTATGAGACTGACATGTACATCATAAAATATTTCCATACACCAAATATAGATGACTTATTGCATACAGTATTAGAAAAAAGACCAAAACTCAAAAACTTAACTTTGACCACTGAACCATGAAAATGAGGTCAAGGTCAGACGACACCTGCCAGTTGGACATGTACACCTTACAATCCTTCTATACACCAAATATACTAGACCTATTGCTTATAGTAGCTGAGATATGGACTTGACCACCAAAACTTAACCTTGTTCACTGATCCATGAAATGAGGTCGAGGTAAAGTGAAAACTGTCTGACCTTGCACGGTACGCACATACCAAATATAGTTATGCTATTACTCATAATAAGAGAGAAATTAACATTACAAAAAAACTCAACTCTTTTTTCAAGTAGTCACTGAACCATAAAAATGAGGTCAAGGACAATGGACATGTGACAGACAGAAACTTTGTAACATAAGGCATCTATATACAAAGTATGAAGCATCCAGGTCTTCCACCTTCTAAAATATAAAGCTTTTAAGAAGTTAGCTAACGCTGCCGCCGCCGTAGCCACCACCTCCAGATAAATACCCCTATGTCAAGCTTTTTGCGACAAAAGTCGCAGGCTCGACAAAAACTGATGTACATATTACTATCATGTAGAAAAAGAAGATATAGTATGATTGCCAATGAGAAAACTATACTGTAAATTCAGAAATTATTGCGAGGTTTTTATTAATGCGAATAATGCGACTGGGTGAGTATCGCAATAATAAGAATTCGCATTCTGATAACTGAAACATAGACCTGTATGCAGATTTTTTCGAAATCGCAATAATAAAACTCGCATTTTTGTCCATTCTTGAAAAATCGCAATAATAAATGCACGCAATAATTTCTGAATTTACAGTATACCAGAATTCAAATGACTAAGATATAAGCATATTTGATGCTTCACATGAAATCTTTGAAGGAAAATCATACCATATTTTATGTGAAAGTGACCATTACCACAACATAACTAAATTCATGCTTTATTTATCAATTCTGAATAACAAATAAAACTAAAACTATATACTATTGCTTGTCTGTGACTATACACTATTGCTTGTCTGTGACTATACACTATTGCTTGCCTGTGACTATACATTATTGCTTGTCTGTGACTATACACTATTGCTTGTCTGTGACTATACACTATTGCTTGTCTGTGACAATACACTATTGCTTGTCTGTGACAATACACTATTGCTTGTCTGTGACTATACACTATTGCTTGTCTTTGACTATACACTGTTGCTTGTCTGTGACTATACACTATTGCTTGTCTGTGATAATATTATTCTCTTGTAGCCATATATAGTAAACTGTTAGATGGATCATGGTTTTATAGTTTTTTATTATCAACAGTTTATTACCATGCAATGATATCTCCTTTTAACTTCCCATCAATAAACATCTGTGGTGCTAGTAAAATGTAAATTTTTCCAGGACCTACAAAAGTTTTTTCCCCCAACAGATTTTATGTGAAAGTGATCAGTACCACAACATAGCTAAATTCATATGAGCATCGAATATATAACAAACCTGTACAGACTGGAGACTGTCCATCCCATCCACCTCCCAGTTCACAATTCCTGGTCAGGTCTCCACCGGTCAATTCATAGCCAACATTACAGGTGTATGTGATGGACTGACCAGGTACAGAATTGGTATTGGTATTGAAATCAAAGCCTCCCAGCTTGCCAGAACCACCAGAACTAGCATGAGCAGGAGCAGACGGCTTCACACATTCAATTACTGAAATATAAAGATACATATATATACTGTGGATTCATTATTAGTCATGGGGTACCAATTTTCTTAGATTTCATGGATACAGGTGAAACTTGAATTTGAATACTCAACAAAGTACCCATTTTCTATAGGCTTGTATGACTTTTGTAAAACCATGAAATCAAATATCCAAGAAAAGACAATTTTTCCTTAGTCAAGGAAAATTGGTACCCAGGAAAATAAATAAATCTAAAATATATCATTTGTTGTGTTTTTCATAGTTGCTGAAAAAGTTGGATTTTTTCTTCTGTACTAACAAATACAATCTTCCTTATAGATTTAAAAGAAGTTTTAAAATAAAACTTAGGGGTGATATGATTGCAAATGAGACAATAAAATGAATTAAAATCCTAAAATGCTTAAGGTATATTTACTCAAACAAAGTTTATTATAACATGTTACTCTTGGCACCAGCTATTTGTTCACTTAATTTTTTTTTTTCATTTTCTACCACTGGGTAGATAGTGCTGCTTGTGGACTGTTGGTTGGTAAGCGGGTATCATCAACTCAGTAGTCAGTGCTTAGGTCTGACAAGTTTTATAACACACGTTTTCTAAATTCTGTGTTGATTAATCTAAAAAATAATTAAGAAACTAAGGTTGTAACTGCTCAGTCAAAAGCTGTGGCTATTCTTTTAGGTCCCTTTTGATCAAATAGCTCCTTACATGTATGTATTCACATATCATATCCTTGGCTTTCATATTTTGGGTCTGAGCTTTCCTGATGCAAGTTATACAGACAAGTGCTTCAGAAATACCAAATTTGTGCCTTATTTTCATATTTATACAAATTCTTAAAGGTCAATGCCAACATGCACTGACTGGTAACCGTAACTAGTACCTACTTGAACAAGATGGCAAAGTTCCATCCCAGGATGGTCCAACAACACAGGTCAGAAGAGAATCTCCACTAAGCAAATAACCAAAATCACATTCGTATTCAACTGAATCACCAACCTCATGTCCATTAACTGTAGCACTTGAATGTGTGATAGTCTGGGGTTCCTGACATGGGATTTCTGAAAAAAGATAAAAGTTGTCACTATTTTGATATTTTTGAAAGCATGTATAGTAAGTTAGTAAATATGTAAATTTTAATTAAAGTTGTCATCTCTATGTTCATACTTTGTGCTGTTACACCACTGTCCCAGGTTAGGGGAGGGTTGGACGCCCATTCTGTATGTACCTGTCCCAAGTCAGGAGCCTGTAATTCAGTGGTTGTTGTTTGTTGCTATATATCATATTTGTTTTTCCTTCATTGCATTGTACATGAATCAGGCAGTTAATGTTCTTGTTTGAATTGTTTTACATTTGTCATTTCAGGGCCTTTTATACCTGACTATGTAGTAAGGGTTTTGCTCATTGTTAAAGGCTGTACAGTGACTTCTAGTTGTACACTTCTATTTCATTTGGTGGCGTGTTGTCTCACTGGCAATCATTCCACATCTTCTTACTTTCAAATAACATAAGCATGAGCTTAATAAAGCTTTTGTATGAAATATGTTTAAATTCACCTAAATTTTAAACATACAAAAAAATGGCAATATAAATATAAGGAAAAATGATGTGATTGCCAATGAGAAAACTATCCAACAGACTCCAACCTAAACATACTGTTAGACACACAAGACAGATAGAACATAAACAATAAAACTGCCCTGGAAACAAGAGGAATTGGGTACATATAACTTTAGATACACAACCTAAGGATTATTTCCCCTGAAAAGAGAGAGAATGGTGTAATTATAATTTTGCCTGCACAACCTAGGGATTATTTCCCTTGGAAAGAAAATGAATGGTGTAATTATAATTTTGCTTGCACAAGCTAAGGATTATTTCCCCTGAAAAGAGAAGGAATGGTGTAATTATAATTTTGCCTGCACAAGCTAAGGATTATTTCCCCTGAAAAGAAAAGGAATGGTGTAATTATAATTTTGCCTGCACAACCTAAGGATTATTTCCACTGGAAAAAGAAGATGGTGCAATTATAATTTTGCCTGCACAACCTAAGGATTATTTCCCCTGGAAAGAGAAGGAATGGGGTAATTATAATTTTGCCTGCACAACCTAAGGGTTATTTCCTCTGGAAAGAGAAGGAATAGTGTAATTATAATTTAGCCTACACAACCTAAGGGTTATTTCCCCTGGAAAGAGAAGGAATGGTGTAATTATAATTTTGACTGCACAACCTAAGGATTATTTCCCCTGGAAAGAGAAGGAATGGTGTAATCATAATTTAGCCTACACAACCTAAGGATTATTTCCTTTGGAAAGAGAAGGAATGGTGTAATTATAATTTTGCCTGCATAACCTAGGGATTATTTCCCCTGGAAAGAGAAGGAATGATGTATTTATTATAATTTTGCCTTCACAACCTAAGGATTATTTCCCCAGGAAAGAGAAGAAATGGCGTAATTATAATTTAGCCTACACAACATGAGGATTATTTTCCCTGGAAAGAGAAGGAATGATGTAATTTAATTTTGCCTGCACAACCTAAGGATTAGTTCCCCTGGAAAGAGAAGGAATGATGTATTAATTATAATTTTGCCTGCACAAGCTAAGGATTCTTTCCCCTGGAAAGAGAAGGAATGGTGTAATTTTAATTCTGACTGTACAACCTAAGGATTATTTAAAGCAACATGAGTGAGAACATAAGATACACTTTTAAAATTAACACATAAATAGTGTTATAGTATACGATGAATTAAAAATGATAACAAAAAACATCTTTTGTTTTGCTTTTTATCAGAATTTTCATAAATAACATGCAGTTAACAGTTATGAGGCAGACAAAACATAAGACTTCACCAGTTTCACAGTGTGTGTCTGTATACCCTGTGGCACAAGTACATGTGTATCCATTAACCTGGTCATTACAGGTGGCTCCATTCTGACAAACAACAGAGGCACATTCATCAATATCTAAAATGTAAACATAACATTTGTTGTCTTAACTGCTATAATAGATGATTTATATACAGGTTCTTCTGCTGTTGATGATATTTGAAGTATATCCCTGTCTTAACCTTTAATAGTTTTCAAGATGTATGGCAATAATTCCTATAAGGAGTCACAAATTATAGTTTAGGAATGCAGATCTTCTATTGCTGGCCAATTTTGCTTTTCAAACAATAATCATTAACCAGCCCTGCTGATTTGGACGAAAATATCTGAATTAATTCACACCATGTGATCTTTTATTAGACAATAGATTTATTCAATAAACTGACCTAATCACAAAATAAAACAGCATGCCTAAGTTGACCTTTTGCAACTTCATCCAGGCGAGACAAAAATTACCTAAATGAATTTAAGAGTACAAAAGGAGGGACCCCCTTTCACACCTTGTAATTGCAATAACTTTTGGGGAAATCTCTTTTTAAATTGTTGTTGAATTGTAAATTCTTACAACATTTGTATCAAATGATTAAAGAAAATACTGATGAAGAAGATAGACATGGGTTTTAACTACACACACACATTTTTTCCTTATAGTTTTTTTTGAATTTTCTTTCAGTTCTCTTCAAGTCTCTCTGAAAGCTTCTTTATTATCCGAAATCTGTATTAATTCTATAATCAAAGAACTGTAAGCGCTATTGGCAGTTAACCAAAAACAAGGCAAAAGTAATGATGAAAACTGTGGCAGTGTTGCTTGAATTGTTTATCACAGCTTGTTATATCTAAAGTATCAGATTTGTTTGGTATATTTGCTGCACTGTCCTACACAATTTTCCATAACAATATACCTTTGATTTCAAACGTTTATCGTTTATCTTTAAATTGCTTTAAAATATGTATCCTTTTGAAGATTCAATTCTGAGAAGATATATGTACACTGTCCCAGGTTAAGGGATGGTTTGGCACCAGCTGACATGTTTAACCCTGCCATATTATGTGTGTGCCTGTCCCTAGTCATTCAGTGGTTGTCATTTGTTGCTGTATATCATATTTGTTTTTCATTATTGATTCGACATAAATCAGGCTGCCGGTTTTCTTGTTGGAATTATTTACATTTATCCTCTTGGGACCTTTTATAGTTTACTATGCGGTATGGGTTTTGCTCATTGTTGCAGGCCGTACAGTGACATATAGACTATAGACGCTAACTTCTGTCAACTTCTCAATACACAATTGAATGAATTTAATTTATGCAGGAACAATGTCATTAGAATTACAGTGTTCCACAGTGGTATATAGTTTTATTCCAATATGTACTAATCAGGCTTTTCATATGCCACATTAGCATTTTCAGTTGGATCAGCAGGTGTCACTGATGTATGTTTATTCAATGAATTGATTATTAAGGCAGATTAATTAATATTTTATCAAGGTTTTCAAAAGCAATGCATATATCAATGTATATTTTTAATGGTGAATCTGCAGTGGTATAAGTTCGCAATGATACAACTTTGCAGTTGTTCTAGTTGGTAGTTAACGTAGGTACAAGTTGACGTTTGGGTACGAGTTGACGTAGTATGAGTTTGTAATAGTATAAATGGACTTGCTTTCCTGGAAGGAACACTGAGTTTGGGTTCTACAGTTCAAAAGTTATGAAACACAAATCAGACAAAGGTTTACTACTACAGGGATTGATCAAAGGTGAGGTCTGATTGAACTGCCCATAGTAAATGACCCCCACCCCACCCCAAGTCCATGATGTCACTCCATACTAAGTTTGGAATCAAATGACAGGTGATTATAAAACAGTTGGTCAAACATTCTTGGGCTTTACACTGCTTGAAAGATTTATATGTTTTCTTTAAAATGAGCCATAAATGAAAATTTTTATAGGCCCAGAAATAATTCAAAAAATAATTAGGATAAATTCAACCTAGACTTATTTTTTGCATCAATAAAATTTTATAATAAACAAGAAATAATTGTAAAAGGATACTGTTACAAAGTCTCCCAAACAAGTACCATAATTCGTCATTCCCATGGTCGCCGACATTGGGCAACGTCCAGTACAAATTGGTTTGGCCTAGTAAAGTGATATGCACAAGTGACGCCTAGGAGATTGACCCTGTATGTCATTCAAATCTTCTTGAAATCATGAACAGGAATATATATGGTTAAGGGGTTCTCAAAAAGGGGGGGTCATCCCCAGGGGACTCGCCCTTTAGTCCCATACAAGAATATAGATGGGTTCGGGGTGGGGATCTTGACCTTTTACAAGTTTTCAAAAAGAAAAGGGGTGGGGTGACCCCCAGGGACTCCCCATATATTTCATTTGATTTGTTATATTGTCCCATACATGAATATATATGGTTTCGGGGTGGGGATCTAGACCATTTACAAGTTCTCAAACAGAAGGGGGTGGGGGTGCCCCCCAGGGACTCCCCCTATATTTCATTTGATTAGTTTTATTGTCTCATACAAGAATATATATGGTTCAGGGGTGGGAATCACGACCATTTACAAGATAAAAGCACATTCTCAAATTGAAGAAAGGGGGTGGGGTGACCCCCATGGACTCGCCCTAATTTTTTTGATTTGTTTTATTGTCCTGTTATCATTACTGAAGACCGTGTGTGTCTATCACTTACTGTTTTCAAGTTATAGTCATTTGAAAATTTAAAAAAAATTAAATCCCATAGGGTTCTATAGTAAACACCTCCCTTCTTTAGGCCCCTCAAAATACCCCTTAATAGACCCCAATGCACAAACCAAAAGATTGATGGCTCCCCTAGACATGTTAGTCTAACATTTTATGAACCCTAATACTCTATCTGAGTTGTCTCACTGACACTCTAAGTTGTCTTCTTAGGTCACAGTGGACTCAGTCCGACTTGTCTCTGGGCCGAGTTGTCCTGCATTCAATAAAATATTAAAATATATTGACCAATCAACGTAGATTTCTGGTTCTATTTCATTCATTAAATAACAACAACTTTATTTGGCAAGGTCAGTGAGACACGGAATAATATAATTAAAGAAAGGAATTTAAATGTGCATACATTAAATTGAAATCAAGTAAATAATCACAATCTTCTTAAACAAAAAGAATATCATGATTAACAATACTTACTTTTAATCGGGCTTTATATCATCAGAATCAATGTCTTACTTACGTTCGTGTAACTTGTAAGTTAAAATTACCGCCAACTTAGACTACTATGTACACATGATATAGTTCTCAGCCGCCAAACAATATTGCTGTGCCTTTTGCCATTTGGGAAATGTAAACGACTTGTACTTAGAGATTTTCGGCAATGGAATATTTCATACAATTATTCTTTGACATCTTAGCCAAAAGCACAGGGGATAATAAACTACGCACGGATTTCTATTGAGCACTATTTCCTATGTGCAACTTCAAATATTTTACGTCATTAGACGATCATTTCAGGTTATTCTGGTCATATTTTTTGTATTCCAGAATTAAAAGTATGAAAAAAGTGTCCAATTAGTTATAAATAACATATTAACCTGCTAGATAATAACAATGACACTTTTTTCAGTATTCGTTTGGAAGAACACAAATCTAGGATGCTAGCATAAGGCAGCTTAACTGCCTAAAAATTGTATCAATGTATGGAAAGGGCATTGAAGCCGTTTATATAAGAAAAGTTGTCTAATACTTTATAGAGATTGATGATACTAACTTCAAATCATAAAATAATGTTCAGGCATAGCTATACTTATGGATTATCTATTGTTTTGAAAATGAGAGGGAGTTTCTCAGCTTCAACTCATCACTAAAGGGCCTTGAGATGAAATGTGGTAAAGACCTTCCTCGAGTTGAGAGACCATATATAATCTGCTTATCGCTATTTTCCTAGGTGATGTCAATGACTTTGGTTTATGATGTCATCGTGTTGTCACTCTACTAGACTGAGAAAATCGTATTAGTCGAGTCCGTTGAAATGGAAAATTATCACACAAAAAGATCAAAGGAAAATTTAAGAAAATATCAATAAAATCATATCTTACTTATTTCACAATTCGTTCCTTGATATCCAGGCATGCATGTACAACTGTAAGCATTTTCTTCATTGTGACATGTAGCTCCGTGTTTACATGGAGTTGTCAAGCACTCATCAATGTCTAAAAATATATATACATATCAATATAAAAGAAACAAGTGAAACTGCGAGCTACTGCTCACTGATGATACCCCAGCCCACATATGGATAATTTTAATAGTGTAAAAATATGTAAGTGTTGGTAAACAGGAAGTTGTTGAGTGATGAATCTGAAAACACATCACACGGTAAACCCTGAAACCAAATTTCAGAAATCCTTATGATGTAGTTCCTGAGAAAGATGCGATGAAAAATATTAATGGGACGGATGGACAGACTGACGGATCGAACAGACAGTGGTTAAACAGTATACCCCCACTTTTTTAAAGCGGGGGTATAATTAATCCATCAAGAAACTGCATATATCATAAACTATTTCAAACTTGTTCTCATCCTGAATAGGCATTGATTTGCAACTACATGTAAAGCAAGAAGTTATAGGTTGCACTTTGTAAATACAGCTGTTTCTCAAACCACGCCTCTTTTGGGGAGATATTTAATATTCATAGGTATGTTAATTTGTTAACGTACTGGTTCCCATTGATGATCTCTGTGTTTCATCTCATGGAGACATCACTTGGGAATGTAACCAGTATAGAAAAACATGGTAGCGGCTAAATTTTAATTCTTAGGAGGTCCAAAAATGGAGGTAAGGGTTGTATAGAATTTTAGTATAAGTTTAAACTCTTAGAAGTTCAGGGCATATAAATGTTGAAAATATGCCGCACAGCCCTATATTTTGACCTTTGAATAAAATAGTAGTGCATATAAACTTTCCGTTCTGGGATATTATTTTTCACGAAACTTCATAGTAAAAGTGTCACAGTTTTAGCCGCAAAGGGAGTTCCTATGGGAAATTGCATTGTCTGTATTTACAGAATTGCAACCTTTAAAGAGCCTGTGTGGCTCAACTGGATCTATACGCAACTACGACAATGACTATTCTCTAACATTGTAGACTAGGATTTAATTCACCACTAAAATCTCTTGTTTATCATGTCTTTCTGATCATATTTACTGTTTACAGTTTCCATCTATTTTCTCTAATTAATTTCCAAAATAAAAAAAGGACAATTTCAGCTTTATTGACCCTTTTTTCTTATTACAGTTTTACTTTGTCCTCCACATTTTCACCAAGAAAAAATAGTAAAAAATCGTCACTAAAGGACAATAACACCTACTTACAATTTTAGCCATGTTGACATATTTGTAGATTTTGTCCTGGTGATCATTTTTTTTCTTTTTTCTATAGTCTATCTTTCTGTTTTCAAGTTGATAGACAAAAACGTAAAAAAAATTTAAAATCATCATTTAAGGACAATAATTCCTTTAAGGTAAATAGTTACCTTCACATCCTGGTGGCGGTGCTGGCCATGTACCACCAAGCTGACATATTCTGGTTCCCAAATCTCCAACTGGTAAATGGTAACCAGGTTGACATGTGTATGATACCTCTGTATCTGGTACTACAGCATCAGTGGTTGATGGAATTGTGAATTGATTATATCCAGATATGTCACATGTAATCACTGTAGAAAAAGTTAAATTAAAAAGTCATTGCAATGTGCAACCTAAGCAGAAATCAGACATTTATGTAGATTTTGTTTTTATCAATTTAAAAAAATAGATGACAATTTTGATTCGTTATAAAAAAAAAAATACCAATTTTATCTAAGATTTAGACAAAATGATTAAACAGTTATATTTCTTGTTTGAAACTTTGATAGAAACTGAATCTAAAACAAAATGTTATTAGCAGTCAGATTAGGTTCCAATTTGTCAAAATAATCGTTTTAATTTTAGCTTGCAAGTTAGCGAGTACATGAGTACATTTAAATCAATATTTATTTGATATTTAACTCCTAGCCAGAGATGGGTTAGGTATGTGCTAAGCATGTTCAGTTATTAAAAAGAAAGGAATGTCAATAAAATGCTTCGCTGAGCGCAGCCTGATACATCCGCAGAGGTCGAACCCTGAACAGTTGGGGCAAATTTGGACACAATATTCAAGCTTGATACTGTCTGAATTTGGATTGTGATCAAATTTTTGACATAATATAGGTTTCTGACACAAAATAAATGTGGTCAAAGATCTTTCAAATCTATTGCATAGTATTGTGCAATGGAAGATTTCTTCTTGAAAATTTTCAAAAATTCGAAATATGAAAAATTTTGAAAAAAAATATGAATCCCCTAAAAAAATTGGAAAAAAAATCCCCCCCATAACTTTTTGAAACCCTCCTTGGAGCAATAACCCCATTACTTAATCCCAGCCTTTCCTTTGTAGTATGGAACCTTGTAGTGCAATTTTAGAGAGATCCATACACTTAAACATAAGTTATTGTCTGGAAACATGCTTGTTTTTGGCCCCTGTTTGGCCCTTAATTCCTAAACTGTTGGCCCCATAACCCCTAAGATGAATCCCAACCTTCTACTTGTGGTATTAAACATTGTGGTACAATTTCAGAGCAATCGAAATACTTATACACAAGTTATTATCCTGACACTAGAAAAATGCTTGTTTTGGGCCCATTTTGGGCCCCTAATTCCTAAACGGTTGGGACCATCATCCCCAAAATCAATCCCAACCGTCCTTTTGTGATATTGAACCTTCTTACAAAATTTCATAGAGATCCATTCACTCAAACTAAAGTTATTGTCCGGAAACCAATGTGTCTTCGGACGACAACGCAGACGGCGATGACATCATACCATTATACGATCCCAAAAATTATTTTGCGGTCGTATAAAGATGAGAAGTGAAACAAGGGAGCCTCCTGGAAGAATCATTTCCTTAACTGATAGGGTTCACAAAAAAAAATCACTTTTATACAGGTAAAAAGATGATAAACATATTTTTTTATATCCATATCATGACAGGGGTTAAAAAAAATTGTTACAGCTCACTAGCCCAGGACTTATTGGTAGCAGAATTTTACTAGCCCTGTTGAAAGAGCTGCTAGCCCATCAAAACTGACCTGCTAGCCCGAGTATACCTTTCAAATTTAGAGTGGGTGTCCCTTGTTTTGAATGCGGCATTATACACGGTATTTGATAAAATAAATCAAATAAATTTTTGTTTTATCAATTATAACAAGGATCTCTAGACATCTTTTTGGATATCCCTTGTACTATGGGTTGTTAAATATTTTCAGGCACAGAAAACATGTTCATTGATATTGTCATGTTAAACCAGTGGTTCAATTCGTATATTTGTTGTTCCCACATACAAAGCAGACTTTTTATCAGCGAGATCGGGAAACTAAAGGCAATATTCACAAAACATCATCTCTTGTTTATCATCAGTAACAGTCGACCTTGCCCATAGGGAATCTTTCTGTCCATGACACTATAAATGTTTTTTTCCGCTTTTCCTGGTTGTATTTGGCATTTTTTTGGGATAAATTTTCAGCCTCATTACCCCCTTCATCTACCGTTTTTCGTTTTAAAACTGACAAAGTTCCTGTGGTGGCCGTACTAAAATGTTTAGAAATAATTTGTGCATGGTTTCAAGCTCAAATTAACAGCTGTCCGACAAGACAGGTCAATATCGATCATTACATCATACACCCAAGTACCATTAATTGAAAATCTCGGCATAAGCAATGCACAATACCCCCTGTACTGAGAAATTGATATTGAAATTAAATACATGATACCGGTCCACCCAGAGTTAGTTGTTCTATTTTTAAAACATGTACAAAATCGGTTCAAATTCTTGGAATCCCGGATGACGTATGTAATTGAATCTGATTGGCTAAGATAGAATAGTGATGAGGGGATTTTCCACTTACTATTTTGTAAATGCCAAGAATTGTTTGTTACTAGTCCGTCGGGCATATTCGGTTACAAGTTTTAATTGCCCGAAGTGTAAAAGTCTAGTCCCGGGCGTCGGGCTAGTGGATTTTTTAACCCCTGCATGAAATAAAACTGACCTGGAAAAATAGTCATTATACAATTGCACATGCTTGTCTATGTATCTATATTTATCAACATTCTTTGGAGGTCATCTCAATGGTTAATTAGATAGTGTATAGTCGAAGTAAGACACAAAATGCTGATAAATTTTAACATGTCCATGCATTGTTTATTGTTTATATTGTGCTTTTTGTAATTTGGATAATGTTTTAGTATTTTATAAATCAAATAGGAGAATTTGAGTGAAATCTAGGAACATGAATTTGACAGCTAATGTCCCTACCCTCTATAACTTCTTCACCAAATCTTGCAACAAGAAATGAATGAATTGACAGAAAAAAGGGTTTTTTGCATTTTGGCCAAAGACCAAAATTAATGATCCCACTTTTCGTTGTCCACGAATATAGTTCCTTTTAATTAGAGTGTATTTTTTCTTAATTTTTTTTCTTTCCCTTCCTCACTCATTTCTTAGATTTTTTTAGATGGAAATGAAAGAAGAGAGGTGAAATAAACTTTTGGATGTTGTATTTTAACTGATTTTTGATATGGAAAGAGTGATTAGGCCAGGTGCAAAAAGGTGATATTTACAGTTTTCGGAACATCTCTTGACTTGTCCATAGGGGTATGGATATGTATTGGCTAAATTTGTAAGATGCTTGGAAGCGATTTTTCTGAATGTTTGATATATGTTTGGACTAGTACTGTACTTTACACACACAAAATATTTATCAAAAAGAATAGGCGCATTTTTTTTAATGAATCAAAACGTTATAAAGAACTAATAGAGAATTTAATTGTGGTCTGTGGCCTAAGAGGTGAATTCAGGAAATATTGAATTTGTACTTTGACAACTTCCCTGAATGATCTATTGGTATTAATTTGTCAAACTACATGAGAATAAATGATTTCCACTTTTATTTGATAGAAATTTTGTAAAAAAGTGACATTTCAGCCTACATGCCCAAAATTGAACTTTTTCAGTTGTTTCAATATTTTTACAAAAGTAGCATGCTTACTTTCTCTCTGACAGGTTTTTCTGATTTTCTATTTGTGTTTGTGGTATCTTATGTAGATGTTTAACTCATTTTTGAACACTAAACATACAAAAAAAGTAGATAAAATCAGAATAAGAGTGCAAAATGTGCTGCTTTAATGGTCTTAGTCTAACGGTCAGTATGAAGCAAGTGAAAAATGAGGTTCTATGCACATACAAGTTGAATTCCTTTTAGCAGATTTCACTGAATCTGTATCAAAAGTACTTATTACTGGTTGTTTGACCTTGTCTGTTTCACAGACTACCTTTATTTTCTTTTGTTTGATAGCTAGTGGTTAAAATATTGGCCTTTTGAGGCTGAAATTTCATGCCGGTTTTAAAAAGTAAAGTAAATAACTTTGCATCAGATCATACTGTCTACATATATAGTTGAAAGTGACAGTCTTGTTACATCCAGGCTCCATGTTTTATCATATCTGAACAAAGATTTGTCAAAAAGAAGCATATCTCTTTCTCCCATATCATTTATATGCTTTTTAATATGCAAATGTGGGGAGCGACCTAAATTGACAACCTGTTTTTTTAAGCTTGACATTGCTGAAGACCATTTTATTCACATGTGTTATGCTATTTGAAACTTACATTTCCATTAAAAGTACATTTATAACATGTAAAAGGTTTTTTTATAACTTAGCAATTACATTTCATATAAGGCCTCACTTCATTTGAAAACCTCTATTTTTTGGCACAGGCCCATATGAAATTTACTTCTGGCCATTTTTTATAAGTCTGAAACATGAAGTATGCTATTTGTTGCTTTTAATAGGTGATAACTTATACATACAGACATTAAAAAGTGTAAGTTTTGGTATATTTTGGTTTTTAGAAGCCCAAATTTGATAGTTGAAATTATTCTAATTCAATGCCACAATTCAGCACCCAAAGTTCAGATATACAAAATGCCACAATTCTAATAATTGATATCATATGGCATTGAAACTTTGTAAACTGTTTCATAATACACTAAGCTTAAATCAAGCCAAGTTTTATTAGAATTGGTCAAGGTTTAGACCCCTAATAGGCCAAAGACCACAATTAATGATCCCGCTTTTCGTTGTCCACGAATATAGTTCCTTTTAATTAAAGTGTATTTTTTCTTAATTTTTTTCTTTCCCTTCCTCACTCACTTCTTAGATTTTTTGGGATGGAAATGAAAGACAAGAGGTGAAATAAACTTTTGGATGTTGTATTTTAACTGATTTTGATATGGAAAGAGTGATTAGGCCAGGTGCAAAAAGGTGAAATTTACAGTTTTCGGAACATCTCTTGACTTGTCCATAGGGGTATGGATGTGTATTGGCTAAATTTGTAAGATGCTGGGGAGCAATTTTTCTGAATGTTTGATATATGTTTGGACTAGTACTGTACTTTACACACACAAAATATTTGACAAAAAGAATCGGTGCATTTTTTTTAATGAATCAAAACGTTATAAAGAACTAATAGAGAATTTAATTGTGGTCTGTGGCCTTTTGAAGGAAACCATTGTTGAGGGCAGCTAATAATATTGAAATTGATGTATTCTAAAGTATGGAGTTTTCAGGATTGTTTAACCCAACATGTTCTGTGACAATCTATGAAGACTCATCTGTCACAAATGGAATTAGTGAAAATAGTCAATATCAAACTTGAACTCTATTTTGTTATCAGTAAGATCAAATGCTAGCGGGTTTGTTGACCATGTGCTGGAAGACACAACATGAGTGGTAAATAGTTCTTACCTTCACATCCTGGTGGAGGTGCTGGCCATGTACCACCAAGCTGACATATTCTGGTTCCCAAATCTCCAGCTGGTAACTGGTAACCAAATACACATGTGTATGTCACTTCTGTACTTGGCACAACATTAGTATTAGTGGAAGTGATTGTAAATTCGTTTAATCCAGGAGCTGTACATTTTGTAACTGAAAGAAAGAGATCATGCAACATTTATATATTTTAGATATCAAAAGATGTATTTTGCAATTGCCACACTCCTTTTTAAGACAACAACAAATTAAAACTAAGAACTGTGAGCCACTTCCCACTAACTATTTCCCTACAGTACAAGTAAAGCAGTAAAACTGGCCTCTTAAATAAGAAGGAAATTAAAATGCACTGCATTTGATTAGTATTTACATAATTTTTTGATAACATGCTAGGAATTTTTACACTCAACAATTTAGGGGCCTCTGTGCCCCACTGGTCTAAGTAGTCAAACTACTGTATTACTTCACTGTCGACACTGAGGTTGTGAGTTGGAATCCCCCACATAGCAGGTGCACTTGACTCCAATCTAAAACTGACCAGGTTGATGGTTCTCTCCAGGCATTCTGGCTTCCTCAATCAATAAAACTGACTGACTAAAATCAGCACAATAGCAGTGAAACTTGCATTAAACACCAATCAATCAATAACACAACAAAGCTTTCAGATATCTGAACAGTGAAACTGACAATTTTCCAAATTGATGTCCTTCCCACATATCACAAAACAAATCGTTTTGAGATTTGCTTATGCATTAAACACTGCTGACCGGGATATATTTTAACATGCTGGTGGGTTTTGTTGACCATGTGCTGGAACACAGAACACTAGTAACCACTGCTTACCTTCAAATGATGATAAGTGATAAATAGTTCTTACCTTCACATGCTGGTGCAGGTGCTGGCCATGTACCACCAAGCTGACATATTCTGGTTCCCAAATCTCCAGCTGGTAACTGGTAACCAGGTTGACATGTGTATGATACCTCTGTATCTGGTACTACAGCATCAGTGGTTGATGTAATTGTAAATTCGTTTAATCCAGGAGCTGAACACTTTGTGACTAAAAGAAAAAGAGACCATGCAACATTTGTATTATGTAGATATTAAAAGATGTATTTTGCATTTGCCACTCCTTTTTAAGGCAAAAATAATAATAAACTGTAAACTATGAGTCACTACTAACTTACTATATCCAAACAATAAATCAGTTAAACTGGATTCCTATATTAGAAGGATTTCAAATGCACTGCATTCAATTTTATATTTACAATTTTTTGGATAATATGTTAGGAATTTTTACTCAACAATATAGGGGCATAAGTGGCCCAGTGGTCTTCGAAGTCAAACTACTGTATCACATGACTGTCAAGACTGAGGTTGTGAGTTCCAATCTCGCATATGTCAAATGCGCTTGATTTCAATCTAAACTGACCAGAATTGTCAGTTTTCCTACCAAAGGTCAATGGTTCTCTCAAGGCATTCCCGCTCCCTCCATCAATAAAAACTGAAAGCCACAAAATAGTGCTGAAAGTGGCATTAAACTTCAATCAATTAATCACTCAACAATTCTGTTTTCAGATATTTGAACAGTAAACTGACCATTGTCCAAATTGATTTTCTTCCCATATTCCACAAAACAAATCTGTTTTGAGATTTGCTTATGCATTAAACACTGCTGACCAGGGCATATTTTTACATGCTGGTGGGTTTGTTGACCAGGTGCTAGAACACAGAACATTGGTAACCACTGCTTACCTTCAAACGATGATGTGGGGTAAACAGTTCTTACCTTCACATGCTGGTGGTGCTGGCCATGTACCACCAAGCTGACATATTCTGGTTCCCAAATCTCCAGCTGGTAACTGGTAACCGAATTCACATGTGAATGTCACTTCTGTACTTGGCACAACATCAGTATTAGTGGATGTAATTGTAAATTCGTTTAATCCAGGAGCTGTACACTTTGTGACTAAAAGAAAAGGAGATCATGCAACATTTGTATTATGTAGATATTAAAAGATGTATTTTGCATTTGTCACACTCCTTTTTAAGGCAAAAAAATTAAAACTGTAGACTATGAGCCAATACTAACTTACTTTATAACTACAAGAAATCAGTTAACATGGCGTCCTATGTTAGAAGGATTTTAAATGCACTGCATTTAATTAATATTTCCATACTTTTTGGATCATATGCTAAGAATTTTTAAATTCAACAATTCAGGGTCCTAAGAGGCCCAGTGGTCTTTGTAGTCAAGCTAATGTATCACATGACTGTCAACACTGAGGGTGTTAGTGCCAATCTCGCACATGGCAGGTGTGCTTGATTCCAATCTAAACTGACCAGGATTGTCAGTTTTCCTACAGAAGATCAATGGTTCTCCCTAAGCATTCCCGCTTCCTCCAACAATAAAAACTGAATGCCACGAAATAGCGCTGAAAGTGGCATTAAACTTCAATCAATCAATCAATCAATCAATCAACAATTCTGTTTTAAGATATTTGAACTGTAAAACTGACAATTTTCCAAATTGATTTCCTTCCCATATACCACAAAACAAATTTGTATTGAGATTTGCTTATGCATTAAACACTGCTGACCAAGGCTTATTCTTAAATGCTGGTGGGTTTTGTTGACCAGGTGCTAGAACACAGAACACTGGTAACCACTGTTTACCTTCAAACGATGATGTGGGGTAAACAGTTCTTACCTTCACATGCTGGTGGAGGTGCTGGCCATGTACCACCAAGCTGACATATTCTGGTTCCCAAATCTCCAGCTGGTAACTGGTAACCAAATTCACATGTGTATGTCACTTCTGTACTTGGCACAACATCAGTATTAGTGGATATAATTGTATATTCGTTTAATCCAGGAGCTGTACACTTTGTGACTAAAAGAAAAAGAGATCATGCAACATTTGTAATATGTAGATATTAAAAGATGTATTTTGCATTTGCCACACTCCTTTTTAAGGCAAAAAATTAAAACTGTAAACTATGAGCCAATACTAACTTACTTTATAACTACAAGAAATCAGTTAACATGGGGTCCTCTCTTAGAAGGATTTTAAATGCACTGCATTTAATTAATATTTCCATACTTTTTGGATCATATGCTAAGAATTTTTAAATTCAACAATTTAGGGTCCTAAGAGGCCCAGTGGTCTTTGTAGTCAAGCTAATGTATCACATGACTGTCAACACTGAGGGTGTGAGTGCTAATCTCGCACATGGCAGGTGTGCTTGATTCCAATCTAAACTGACCAGGATTGTCAGTTTTCCTACCGAAGATCAATGGTTCTCCCCAAGCATTCCTGCTTCCTCCAACAATAAAAACTGAATGCCACAAAATAGCGCTGAAAATGGCATTAAACTTCAATCAATCAATCAATAAACAATTCTGTTTTAAGATATTTGAACTGTAAAACTGACAATTTTCCAAACTGATTTCCTTCCCATATACCACAAAACAAATCTGTATTGAGATTTGCATTTGCATTAAACACTGCTGACCAAGGCTTATTCTTAAATGCTGGTATATTTGGTTGACCAGGTGCTAGAACACAGAACACTGGTAACCACTGTTTACCTTCAAACAATATTGTGATGTAAATAGTTCTTACCTCCACATGCTGGTGGAGGTGCTGGCCATGTACCACCAAGCTGACATATTCTGGTTCCCAAATCTCCAGCTGGTAACTGGTAACCAAATTCACATGTGTATGTCACTTCTGTACTTGGCACAACATCAGTATTAGTGGATGTAATTGTATATTCGTTTAATCCAGGAGCTGTACACTTTGTGACTAAAAGAAAAAGAGATCATGCAACATTTGTAATATGTAGATATTAAAAGATGTATTTTGCATTTGCCACACTCCTTTTTAAGGCAAAAATAATAATAAACTGTAAACTATGAGCCACTACTAACTTACTATATTCATACAATAAATCAGTTAAACTGGCTTTTTATATTAGAAGGATTTCAAATGCACTGCATTCAATTTTATATTTACATACTTTTTGGATAATATGTTAGGAATTTTTACTCAACAATATAGAGGCATAAGTGGCCAAGTTTTGAAGTCAAACTACTGTATCACATGACTGTTGAGACTGAGGTTGTGAGTTCCAATCTCGCATATGTCAAGTGCGCTTGATTTCAATCTAACTGACCAGAATTGTCAGTGTTCCTACCAAAGGTCAATGGTTCTCTCAAGGCATTCCCGCTTCCTCCATCAATAAAAACTGAATGCCACAAAATAGTGCTGAAAGTGGCATTAAACTTCAATCAATTAATCACTCAACAATTCTGTTTTCAGATATTTGAACAGTAAACTGACAATTGTCCAAATTGATTTCCTTCCCATATTCCACAAAACAAATCTGTTTTGAGATTTGCTTATGCATTAAACACTGCTGACCAGGGCATATTTTTACATGCTGGTGGGTTTTGTTGACCAGGTGCTAGAACACAGAACACTGGTAACCACTGCTTACCTTCAAGCGATTATGTGGGGTAAACAGTTCTTACCTTCACATGCTGGTGGAGGTGCTGGCCATGTACCACCAAGCTGACATATTCTGGTTCCCAAATCTCCAGCTGGTAACTGGTAACCAAATTCACATGTGTATGTCACTTCTGTACTTGGCACAACATCAGTATTAGTGGATGTAATTGTAAATTCGTTTAATCCAGGAGCTGAACACTTTGTGACTAAAAGAAAAGGAGATCATGCAACATTTGTAATATGTAGATATTAAAAGATGTATTTTGCATTTGCCACACTCCTTTTTAAGGCAAAAATAATAATAAACTGTAAACTATGAGCCACTACTAACTTACTATATCCATACAATAAATCAGTTAAACTGGCTTTTTATATTAGAAGGATTTCAAATGCACTGCATTCAATTTTATATTTACATACTTTTTGGATAATATGTTAGGAATTTTTACTCAACAATATAGGGGCATAAGTGGCCCAGTGGTCTTTGAAGTCAAACTACTGTATCACATGACTGTCAAGACTGAGGTTGTGAGTTCCAATCTCGCATATGTCAAATGCGCTTGATTTCAATCTAAACTGACCAGAATTGTCAGTTTTCCTACCAAAGGTCAATGGTTCTCTCAAGGCATTCCCGCTTCCTGCATCAATAATCAAAGCGCGAAAGCGCTGTAAAGGCAGTTAATTACAGGTTGTGTGTATTTTTAGTCCAGTTATATCATTATCTTGCATAGTACATTGTACTTATCAGAGGTGGCTTTCAGTATTTCAGATTTAGAGTTCTCTAATGATATTGAACAAGTTTTATGAATGTCATATTCTGAGCACTATATGAAGGCGATTGTTCTCACTTGTTTACGAACTAGTGCATTATGTCCAGTTAGTACCTTTTTTATCTATGTTTATAGTCAAATACTGTTTAAAATAGTTTGGCATTTTCTTTTAAGTAATAAGTAAATGTTATCAACTGTATTTTATTCAACTTTGCAAATGTGGTTTGTTACTGGTAAGTACAATGTATGGATGATAGTTGTTTCATTGGCAATCATAACACATCTCCTTATTTATATAATGATCTGTATTCAACGACCTCAGGTACAAAAAAAATGTATGTAACTAAACTATGATGGGAAACCTTTGACTTCTTTCTTTAATATAAACTTTTGATTTGGTACCATAGAACTATGTAGAATAAATGTACATTGCAACATGTCAACTCTTTCAATGACAATACTTTTTTTAGAAACTATAACTCCAAGCAAAATTATATTTCCAAGTATAAAGTAATTTATGAATGAAACAAGAGTGCACACGCTGAAATGTCTCGCCTTCTTTACTAATCATTGATATTATGTTGATAGTCCTAAATATAAAGCTTTATTACAACTGTCACATAAACTTAACATTAACCAAGTAAACTAAACATTGACCAATGAACCAAGAAAATGAGGTCAAGGTCAGATGAACCATGCTAGGCAGGCATGTACAGCTAACAATTCTTCCATACAACAAATATAGTTGACCTATTGCTTATAGTTTAAGAAAAACAGACCAAAACACAAAAACTTAAAACTGAGCAATGAACCTTGAAAATGAGGTCAAGGTAAAAAAAAAACCTGCGTGACTGACATATAGATCATAAAATATTTCCATACACCAAATATAGTTGAACTATTGCATATAGTATTAGAAAAAAAGACAAAACTCAAAAACTTAACTTTGACCACTGAACCGTGAAAATGAGGTCAAGGTCAGATGACACCTGCCAGCTAGACATGCACACCTTACAATCATTCCATACACCAAATATAGTAGACCTATTGCATACAGTATAAGAAAAACAGACCAAAACACAAAAACTTAACTATAACCACTGAACCATGAAAATGAGGTCAAGATCAGATGACACCTGCCAGTTGGACATGTACACCTTACAGTCCTTCCATACACCGAATATACTAGACCTATTGCTTATAGTATCTGAGATATGGACTTGACCACCAAAACTTAACCTTGTTCACTGATCCATGAAATGAGGTCGAGGTCAAGTGAAAACTGTCTGACGGGCATGAGGACCTTGCAAGATATGCACATACCAAATATAGTTATCCTATTACTTATAATAAGAGAGAATTCAACATTACAAAAAATCTTAACTTTTTTTTCAAGTAGTCACTGAACCATGAAAATGAGGTCAAGGACATTGGACATGTGACTGACGGAAACTTCGTAACATGAGGCATCCATATACAAAGTATGAAGCATCCAGACCTTCCACCTTCTAAAACATAAAGCTTTTAAGAAGTTAGCTAACGCCGCCGCCGGATCACTATCCCTATGTGGAGCTCTCTGCGACAAAAGTCGCAGGCTCGACAAAAAGGAGTTCTTAATTAAGTAATAAACTGATTCGCTGAGCGCAGCTGGATACACCCACAGAGGTCCAACCCTGAACAGTTGAGGCAAAAATGGACACAATATTCAAGCTTGATACAGGTCTGAATTTGGATTGTAATTAAATATTTGACATATTATAGTTTCTGATTAAATGTAGTCAAAGAACTTGAAATCGGTTATATGAATTGAATTTATATTCAGTTAAAGATTTCTTGCTGTTGTGCAATACACTGTGCTGTTGTGCAATACTTAATAAATCTGTTGCCAGACTATAAACAAATAAAGTTCAATTTATTCTCAATGTCATATTTGAAATTTATGAAAATCAATAGGGAGATTACATCAATAGCTATAAATAAATCACCAAAGTTTCATGCAAACTGCTTAAAGCATTTTTGAGTTGTTGTCCAAAAACTGGAAAATCCCCCCCTTTTTAATGAATAAAACCCCATAACTCAATAATGTAAAATCTAAAATTTATAAAATTCTAAAGGGAGCTTACTGATTGATAATTTAGTCTTAGATGCAAGATTTTTTTATCAGTTTGTGGCTTTGAACTAGCTGTCAGTAAATGCAAGTACACTCAGATCTGTACTAAGTGTCTTTTTGTTGTTTGGATGTACAACTACCCGCCCACGTCCACTTGTATTTGTATTTATCCATCTGATGAGTTAAGCCTCTTTCAACTGATTTTTATAGTTCGCTCTTATATTGTACTGTTACACCACTGTCCCAGGTTAGGGGGTGGGTTGGGATCCCGCGAACATGTTTAACCCCGCCACATTCTGTATGTACATGTATGTGCCTGTCCCAAGTCAGGAGCCTGTAATTCAGTGGTTGTCGTTTGTTTATGTGTTGCATATTTGTTATTCGTTCATATTTTGTACATAAATTAGGCCGTTAGTTTTCTTGTTTGAATTGTTTTACATTGTCATTTCGGGGCCTTTTATAGCTCACTGTGCGGTATGTGCTTTGCTCATTGTTGAAGG